TTCTTCAAAGAGTTAATTGAAAAATTTTGATTCCCATTATAGCCTTTCTGCAATAACTATTTAATTTTGCAGTTATATGAATTTAGTTTTGTAAACTTACTTTAATTTTATTTAAGAAAAATATTTTTTTTTATTTGTGTTGATATTTTTAACTACATTTAAGGAACATCAAAATCTTTTAAGTGCTTAGGGCCTCTAAGGCTAGTTTGTACTATTTGCTGAACATAATGAATGTTACGTAATATACGCGATTATATACAAAATTACTTATCGCAATTATTTTTCAGAAAACAAAAAATTATGTTCCCAATAACATTTTAGGTTTAAACATTCTTTGTTTTTATTACATATTAATTTTTGGAGTAATGCATTAACGAGTAGTTAACTATATAATATTCACTTTTTTGTTTCCAAAAAAATCAATATGTATAGTAAATGTTTTGTCATAAAACAGTAATGATAAAAAGTACAAAATATTATAAATTCTAATAACCTTATAAGGGGAAGAGCATATGTTCCTCTCGATCTACATGTACAGAGATGCCCACTTGCTCTGTTTAACGTAATTTTTTTTCTATTGGTAGTAAAATTTATGTTTAAATGTTTGATTCTTGATTTATGTAAATTGAAATATAAAATGATTTTTTCCGCCACTAAGTTCATATAATTCGAAATTTCGTGTGAAATACAATTTCATTCCAGTTATCTCATGGTAAGCATCTTAAATTTTACCAAAATTATCCAAAACTATGCTAGTTTCGGTTTTTAATTCTCTACCACTTAATAAGAGATTTCAGAGAAATCTTAGTTAGCATCCTTGCATATAAACACCATTTCTAGAGAAGATGACAAACGCATGTAGGGCTAACTAATAATTTAAGTATAAATGCATTTATTTAAATATTTAGGAAATGATTACTTACAATTAACAAAGAAAATCCTTGTAGTACAGGTTATTCCCTTAAATAGTTGAATCAACCATAAAAGCTGTAACTGTATTCATTGTTAAATCGTTTCATGATTCAAATTAGTTGTCAATCGAGGCAGAGGCCCGTTAGAAAGACTGCAATCTTGCAATGTGATATGAAGAGGAGGAACAAGTTGTTTATCTTGTCTCTTTGCTTGTAATTGTGGAAAAATAAAGATTTATTCAGGGATCATTGATAGGGTTGCAAGTTTTTCGCGGGAGAAAAAGACATAAATTCGCAGGTGATTCGCGCAAAAGTTTTAAAAATTTGCGAAATTTTCGCGGATAACATATGCACCAAAAATCAATTTAAAAATAATAAGAAGAACATAAAAAAGTTACAAAATTTTATTTTTAAGCAATATTAATGCCGTTACTTAAATGTACAGAATTTTGATCCAAAATATTATACATGGTTAGGTTATTCTCGCTAATGTTTCTCCTTTCATCACTCAATACATTTTTGTATTTTGAAAAAGATCGTTCGGCATCCACACTATTAGTTGGTACTGACAAACATCGAATTGCCTCTTTAGACAGTTTTGGATAGCGTTCCATCTTCGATTTCCAAAACTGAATTAATTGTCTACTTTCAACGTGTAGTTCATTAACTGTCGCTTTGTAAGCATTAAATTCGTTATTCAACTCTTCTTCATCCTCAAACATGGGGATAGAGTTAAAAATAAAAGAACTATCATCTTCTTGGAAAACATCTAAGTATTTGAATTGACTAGGATCAAAAGCTCTGCATGCTTTAAAAAAGCTTGATGCTGGTTGACGAAATCTGTGTGTTGTAATATTGCCCTCAAAAAAGTATGCCTAAATTTTTTCCTGGCATGATTTTAAAGCCTTTTTAGATTTCAAGTGCTGGCAGGTTATAGATTTGCTTTTTAAATCTTCAGCAAGATCAGACATTTCATTAAAAATAACATGCGAACTTATTCTTTGTTTTTCATATAAATTTAATAGATTTAAAATTAAAGATGCATATTTTTCAATCTCTCTTAAATCTTACTCAATTCTGCGTTACAACATTCTTCGGAAATCGTGCTGATCAAAGAACTATTGCTATTTTGTTGCTCTTTATTGAAGAACTCTGCATATTCAGCTAAGTAATTTACGTGAAACAAAGCTGCCTTAAACCAGCTATTCCATCTGGTTTGTACGGGAACCGGTGGTAAAGTGGCGTTTTTGCCCTTTTCAACTAAAAAGGCTCGAAATCGACCCTTACGTGAAGGACATGCTGTGAATGCACGCTTTAAATGCACAGTAAAAGAATTCACTTTTTCAAATTGATTTTGCCATATTTCTCTTAGGAGATTTAAAAGATGTGTATTGCAAGTCACATGAACAGCATTCAAGAAAACTGCTTTCAAACTTTTTTCCTATGCTTTGTTCATGTAAGACGCATTGTCAGTGACGAAAGATGAAATGGTATTAAAACAAAGCTTGTACTTTTGACAACACTGGATAACTGCTTCGCTAACAGTTTTAAAATTTACACTTTCCAGTGGTATGCTTTCTAAGAAAAAAGCAGATAAAGGAATGTCAGAACTATCATCTTGTATGTCCACAGAGGGAACTGCTAACACGTTTAATACATATCTGTCTTCAGAGTCTGTAGTTTCATCCGTCACAATACTTACACCAGCTGCAGAGGCTAAAATATCGGCAACTTGATTTTTATGAAATTCTTGAATCTTAGGCAGGTAGTGGTTTCATAAGTGGCTAGAGCTTGGAATGACACCAATATCTTTAAGGGAATTTTCCAGGTAACCCTTCAGTGCAGGATTATCTAGCTTGTTCAGGGGAATGTTTGCCACTGCAAATACACCTACCAACTTTGAAAGTTGAACACAACGGTGTTGCTCTTGAAGGGTTTTTTTTTTCAAACAACTTTTCAATACCTGTTTGAGTTACACTGGGTTCACTGGTTTTCTTTTTTAGATGTAGTTTACTTTTTAAATGTTTTTCACAGCTATCTTTCCTCGAAAAATCTACTGGAACATTGCAATTGGCACAAAACAAAAGATTCTTTCTTACTTCAAAAGTTCCTTTTTTATATTGCTTACAACGCTCGAGAGCAGTTATCTTGCTCGTATGGCTCATTTTACCATCTAAGAAGAACTGAAAACTTTCCTTAACCTCGCTTGAAAATGAAATGAGATATTTTTAGTAGACTTTGCATTATTTTTGTAGGATTGAAAGTTACAATACACTTTCCTGTTATCCTTCAAAAGATTAAAAGAGCTGCTCTTGAGTATTCTATTGTTAACAAGCATTTCCACATACCTTTCTGTACCTATTGAAATAATCAGCAGACGTGCCAACTTTTAATCCCTTCCATTATCATTTTTCCCAGTGGTATTAAAATGGAATTAAAACTTCAATTTTAAACAAAAAAATACGTTGTATTTGAAAAAATTAAGTTGACCACCATGATAGTAACGCATATTAATATATAAGCTTAATTTTTGTAAGAATAGTGGTGATCAAAATCATTTAAAAATTAAATTTATAAAAGAAAAAATAGTATATATTTACTACCACTTTAAATATGAAAATAAAATCTCCCGCAAAATGCGGGAGAGTTGGCAGGTATGAATCAGTGTAAATATATGTACCTTCTCACTACTAGGAATTTCCTGTGAAAGAGTCAATTTTTCTTCTTCTTTTGTTTTCCTTTATCTTTTATATTCTAGTTGACTGTTAGGAAAGGGAGGCATTGGTGTCAATCAGTCAACAAAAAGATAAGAAGACCACACTTTTTGTGACCACCAGTCTTCAATCAACTTTTCAGTCCTACTAATTCCTGCAATGAAATTCAATCCCCTAAATAATTTGTTAACTACAAATGTCTTGTGGTTGCCCCCCCCCCCTTTACATGGTGAGTGCTATAAGATGGGGGGCTCATACAGTGAGAGGACTGTCAATCTGGTCAATGGAGGGGGAGATAAGAATTGATAGATTTATGAAGAATTAGAATGTAGAAAATCTTATCTTTCAGTTTGTTCATGGTATTCAATTTCAATACAAAAGCGAGGATCTTGTATAGAGCCTAACCCAATTCTAATGTCATTTTGCTAGATACTTTTGTGAATGCTTTGAAAAAAATATAATCAATTTTTAAACTTCAGAAAAATAATAACTACAAATATATTTTTATTGATAAGATAAAACAGAAAAAAAAATAACTTCAAATTGTGAATAATTTTCATTTAAATCGCGTGAATTGAATAACTTTCGTTCAAATCGCGTAACTTTAAAAAATTCGCGAATTTTTGAAAAAAACTTAAAATTTCGCGGAAACGGTCGTGAAAATTCACGCCGCGACAAACTTGCAACCCTAATCATGGATTCTCTGCATTCTGGTATTTCTTTTAAATGTTGTATGCATTTTATTATTAAATCTGCCCTAACATAAAAAAGAATTCTTAAGTGAAAAAAATAATCATTGATATTGATCAATTTAGCGCCTTTTTGAAATAATGTGCCTATGGCATTCCGCCATACCCTAGATATGCCACTGCTTGCATGAAAATATCAGGGAAAAGTCAAGGAATTTGAAAATATCTTCTCGCTGGACACCCACTAAATACAATTTTCTTTTTTTCCTGATCTTCTGACTTTGAATACCATTTGTTTAGTCCTAGACATTGACTAGGAATCTCTGACTTAGACCTAATTGATTGAACCACAGAAAATTAATTCTAGATATTACAAAATTGCTAATTAACTTCTAATAATTTCATAAATTAGTATTATACATAAATTTTAGAATTTATTTAAATTATTTGTATCATTTTATGCACAAGTTAACAAATGATGTTAGCATTATTAATCTTTCTCTGTAGCTAAAAATTTGTTCTTTTATATTTTACAATTGCTTACATGTTTAGTCTGCTTCTAAACCACTTCAACAAGTGCTCTTTTTAGATACTGATATGTGTTTTTTCTCCACTTTTTTATTTTAATACACAGTATCATTATTTTAATATATACATCGGTTCAAAATGACTTTTTTGTTTTATAGGATTCAAAAGGTTGATGCCAAAGGGACATTGCTTCAAAAGTTGTTAGAAATAAAAGATGTAAGATATGATCCTGAGAAAATTGTCCATTCCTGTAAAGTAGTCAAATCTACAATAGTCAGTGGTAAGAATAAGGATGATCACTTTCCTAAGAGATTTTTGATATTACTCTTTTTTTTTTAATCTGTAAATCCTATTTTAATGTTGCACGTTGTATTTTACAATTGAGTATTTACTTTTCCTAACACTTTATATTTGATCAGCTTCGTATTATCTCTTCAAAAAATTCTTTATCCAATTACTTAATCACTAATTCTATCTGATATTTTTGATTGCATTTGAAGTTTTAATCGAAATCCCGTTGCCATATTTGTTGTCTACTGCTTTTTTTTATTTATGATTTAAACAAACGAAAGTTCATTTTCATATGTATTTCCGCTATTGTTGTTATATTGGTAGTGGTAATTCCTTTTTATTCATGCAGAATGATTAATTATTTACTTTGTGAAGATAAAAACTAAAGTCTTACGAAAGACTGTGGAAGCCGAAAAATGCTTGTTAAATTCATTTGTTCATTAAATCGAAATTCCTGGTTAGAACAAAAAAAGTTAACATTAAAATCAATTTACGTAAGCTGCTTCATTTTATATTTTAATTACTATTGTAAATTTTTTTATCTTTTGTCTCAGAGAGTTATAATTTTGAGTTTTCTTTTGCAAATAAAACTTTTCAACATTCTAAGCATGTAAATAAAAAGCACACTTGCAGGTAAAAGAAAGGGCCCAAATTGATATTTTATTACTCTGCCTCTGAAACTGGTATGCACCTGCAATCACACAAGTACTTCTCTGACAATATTAAAACCCCTCAAAATGTTTTCTATATCTTCTATAAAAATTAGGCTGACTTGGTGTTCACTCTGGTTTGCATTTCTACCTTCTCTAAAAGTTGCATCTGTTGTTGATAACTTTGAAGAATAATTTAACTCTTTCTAAATGACATGGAAACATATTTTACAATAATTATGTGCCAAAAGACCATTAATAGTTTTTTTTTTATATTTTATAGTTTTTTATTGTTTCTGATACTATTTCATGCTTCCAAAAAAACATTTCTCGTTTTCCCAAATGAAGCTTTACATTTTGCACATTCTATCTCGTTAAATGCAGGTTTATTATAAGTTGGTTCTTCTAAAACTTGACAAATTTCAAAAACTTTCTTCTTTTTTTTTTTATTTGAAATTTTTAAGAAAGATCTCTCCTTGCCCATGTTAAAATTGCAATATTTATGTACCACTTCTAAAAAGAAAAGAAAAATTAAATAGATTTTCAAAATCTTTTTTTTATTTTCTTATTTAGGAACATGTGAAAATAAGGTGTGTTTTAAATTTTCCACTCCATTTTTTTATTACTATTTTATGAAGAATTATAAAACATTTTCTTACATTTCAGAAACAGAAATCATTTTTTTCAATTTTAAAAAAAAAGTGTTAAAAATATGCTCTGCAACAGTAAAAAAGTAGTCTTACAAAGAAGTGGCATCAAGTATAAGACAACATTTTGTTATCAAACTAGACTTTTATTTATAATTTGTTACACTAAATTCGAATATGGTGTTTTGTATAAGGACCACTAAAATATTTCATTAAAAACATTTACATTGCATAACAAGAAGAGATCCAGAATGGTGTCCCTGTGGCAAAATGAACAATAAAAGTGTCTATTTTATGAAACATGTCTCTTTATTTCTTAAAACCTTATTCTAATTTAATGACAGCAGCACCATGTTTTCCTGTGAAAGCTGTTCTTCTTTGGCCTAAACAACTACATTAGTAAGCTTGCTTTTTAAAAAAATCTGGTTATAACAAAGGCCATACTAAAAATTTTCAAATTGCTCATCAGATTTTATTTTTTCCAAATAGATACTTATGTTCTAACGAAGAATTTGTGAAATTAGCTTTTTGTCACAAATAACTTAGTTTGTATATTTAAGTATGTTTTGTATAACTTGCACATATCACACATTAGATGATTTTCATTATCATTTGTTAAAATTGTATTAGTTGTTTGAAATGAAAATATAACTTTAAAAACCTTTTAAAAAAGCACATAAAAAATTGCCAAAAGAAAACAAAAATCATGTATATAACATGTTGTTATCCATCAGCTTTAAACCGATGGGACAAAGATACACACATTTTCCATTTTGGTCCTGCATCTTTTTTCTTTCTGTAGTGCAACATGAGTGCTTTTGGGAAATAACTGTTCAAGTGACCTTACAAAAATAAATTAATAAAAATTTGATATAAGAATTTTATAATAATCTTGCTTCCATTTTCTTTTTAGCATTGTTATAAAAAAATTAATATGTCTTAAATTTAGTTAGCAGTTCTTATTTGCTTTATTCTTTCTGGATACCATATGAATAATGTGTTTTACTATTGTCAACACGTATTTTCATTACCCCTATTGTTCAAACTGAAACATATAATTTTGGTTCTTAGTATTTTAACTCAATTATAGTATACTGAGCACAAGGATTCATTTGGGTTGAAAACAAATATTTTAAAGATTAAAAATCCAAATATGTAAAAAAATTTATGTTTATTCAGAGAAAATACGTTTTTGTGTCCGATTTCGTTACTTCAATAATATTTAGCACTAAACAATTAGCATATTTGAGGTCACCCTCAGAAACCGTTAAAATTGGCACTTAATACATGAAAATCCAATCATTGAAACAAAAGTTATTTAGGGTAATGTCTTTTTTTTTGTGGACTGTGCATTCCTGTTTAAATAGGCTTGGTGACAAAGTCCTGGAATTTCTGCCACAACTCTCACATATCTCCATAAGTATTTGTCCTAATGGTTTGAAACTCAAAATTTCCAGAGCTATAAATTTGTAGCCAAGTCAGCAAAAATGTTGCCTAGCCGAGTCTTTCTTCAAAAATACTTCAGGCATTGTTTTCTTTTTGGATTATATTTATAATTAGGTGATTTTTTTGCAATTATGATTATTATTCTGATTGTTTAAGGTTTATCTGAAATATTTAGCCACTTAAGTAAAGAATATTCACTAATTTATACAAATATTTACAGATTTAAGATGATATCAATTAATGTCTAAAATCATTTAAACAAAATTTGGTTTTGTTATACAATATTATCTAAGAAAATTCAAAAAGTAATAGAAATAAATAACATCATCTTTTCATTTTTTTTCTCGATGTACTATACATTATATGATTGTTTATCTTTGGTAAAGACCTCTGGAAAGTTAAAATTGTGTGATTGGCATGAGAGAGCAAATAAGAAATTATTGTTTAAATAAACCATATGCTAGTTCAAGTTCATTATAGTTTAGAAATAAAATAAAATAATCTTTGAAGAAATTTCCAAGCTGAAGGAAGAATTAAAAATATTATTAATACATTTTATTAGAATATCACTGTAATGTGTCTGCTTTCCTACAACAATACATAAACTTTTATAACAGCAAACCTACCAATCAATGAATATTTATCTATTTCTTCCTATCCTGTTATGCATCAAAAATACCTCTTCAAGTTGTTGAAATAATCAAAAATATTCTTTCTTTTCCTGACATTTTTCCGTGAACTATCTTCCTTTTCAAAAAGAAACCTAATAAACAAGAAATATTTAACAAGTCATTTTTATAAGTAAAACTTTTTTTTGGACCAGGATGATACAGTTTAGACATTCTCTTGAATGCAAATATAACATTGCATTAATTAGATTCTTTATAAAGCTTTCTTTATTGATCCTTATTAGGGATGTAATTAATTGTGATTTGGCCAAATACTAAATATTTGGACAAATACCAAATATTTGCCAAGTATTTGGTATTTTGCACATTTTTTAAAAAAATTATTAATGATTAATAATTTTTATAAATAAATAAATAAATTAGTCATTATTGAAAAATAATCAAAGCTTAGTATGTTAACAAAATTCAGTATTCTTGTTTCATTATTTGTAATATAATACAACATTATTTGTAATATAATAATGAATTCAACAGTTTTTGAAAGTAGATCATCAAACAAAGATCAAAATTTACTTCATTCAATAAAATATAATGTTAATATTTAAATTAGTGCTATTTAATTTTCTTATAATCAACTGAAATATTCCTGAATATTTTTATGTATAATGCATTTTCATGAATAAATGGCAAAATAAACAGGCGATAATTTGAGAAGGAGAGACTCCCACCAAAGGTGGTATCAAATAATTAACAAACATTAAGAAAATTTACTCTTCCTCGGGATATCTTTCTGGATTATGAATTTTAACTATAAACAAACTGGTGCAAAATTTAAATTCTAATATAATCTGTCGTGAGATTATAGCAATCAAATATTGATAGAAAAAATGAAAAATCTTAAGATAAAAGACTGCTAGGTGAAAATAGCATAAACCCTGATTAGAATTAAAGCAATCATAATATTTAAAAAGACTTCAAAAATTACAAAAACGAACAACAAATGAAATATTAAATTAACTAAATAAAAAGCTTGGGGATAGAATTTAGTGATTATTAATCTTTAACCAGACACCCATCAAAGATTTAGAGTGAGATAAACTATTTTTGAGTCTGATGACCTTACAGTATTTCTTATGATTCATTAAAGAGACGGACAACACATACCAAATAACTTTTCAGCCACAAACTACTATTCTTAAACTGACAATGGCAAAATGAGGATGTAGAAAGAAATTTAATGTACAACAAATAAATAAAATGTAATTATAAATTGCAAGAAAACAGTTTTTGAAAATTGAATGTATATGAATATAATATATGCTACCTATCCTCTTTGGGCTAGCTGGCACATAGGACCTCAAGTCTCTTGTTTCAGGCTCTCTAGTCCTGAGCCAGTACTCTTGTCTCCTCTTATCCATTTTGTTTTGCCTTGCGCAAATCTTGATGCATGTATCCTTGCTAAGTAAGTCTCGGCCTTCCTCTTTTATAGTTTCCATCGGGTGCCCAAGTAAGAACAATGTTAGCAGGGCTGTCTTGTTTTAAACAAAGGGTATGTCCAATTCATCTCCATCTTCCTTCAAAATTTCCTGATGAAAGGGTGTTAGTTTTTCCTTCATTGCTAGATCTTCATTTAAAATTTTGTTAGGCCATAAAATTTTTAAAATAATTCTTAAACATTTGTTTTGGAATGTTTCCAGTTCTTCTATTTTAGTTTAGTGGAGGTTCCAACATTCAGCAGCATACCAAAGTATGAAGCGAACAACAGCTTTGAAAAAAAAAAAATTTGTGAAGATTTTTATACTTTAGGTTCTCAAAATTTTTTGAAGGTTTCTGAAACAGCTTCTAATTTTTATAATTCTTTTGTTATATCATTTCTGCCTCTTTGTTTACTTACAATTGCTCCAAGGTGTGTGAAAGAATCAATTTCTTCAGAATTTATTAATTGATTTTGCATTTAATCTCATGGCTTTTGTTTGATACTTATTAATTTGTAGACTAATTTGATTTGCATATTTATTAAATTTTTCATTTTTTTCACTACCTATGAATCTAGATGAAAGGAAGACTGTCATCTGTATAATCAAGATCAAGGGCGGTATTAAAATTCTATCTGGTCTCTCTTTTTTTTCATTTTTGGTTGTGTGCTTCATAATCCAATCAATGGAAATTACAAATAAAAATTCAGACAACTCTTCACTTTTTCCAGAAAATTCATATAATAAAAGAAATTAACTGCTTTAAAAAATGTGCAAGTTTAGAAATTAAACCATCTAACAATCAATGAACATTCATAATAAATATCGTAAAATTAAAAAGTAACATTAAAAAAACCATGATGGAGTTCAATTCCTACTCTGTAAATTTTAAAACACTAATCAGTTTAAGTCTAAGAGTGCTGTCTTTCTACATACTCTACTTCACATTTATTATATCATCCTTCACTAAAAAAGTTTTTCTGTAACTTTTCTATCTCTAATAAGGTGCTTGCTATATATGTACATGATTGTACTTTTTCTTTAGGTAGAAATTACAAAAATTACCGATCTTAACTCTAAACTTAAGGAATAGCCCTACTTATAAAGGTTGAATAAAATTATGAATCTCTCTCATGATTAATTTGAACTTTGGATTAATTTTTTGCTGTATTAAATTGGTTTGTTTAATTTTAGGTTATGTTAAATATTCAAAAACAAGAAAAAAAAGTAAACCAACTACTAAAACAGATAAAGCTAGTTTAAAAGGTAAACATGTTTTTTATTCTTCATTTGCCATTTCAGAAAATCCAGACTGATATCCAAACATAATAACTGAATTATTATCATACTTATAAAGATTAAATCCATTAGTAAATATTGACTCTTGATTAATTTTATACTTGATTAAAAATTAAATATGTTTATTTTTAGTTAAAGTTCTACATTCAACATCATCAAAAGATGTTATACGAGCTATAAAGTCTGATGATTTTACTCTAACAGGTGCGCCAAATGTTTGTTTTTTTCTTCATTTATCATTACAAAAAGTTAAAAATTGTAACTTATGAGTAGAATAGTAACTTATAAAGGTTGAATTAAATTGTTTATTTTTAGACAATTGTAAACCTGCAAAATCGACAAAAGATTATATGCCAGCTGCTAAAACAAAAAAATCTTGCCTAAAAGGTGAGCTAAATTTTTTTTCTTCATTCATAATTACAGAAAATCAAAACTTATTCTTATAGTCATGCTTATACAGGTTATATAAAATTGTAAATATATACCCTTAATAAGTTTATACACTTTATTTCAAATTTAATTGTTTATTTTTAGACAGTCTTAAACTTTCAACAATGTCGAAAAATTATAGGCCAGCTACTAAAACAAAGAAAGCTTGCCTAAAAGGTGAGCTAAATATTTTTTCTTCATTCATAATTTGAAAGTTAAAACTTATACTTACAGTCATACAGGTTAAATTAACTTGTAAATATTTACCCTTAATAAATTTTATACTTTATTTAAAGATAAATTGTTTATTTTTAGACAATCATAAACTTCCAGCAAAAAATTCTAAACCAGCTACTAAGACAAAAAAAGCTTGTCTAAAAGGTAAGCTAAATGTTTTTTCTTCATTTATAATTACAGAAAATCAAAACTTATAGTAATACTTATAAAGGTTAAATTAAATTTTAAATATTTAACCTTACTTAATTTTATACTTTATTAAAGATTAAATTTTTTATTTTTAGACAAACATAAACTTTCAACAATGAAAAACAAACAAATGTCAGCTACTAAAACAGATAAACCTGGTCTAAAAGGTAAGCTAAATGTTTTTTCTTCATAATTACAGAAAATCAAAACTTATACTTATAGTCATGCTTATAAAGGTTAAACTAAATTGTAAATATTTAACCTTAATTAATTTTATACTTTATTAAAAATTAATTTTTTTATTTTTAGACAAAAATAAACTTTCAACGAAGACAAAAAATTTTATCCCAGCTACTATAACAGATAAAGCTCGTCTAAAAGGTGAGCAAAATATTTTTTCTTCATAATTACGGAAAATCAAAACTTATATTTAGTCATATTTATGAAGGTTAAATTAAATTTTAAATATTTAACCTTACTTAATTTTATACTTTATTAAAGATTAAATTTTTTATTTTTAGACAAACATAAACTTTCNATCAACACTTTTTAACGTGGACGCAACTTTCTATTTATGCCGCGTTAAAGCGGATTTCAAAACTTTTTTTCTTATTTTTAATGCGTCCATTTTAAAATATGCAATTAAACTTTATAACAACAAATTCTCATAACTAATTATTTCAAATAAAGATTGGAAAGAGCTCACCGGGATTCCCCTTCAGGCTGACAACGGACCATCTGAAAAATATTAGATCAGAAAAACTTTTTAGCTGGTTCTTTTTTTTAATTTTTTACCACAATAAAGGACACACGACTTGCTCTTCCTCCATCTTTTTTATTTTCTCTTTCACTTAATACACATGACTCTTCCCAGCGCCATCTCTTGATCTTTTTTTAATTAATTTGGCGCGGGAACAGTCATACTTATAAAGGTTAAACTACATTGTAAATATTTAACCTTAATTAATTTTATACTTCATTAAAAATTATTTTTTTTATTTTTAGACAAAAATAAACTTTCAATAAGGACAAAAAATTTTATCCCAGCTACTATAACAGATAAAGCTTGTCTAAAAGGTGAGCAAAATGTTTTTTCTTCATAATTACAGAAAATCAAAACTTATGCTTAGTCATACTTATAAAGGTTAAATTAAATTGTAAATATTTAACCTTAATTAATTTTATACTTTATTAAATATTAAATTTTTTATTTTTAGACAAACATAAACTTTCAACAATGAAAAAAAAATTAATGTCAGCTACTAAAACAGATAAACCTGGTCTAAAAGGTAAGCTAAATGTTTTTTCTTCATAATTACAGAAAATCAAAACTTATACTTATAGTCATTGAACAATATTAGATCAGAAAAACTTTTTAGCTGGTTCTTTTTTTTAATTTTTTACCACAATAAAGGACACACGACTTGCTCTTCCTCCATCTTTTTTATTTTCTCTTTCACTTAATACACATGACTCTTCCCAGCGCCATCTCTTGATCTTTTTTTAATTAATTTGGCGCGGGAACAGTCATACTTATAAAGGTTAAACTACATTGTAAATATTTAACCTTAATTAATTTTATACTTCATTAAAAATTATTTTTTTTATTTTTAGACAAAAATAAACTTTCAATAAGGACAAAAAATTTTATCCCAGCTACTATAACAGATAAAGCTTGTCTAAAAGGTGAGCAAAATGTTTTTTCTTCATAATTACAGAAAATCAAAACTTATGCTTAGTCATACTTATAAAGGTTAAATTAAATTGTAAATATTTAACCTTAATTAATTTTATACTTTATTAAATATTAAATTTTTTATTTTTAGACAAACATAAACTTTCAACAATGAAAAAAAAATTAATGTCAGCTACTAAAACAGATAAACCTGGTCTAAAAGGTAAGCTAAATGTTTTTTCTTCATAATTACAGAAAATCAAAACTTATACTTATAGTCATACTTATAAGGGTTAAACTAAATTGTAAATATTTATCCTTAATTAATTTTATACTTTAATAAAAATTATTTTTTTTATTTTTAGACAAAAATAAACTTTCAATAAAGACAAAAAATTTTATCCCAGCTACTATAACAGATAAAGCCTGTCTAAAAGGTGAGCAAAATGTTTTTTCTTCATAATTACAGAAAATCAAAACTTATACTTAGTCATACTTATAAAGTTTAAATTAAATTGTAAATATTTAACCTTAATTAATTTTATACTTTAATAAAAATCAAATTGTTTATTTTTAGATGATCATAAACTTTCAACAATGAAAAAAAAATTTATGTCAACTGCTATAACAGATAAAGCTTGTCAAAAAGGTGGGCAAAATGTTTTTTCTTCATAATTACGGAAAATCAAAACTTATATTTAGTCATACTTATAAAGGTTAAATTCAATTTTAAATATTTAACCTTAATTAATTTTATACTTTATTAAAGATTATTTTTTTTTTATTTTTAGACAAAAATAAACTTTCAATAAAGACTAAAAATTTTATCCCAGCTACTATAACAGATAAATCTGGTCTAAAAGGTAAGCTAAATGTTTTTCTTCATAATTACAGAAAATCAAAACTTATACTTATAGTCATGCTTATAAAGGTTAAACTAAATTATAAATATTTAACCTCAATTAATTTTATACTTTATTAAAAATAAATTTTTTTATTTTTAGACAAAAATAAACTTTCAATAAAGACAAAAAAATTTATCCCAGCTACTATAACAGATAAAGCTCGTCTAAAAGGTGAGCAAAATATTTTTTCTTCATAATTACGGAAAATCAAAACTTATACTTAGTCATACTTACAAAGGTTAAATTAAATTGTAAATATTTAACCTTAATTAATTTTATACTTTATTAAAAATCAAATTGTTTATTTTTAGATGATCATAAACCTTCAACAATGGCAAAAAATTTTATCCCAGCTACTATAACAGATAAAGCTTGTGTAAAAGGTGAGCAAAATGTTTTTTCTTTATAATTAGGGAAAATCAAAACTTATACTTAGTCATATTTACAAAGGTTAAATTAAATTGTAAATATTTAACCTTAATTAATTTTATACTTTATTAAAAATCAAATTGTTTATTTTTAGATGATCATAAACCTTCAACAATGGCAAAAAATTTTATCCCAGCTACTATAACAGATAAAGCTTGTGTAAAAGGTGAGCAAAATGTTTTTTCTTTATAATTAGGGAAAATCAAAACTTATACTTAGTCATATTTACAAAGGTTAAATTAAATTGTAAATATTTAACCTTAATTAATTTTATACTTTATTAAAAATCAAATTGTTTATTTTTAGATGATCATAAACCTTCAACAATGGCAAAAAATTTTATCCCAGCTACTATAACAGATAAAGCTTGTGTAAAAGGTGAGCAAAATGTTTTTTCTTTATAATTAGGGAAAATCAAAACTTATACTTAGTCATATTTACAAAGGTTAAATTAAATTGTAAATATTTAACCTTAATTAATTTTATACTTTATTAAAAATCAAATTGTTTATTTTTAGATGATCATAAACCTTCAACAATGGCAAAAAATTTTATCCCAGCTACTATAACAGATAAAGCTTGTGTAAAAGGTGAGCAAAATGTTTTTTCTTTATAATTAGGGAAAATCAAAACTTATACTTAGTCATATTTACAAAGGTTAAATTAAATTGTAAATATTTAACCTTAATTAATTTTATACTTTATTAAAAATCAAATTGTTTATTTTTAGATGATCATAAACCTTCAACAATGGCAAAAAATTTTATCCCAGCTACTATAACTGATAAAGCTTGTGTAAAAGGTGAGCAAAATGTTTTTTCTTCATAATTAGGGAAAATCAAAGCTTATACTTAGTCATACTTACAAAGGTTAAATTAAATTTTAAATATTTAACCTTCATTAATTTTATACTTTATTAAAAATCAAATTGTTTATTTTTAGATGATTATGAACTTTCAACAATGACAAAAAATTTTATCCCAGCTACTATAGCAGATAAAGCTTATGTAAAAGGTGAGCAAAATGTTTTTTCTTCATAATTAGGGAAAATCAAAACTTATACTTAGTCATATTTACAAAGGTTAAATTAAATTGTAAATATTTTGCCTTAATTAATTTTATACTTAATTAAAAATCAAATTGTTTATTTTTAGATGATCATAAACTTTCAACAATGACAAAAAATTTTATCCCAGCTACTATAACAGATAAAGTTTGTCTAAAAGGTGAGCAATTTTTTCTTCATAATTACGGAAAATCAAAACTTATACTTAGTCATAGTTATAAAGGTTAAATAAAATTGTAAATATTTAACCTTAATTAATTTTATACTTTATTAAAAATCAAATTGTTTATTTTTAGATGATTATAAACTTTCAACAATGACAAAAAATTTTATCCCAGATACTATAGCAGATAAAGCTTGTCTAAAAAGTGAGCAAAATGTTTTTTCTTCATAATTAGGGAAAATCTAAACTTATACTTAGTCATATTTACAAAGGTTAAATTAAATTGTAAATATTTAACCTTAATTAATTTTATACTTTATTAAATATCAAATTGTTTATTTTTAGATGATCATAAACTTTCAACAATGACAGAAAATTTTATCCCAGCTACTATAACAGATAAAGTTTGTCTAAAAGGTGAGCAATTTTTTCTTCATAATTACGGAAAATCAAAACTTATACTTGGTCATACTTATAAAGGTTAAATTAAATTGTAAATATTTAACCTTAATTAATTTTATACTTTACTAAAAATCAAATTGTTTATTTTTAGATGATCATAAACTTTCAACAATGACAAAAAATTTTTTTCCAGCTGATGAAACCGATCAAGTTTTTGTATTAGGTGAGCTAAATATTTTTCTTCATTCACTGTTGCATAAAATCAAAATTGATTTATATAATTTCTTATCTTATTTGCTTTCTGCGTTTAAAGAGAAAAAATGGTTTTAAAATTAAATTGTTGAGATCAATTTATTCTTACAAAAAAAATAATAATAATAATCTGCGCTCATACTGTGTCTGTATTGGTTAAAGTTAAAATCATTGTGACTTAATTATTTGCTCAATTTTTACAATATAAGTACTGTGCATGTAATTTTGTTTAAATATTTTTGACTCTATCGTAGAATTTTAATTCAGCAAATGTATTTTTGCCAGTAGCTATCTATAGTAGTAACTTTTCCATTAATTTATTCTATGAAAGGTTCACTGAAAAGAAAAAAATTTTGCTTACAAGTGAGCGCCTATGTTATTCAGAGGAAATTTTATAACAAATTCATCGCTTAGCAACCTTGAAGAAAGATCTACTGTCAACAAAGAAAAATCGTTGAATATTATCAAACTTTTTTAGCTGCAGAAGAGCAGAAAGAAATTTGAAAGCATTTTTGCGAAAAATGACCAAAATTCTCCTAACACTTTAGACTCTTGAATGAATATATGTATGTGTCTATGTGTGTATATATATGTATGTATATATTATATATATGTATATATACATATATTGTTTATTGTTGGACTATACCATTATGCCAGGCGTCGAGTAGCTCGGTTAGGGAGAGGAGGAAGTAAGAGTTTTATAATTATAACATATTAGTAATTTATTTACAAGAACTATATTTACAGACATTAAGTTGTTACATCGTTCTTCACATAAGGTTTACTTGGCTCGCACTCCTTTGCTTTCTGTTACAAAATCATCCGTGTATATCCACATAATTACTACTGCCCTCTAATTCATAATTACTACTGCCTTCTAATTCATAATTACTACTGCCAATATTTTCTTTTAAATTTAAATAAATTTACAGTTTAGCGTTAACAATATATATATAATATTGTGGTGGTAGTAATCATCATTCCAAATTTTTAGTGATAGTTCTAGTATCATCTTTGACTGTTACAGATACATCTTAATTTGAATGTAATATACTGATAATTATCTCAGAGAAATGAATAAAATCATTTATGAAAAATTGATTTATTAAGCATTGAAAATAGCCATTATTCAAAATATTAAAAAAAAAAACCTTAAAGGAATCAAGAGAAACATTATCCTATTGAGATAATTTCAGTTTAGATTTTTATTCAATGGTTGGGATTGGGAGGCCCAAAATGGCATCCCCAGTCGCCAAAAATTGAAAGTGAATTAACTGTTCCCAATGGACAGTTTGGAGCATGGGAAGAGATCCAAAGTTGAAGAATTATCGAAAGATTACATAGCTACAAATATAGCCAATCCCATAATTATTATTAGATTTGAAATAATTCGGTATAATCGAAATAATCGCCTAAAAGACTGAGAATTAGTATAGCCATGCAACTGAAACATATATGCAGTAAGAATGAAGAGTTTTGTTCTTGATTTAGTGAAGTAAGGAGTCTACATTAGTATTGAAATAAAAAGTTAGCCGTTACATTTATCAATAAGAAAAGAATGAAATATTTTATATTCGCTTTTTATAAATTGTAAAAAAAAATTATAATTGATTTATTTTAATTACAATTCGATTAAGAGTGATTAAAAAATAAGTTTAAGAAATTACAGAAATTTTAAAAGCTGGGATATATATATTTATGGAATGCCTATTGTGGCATCGCAAATGCATATCTACATATATATGTGTGTGTATATATATATATATATGCATATGATAATAGCAGCCATGAACAAATGTTCAGGAGCACATGCAAACAGTTAGATGAAAAATGATAAGTCATTTTAAAGAGATGGCAGAACTTCTCATCGTCTATTTAAAGCATATTCAATTATTGGCAGAGCCCAAATCACGCTCTGAAATCTGTATGCTTGAGTTTTTATCCTAGAGAAAGTAGCATAAGTTTTTCCCTCTATTGTCTTAGGTCTCAGAAAGAAAGGGAAACATAAAAAATTATAATTGATCTAATAAATAGGTCGAAGGAAAAAGTATTTTTCACGAGTTAGAGGGAAAACTATAAAATGTTAGCTAAAGCATAACTTAAAGCTAAAAATAGATTAAAAGTCAGGATGGGAACATTAATGTGTGAGAAAGAGCGTTTAATTTGGAATAATAAATAAGGAATAACATACAAATATTAGAATTATATATTTAGAAATTATTTTTTTGCTTGATTTGTGCTTCTAACTTTCTAAATTGTTTGAATCTTTTTATGTACATCCTTCCTCCCCAAAGAATTTTAATTACCATGGAAAAATTTTAAAAAATTATTATTTATTTACCATACTTTCCCTATGATTGAAGCACAATTAAAATGAAAAGAATAAAATTTGTAATCTCAACGTACAATCAAATAGTGTGTTTTTTATAAATATGTATATTATTTTTATAAATAATATACATATTTATAAAAAACACACTTATATAAACAAGATTAAAATCTAACACAATGATACTAATTTTAACACACAATTTGCTGCGGATATGTTTTTAGGCCTACTTTACACTTAAATGATGTTTTTTTAAAAATTGATAGTTTTTCTGACTCTTTGTCAGTTTATTTCAAAGTTATGTTTATATTTCTTGATGACAACCATTCACCAATAAATACTATTCTTCTTCCATACATTTTTAAATTCTTTCATTTAAAATTGTAAATTTCCACATTTTAAAAATGCAAATATTTATGAACATTATATATAACAGTATGGAATTACAAGTTGTCATTTTTTGTTATAGGAAAAATATTAATTTGAAGTTAGACTTTAGTCAATTTACTTAGTTCAGTTTGCTTAGTGAATAAGAAATGACTCAGTGGTCTTTATTCTGAAGTTTAAAACTTTAGTATATTTAGGGGCATTTTTGCTAGATAAGGGGCTTTACTCCCCAAAAAGAGGAAAACAATCCCAAGTCTCAATAATGTTTTTCTGAAAGATCCTGGTTTCAAATATAAGCTATACTTTATTTGTAGTTTTGATCACAAACAGAGAAAAAAATCTTCCATCGCCCCATATCTTTTTGTTAGATCTGGGTAAACACTGAATTGTTTCTTCCAGAAAAAGGGGACAAATTCGTCTAAACCATCTTTTGTTAGGTAAACTCAGTATTTTTTTTTGTAAATTTAATTTTACATTAACAATGAAAAACCATTAAAACATTAAATTTAATATGAAATATAAATTACTTATATTATTAAGCCACAATATTATTTAAATTTGTTTATTATTCATGAGATAATTTCAGTTTATCAGGTGGGTGGTACCTTTGCAATTTTGATACATGAACTATTTCTGTATTTTCCTTATTATGAATATTTATTTTATAAATAACATCAAAATATTTTTCAAGAATTATGTATGAATCAGAAAAAGTTGGGGTAAGTTTTCGAGTATTTGGGTATTTAAAATCTTCACACATTATAGTATTTTTAGGAGAAAATTTGATATGAGTAAATCTTGCATCATAGTAAATTTTATTTTTTTCATGATATTGTTTTGTTATTTAACAGCAATTTTTCTAGCTTCTATTGGTGGATACATTTCTTCTGATAAAAATGATTAAATGGAACAATGCCAAACAATAAATAAGCTGGTGGAAATTTAGTTATACAGAGTGCAGAGTCAAATTTAATTCTTCTCTTACTTCTTTTAATAATTTAGGCCAAGGAATTTTTTTTATCATTAATTTTACATTTTAAACGCATTACAATGGTTTTTCCTAAATGTTCAACTTTTCCATTAGTTTCTGGTCTATGAGCTGTATTTAACAATTGTTTAATTTCACAACGTTTAAGAAATTGTTTTAAAATGAAAAGAAGTAAATACAACATTTCTATCACTTAAAATGCTTTTAGAAGTTTGAATTTGAAAAATTTTGTGCAAAAAATCAACAAAAATTTCTGTGGTTATCAATTTAGATGCAAAAGACCACATGTATTGGGTTTGATGATCGATCATTAAAATTAAATATTTTTCGGTAGAATTATGATTAAAAACACCTACAGTATCTATTGCAATTATTTCAAAAGGTTTGTCAACTGGGGGCTTTTCCTGAAGCAAACCAAATTCTTTTTTTGTCTAGGTTTTTTATTTATTTGACAAGTATGACAATATTTATTGAAATTTGTAATTTCTAAAGTAATTGTTTTCTGACTCCCTGAATGACCAAATTTTTCATGAGTAATTTCAAGTAATTTTTGTTCAATGAAAATGGAACAACAGTTTTAGTAAAACCCTTTTTGTGTAAACATAAAGCATTAATAATTTAGAAAGTTTGAAACACAAATCAGGCAATAAAACGAAGAATTTTGAAGATGTAAGTCCTTTTTTGAATTTGTGTAAATCAGTTTCATTCTTTGATTTGATAGCATAAAACATTATTCGTTTCAATAAAATTTGCCATTAAATTATCATTTTGTTGGGCTTTGCAAATTTCGTCTGATTGCAAAAGATGTGAAAAATAGCTTACATAATTTATATCAATATTACTATTATTTATATCAATATTACTATTATTACATTTGTTTAATGCATCTACTAAGACATCAGAAATTTTAATTCTGTGATAGCATAATATTTTCATTGTCTTTTAAGGAACAAGAATTGAATGTTAATGGCTGTATATGAGGCCTGAAACATCTGGCTGTTTCAAAATTGCTCCAACACCACTTAGACTTGCGTCAACAAAAATGTGACATTGTAATTTAGGGTTAAATATTTTCAAAACAGATTAAGAAATTAAAGCATTTTTCAAAATATCGAATGGTTCTTGACAGTTGGAAATCCAACACTAAGTTGTATCTTTCTTTAAGAGATTATTTAAGGGTGCTTTAATTTTAGCATAGTTATTTAAAAATTTATTATACACATTTATTGAACCTAAGAAGTGCTGAAGAGATTTAATATTAGTTAGGGGTTTTAAATTTTTAAATGCTTTGATATTATTGTTATCTGGAGTCACTATACTATTACATATTTCATAACCCAAAAATTTAATTTTAGTTTGCAAAAAAGAGCATTTGGAAGCATTTAATTTTAAGTTTTCAAATCAACATACTTTAAAAAAGATATGAAAGTGATTTAAATGTTCTTCAAAACTATTTGAATAAATAATAATATCATCAAAATAATTAGCTACTAATAAAACTTTATGTTTAGTGAGTATTCTGGATATTGTACTTTGTGTTCTTCCTCCCAAATGGCAATCTTAATCTACTGCTGGTGACAAAACCAAGTTTCTCAGTGTCATCAGGGTTAATTTGAGTTTGCCAATAGCCATTGACAATGTTCAGTCGACTTAAAAAAACCAATGCCTAATTTATCTATGTGAGTTTCTATAAGTGGTAATGGCTCTGTATCTGATTTAGTAATTTGATTTAATTTTCTGAAATCTATAGAAAATCTACTTTTTTATTTTCATCTTTCTTAAAAGCTAATGTTACTGGAGCTAATTAAGGAGAAGAGCTTTCTTTAATTATATTATGCTTTAATAATTCTTTAATTAGTTTATCTGTTTCCTCTTGAATTGGAGAAGTTTTGTATGCTTGTAAGGACACTGGTAAGTCTAATGTTAATCTTACCTTTTGAGGTTCAATTCTTACTGTCCTTACATCAAATTTAACTTTATCAAAAATATCTTAAATTCTTTTAAATTTCCTGTAGTTTTTTCATTATCTTGAATTTTTTTCGTTATCATGAATTTGCACAATTCTGTCAACATGATTCTGACAATGCAGCACCAAAAAAAATTACCGATTTTAGTTATTGGTAAATCGATAAAACCCGGATGCTTTCGAAATGTTAAGTTGTTGCCTTGTGATTATGACAGTAATCAAAAATCCTGGATTGCAATTGCAAATTTTGAAGCCTATTTGAAAAAGTAAGGCAATAACATGCAGACAAAAAAAGGAAACATAATCTTCGTAGACAACTGTGCTGCTCTTTCCAAAGAGAATAAGTACACTAGCATCTGGTTGCAGTTTTTACCACCAAACTCTATTTCTGTTCTACAACTGATAAACCAGGGAGTTATCAAGATATTTAAGCAGCATTATAAAATGCGAGTTGTGAAACAAATGCTGGAAGGACTTGAAAATACAACAGAGCTAAAAAAAGTCAATGTTTTTGAAGCGATTGAGTTTATTGTATCAGCATGGGAATTAATAACACCATCTGCGATTGCTAATTGTTTTCAAAAAGCTGGATTCTCTGACTGAGATACAACTGAAAAGTATGACTTTGAGGCTGAATGTGAAATGTCAGATGAAGATGAAGAAACAAATGAAAATTTTGATAATGATTGGAAGTCGCTCCAAAATAAACTTCATTTCACTGCATCGTTTAAAGAATATGTATCAGTTGAGGAAGAAATTTTACTTTGTGATGTACTTACATTACAGGATATTTGTGACATTACAAATGACGCAGAAGAAGTGAGTGAAACCGAACAAGATATTGCTAAAGCTCCTGGTTTTCTGATGCTAGAAAAGGGTTGGATACTTTTCGAAAATATATTTACAGCGTTGAACAGTTGGACAATTTTCACTTAAAAGTCAGGACAAAAAAAACAAACTACTTTACATGGGTTTTTTTTCTCTCAAAAATCTCGTCAATAATTGTAAAAATGTAAATAACAATGTATAAAATTAAAAAAATGAGATAGGTAACTTTGTTTTTATTTATTAGCAATTTTTTTCTAAATTAATACTAAAATTAATTATGCTGATTCTGTAATATGAGTTATACAATTTTAAAAATTTTTAATTTGTGTGTTTTTAAACTTCACTGTTTAAGAAGTTTACAGTTTGTAATTTTTTATGAGCACCAATTAGTAGTTTCTTGCATTTCCATGGAATAATTTGTCTCAAAGCGGCCACATTCATCTATTTTCCTTAGAATCATAAATAATGCTGATGTAGAATGTCCATATTGTTTCATTGAGAAAGGGTAAAAGGAGGCATGATAGATATGTGGTGACAGTTTTATATATATATATATGTGTGTGTGTGTGCTACAGAGTTTCTTAAAATGGAAGAATTTCTATTTTAAGTGGAAATATAGCTTGGTCAGCCTTGATCAACATATATTTTCTTATAAACATGAAGAGTAAAGATTTAAAAAATAAATTGGGTGACAGGTTGTTAAAGTTTTACTTTCTGAATTGATACTAGGCATAAATTAAAATCTTCTACTTTGCTTTTTCTTTGTCTAATATTGCTTGTGTAAACAAAAGAAAAATGTATTTCCTAAATAGAATTTGCCTGTTGGAATAGCAGATGGCCAATGGTTTTTATCTCATCAGGAGTATACAGTTTTTGTACATTTAATATTAACATTTTGAAGAGGACTTAGAGCTTGTCAAAACAGCTGGCTTCTTGAGATATGCTGTACTCATATCAAACTTAATCTATTATTTTTAACTAAGCTAGTCCAGTTTAATTATTGATGTAATTATGTCATTCTAATATTTCATTTTATAACACAAGCGTGAAATCCTTTATTTACTATTTTATCTATTATAAAATTTTGCATTAAAAATGTAAAATAAAAATGTTTTTAATTATAATGTTCTCTTTTCAGAGGAAGTCTTTAAGGGTAAATTCGTCGCTAAGGGGGACAAGTATGACTCTAGATTTTCTGATACCCATTCTGATATTTTCAAAGAAAAGGCTTATACTTATGAAATGAAGGTAAATATTTTATTCCTTTCATTATTCCTTACATATCTAATCATTAATTTTAAATTAAATCAATTCAGATTTATAGAAGAATCTTTAAAATCAGTATATTTTATCTATGTATCTTACTACATCTTAATCGCACTGTGTAAAAAAAAATTTCAGAAATGGTTTAATTTTGTATTTCTCCAAAATAATATATACGAATTTAGGTTTGTTTCAAACTTTTAGTACTAAATAAAATGTCTCTCAATGTAACTTTATTCTATTTCATGCTTGATTACTTGATCACATTGTAATATGATAATGAACACATTGAAAGTTAACTTATTTAAATAATTTAACCCACTTGTCCAAATTAATGAATTTAATTTTAGGGATTAGTTTCAATTAAACGAAATCAGTCACAATTTTAGTATTTTAAAGTTATGAGGATTATTCAGTCTACAATTTTATTAGGACAATTATTTTATTCAGTCTACAATTTGTAATAGTCTTATTTATGAATTAGAATGAGAGACTTTATGAATTTCTGGTTTCCATTATAACTGTCAATGCATCAAGTCCCTTATTCTATTCCATAAATGCAATCTTAACAGATTCTCCACTACTACATATTAACTGTAGATAATACATAATTTCACTTGTTACTATGAGAATTATTACCCATTCTAAGAGAAGGTCTGATTTTGAATTTTTCAGTAGTTAGTTTTTTCCGCTATTTCACTGTTTTTTTTTTTAATTCTAATATATTCAATATAATATTATTATGAACTGGGATTTTCAGATATAAGTTATTACTTTTTGATGATTTCATCATAAATCCATGTCTTTTCTCGATTGTTTATCCGTAATTACTTATCATAAGTCATTTGCTCAAGCTATCAAAACTCAGGAAACCAAGAAAATTAATTATATTTTTTATTTCTGATGAATATAAAAAAAATTCTAAGCCCAGTGAGCAACATTTGTGGTCAGGTTTGAATAAAGAAACACTTTATTTATTTTAGGCTTTAGTATAGACAAGTACATGAGAAAACATAACATTTATCCTTCTAACAAAATCCCTGTCAACCAGTGCTGTTAATTGTTTTATTACCTTCCCTATTCTTTTTAAAGTATGGCATGGTTTTTTTACAATCAGTCCTGTATTAATTATTTATCAGTTAATCATTTGGAATATTTCTTGTACATTCGTAATATGGCCATCTCACGGAATTACATCTACTTTTATTTGCAGAAGTTGGTTCATTCTAGCAATCATCAAATATATAAATTCTCAACTCTCATTTGAGAATAAATCTGTATTATTTTTAAACAAAAGAAAATACCATTGGTTTACCTCAACCATATGCTACTTTGGAACAAATTTGTATAAGCAAATGTTCCAAAGCTAAAATTTATATAGTAGAATATCCCTAATCTCAAAATTCTGGCTAATCCAAGCCAGTATAACTTCTTGAAAATTAGAAGTGAGAAAATCTTTGTTAAAATATTTTTTAAAAATTATAAAAGCTAATATGTATAACAAATTTATACATTTGTAGTATGATGGAAACCACTTACATTTAAGCATTTGGCATTGCTATCTAGACAAGTGTTGCTAAGTTTTTTCTTTCTAAATGGAGTAAAACTAAGTTAATATGACTAATAACCATGCAGTTATCATTAGACTTTTAGTATATACAATGTATAAACAGAAAAAATTTTTACTTACTGATTTTTGCGTCTGACATCCTATCTAGGCAACGACGCTATTTACAACTATGAAGATTAAACATCTTTATAGTTTACTATTTTACCAAAATACAGGCTGAAACAACTACAGTTGAACCTTTATTTAATAAAGTTGCTAAATCCCGATAAAAAGTTCCTAATATGGAAAATTCATTAGATAGAAAATCACCATTTAAATTACTTAAATAACTCAAAACAAATTTTTAATTCATTAACACTCAACATAATTAAAACAGCAAATGATACACAGTTATCTTGTAAATTATTATCTACTATTGAATTATTTCCAATGATTTTAACACTTCATCATATGAAGGTTTGGTAATTTCTTTGTTATTTCTGTCTTTAATCTTCTTTGTCTTTTCTCACAATTTGTTGCTGTATTGCTTTTATTTTTCACACTAACCAAAATGCCCAATTCAGTTAATGTTACTGTGGTTGGAAATTTTACATTTGAATCTTAGTGGAATTCTCTGAGTTAACTGTAATCAACTATGAAAAACACTGGTTAAATCTCTTTTCGGAAAGCCACTTCATTATTTAATAAATATGCTTGAAGAACGTGTATAACTATGAAAGTAACTATCTGTTTAAATTTTTAACTGGAAAGCTACTTCACTATTTATTAAATATATTTTAAAAACATGGATGTAGTTTACAATACTCTTATAATAAATTTATGGTTTTCCTTCACAAAAGAGAAATAGAAATTAAATGCTGATGATTTTTGGTTTTACAAATGTTATTTACATTGTGAAATTTTTAGCTATGCGGAGAAAGTGTTAAAAAAAATAAATTTGTGAAATCTTCAACATCTATTTTTTCTAAAGGGCTTTATGCAATCTTTATAAGTTAACAAAAAGATTTGTATTTTATTAACTGCAAGTTTCTCAAAAAAAAATTAACTTTATTTGAATTTTTTATATTATTGAAGTACAGATATTATAAAAGTAGGTTACAGGATGGAGATTATTTTTTATATCCAAAGTAACTTTTTTTGGAGTTATACCCCAGTTGCAAACCTTAATGTATTGTTTCCTATCTATTTGTTTTACACTGAATAAAATTAAATTAAGAAATAGTCAACAAAATTTGTCTAATAATAAAATTGAAAGGGTTTTGTCTATAAAATAAATATTTTTTGGCAATATATTTATGCCTAAAAACCCTTGTAACTTTTAAACTATTTGTTCTATTAACTTCAATTTAGTCACATTTGATTTAGCATAAAAATTAATATGAAGTAATGCCAAATGCATAAATAATGAAGCTAAACATGTCAATGAGTATTAATCAAAAAATTTGATTTTTTTTTTCTGCATAAAACCTTTTAAACCTGTTATTCCATACAAATTAATTTTGGTCTAATTTAATTCAGTGTAAAAAAATATGTAGAAAAAGAGCCACACTTTCTTAGATAGGAATGTTAGATGGGTAAATAAACTTTAAGCAAAATTATGCTTTTTGTATTCAAACCCTTGTAATTTCTAAACTATTAGTTCTTTTGCTTTTGTTTGATTTCATTCAACTCAGAGTAAAAAAAAGTAGGAAGCAAAAACTAACTTGTCTTGATAGCAATGTTTAATTATCTTCCTTCTATAATTTTTTTTAGTTAAAGGTAACATAAAGCTTACATGTTGGGATGAGACAAATGCAAATTTCAGATATGCTCCATATTGGGCTTAAGTCACAACTTTTAAAACAATTTCTATCTTTTCTCTAATTTTATTTCTATTCAAATGCTTGGGAACTAGTCTTTAACTTATACAATAATAAATACAATTCTTTTAAGGAAAAAAATTTGTTTAAATTCATGTTTCAGAAATTAATGGAATATGAAGTATAATATAGCTTGATTATCTCCCTTATTTTCCTTTAAACTGTCTAATTTTTTCAAGTATAGGACTATTGGAAAATATTATACAAATACTTAAATGTGAATCCTTTTTTTACAGTTGGACAGATTGTACAAAATCAGTGAATTCCAAAATATTTACAAAAAGTCAAAGGTTTTGTCCTTAGAGAAGTATGTTTTTCTTTTTTAATGTTGATTAATTTGGTATTAAAATAAGGTTTAACTACTGAACTTGTTTTTAGTTGAAGTGATTTTAGACCTTTTTTATAAATCATTTTACTCAATTAAAGATAACTAATGAGACTAGAAATGTAAGTAGCTAAAGATCTCACAATGCTCAGAAGAAAAAACGGGGAATGTAGGGTGGCTGTTTTCTTTAGAAAAAGGGAAAACCTGAAATTTTCAGAGCAAATGATATCTGCTCTCAATGTTCTCAAAGTATTTGCTATTCGTGATAGTTGAAAGGAATTTTGTGCACAGTATGTTTTAATCTTTTATTTATGAGACATTATAACTTTTTTTTAGCCAATAGTGATCTTATGAAATTTATACAGCAGTGTTATCATTTGTTTTTCTTGCCTTTAGTATTGTTTTAATAACTTTGAATTTATAATTTTGTTATTTTCACTTTTTATATTAATCCAGCATTTTTTGAAACTAAATTTCTTAAAACATAAAAGTAAGTAAAGTAGTTAAATAAACCATTCTCGACTCTGTTGCTCTTTATTTTTTTTAGAAAAGGTAGAAATATACCAATTTTGAGTATGTATCAATCAACAATAAGGAGCCTGATTGTAGCTCAACAGGAATTTGAAACTTATCCCAAAATGAAACATGACTCTATTAGTGAAATGCTTCAAGTCATAGCATTTTGGTTTAAGGATTCTCAGAAGCCTATTTGTCATCATATTCTTCTGATCTTAACCCTTTTTACTCATTTTTCTGAAGCAATATTGAAGACAAAGTTATACAAATAACTCCAAGCCATTGAACTCAATAGTGTCATTTAAGAAGTCTTTGAAAACTATAAATTTCTTGACATTTCAATAAGTTTTGCAGAATTTTGCTATTTTTCTACACCAAGACACATCATAAACATTTATCACAAAAGCATACTAACTTTTCATTACCAAGCCAAAATATTTGTACATGCTTTTTAAATTTACATAAAGTTTATAAATTCATTTCTTTTATTAAATTATATATTTATGTATCATATTGATGATATTTAGTTTACAATATAAATTTTGTTATCCATGTAGGTCAGTAATTGATTTCCATTTGTCTTAAACAGAAATTGTATTATGGGGCTGATTAGTCTTTGTTTTAATAGAGCAGAAGGTGTATAAATTTGTTTCAATTTCTATTGTACTAACCTTTTTTAAATTAAAATCAATGTTGCTGTTATTAAAAATGCATTTTTACATATTATTTTACAGGAACGAAGGAGAGAACGATTTAGTTGTTTATTTTGAAGTACATGTATTACCAGAAGAAAATACAGCAGTCTTTCTAAGGAATGCTGTAGTTGACATCCTTACTATTGAAATGCAGTATTCAAGACTCAAAGTTTTCAAGAATTTAGAAATAGAAAATTCAATTAAAATACAAGGTAATTTTATTTTCTCGGATAATGATGCTAAATATAATCTAGTCTTTTAAAATTTAAAAAAAAATTTCAATTTAAACATGTTTTTCATATTGTATGTATAATATTGTCATGCTAAATCAAATCAAATTGGGAAAATTTTCTCTTAATTTATTTTATACTTTATTAAGAATTAAATTCGTTTGTTCTTAGACTGTAGTGAATATTCTTCTGAAACAGCAGATGATATGCCAGCTACTGAAACAAGAAAGGCTAGTCTTAAAGGTGAGCTAAATGTTTTTTCTTATTTAATCATTACAGAAAATTAAAATTGTTGTATATATATGATTTTATATTTTACATCCACACTGACCACAGTGCTGACATAAAATATCTCAGTTGTAGATGAATCATCGGCTAGAACCCCCTCGATGTCAGGCTAACCGTGGAAGGCTCTCGTGGTTTTCCTCCCAATGTAACCTAAATGCAGGTTAGTTTTATCAAAAAGTCCTCCACAAAGATAAATTTCTCCCAATACTTGATCAAAGAGTTCCCTTTTTTCTAGAGTGGGTTCAAAATTACGAGGCTACGGAGTTGAATATTAGTAGTTGTAAACCATCCAGAATTGGGTTAGCTGTTCAACGACGGTTATAAAATAAATTGCAGCTTAAAAGCTGCAATGAGGCTGTGATGTCTTTTGGGAGCCATCAAAATAAATAACTGGTAAAAATAAATAACAAATCAAAAGGTTGAGAAAAAATAAGAGAATTGAAAAATCAGCAAAGTAGTATAAAAAAGAAAATTATTTTGAACCGTCAGAAAACTCAAAGCAAATAAAATAAGAAAAATGGAAAAACAAGAGAGGAAAAGTACTTGTGATTAAGTTAACTGAATGAAATGTTAAAAAATTGAGATAAACATTGGGAATTAGCCAAATTACTATGTATGTTTAAAGATTAGGCACGGAAAAAAACGAACAAATTAAAAATGGTTACAAGACAGACATTGTTAAACAACTGCTTCTAAGGCTGCAACAGGAAGACTGATTGTTGACTAAAATAATTGCAATTGATGTTCCCACTCATACTGTTGCCAGATGCATAAAATTGAGTACAAAAGTTTAAAAAAAATATCTAAAGCCAACTAGGGGGGGGGAGGTGACACCACCATCTGGTGGACATGTAATCCACCACAGGACTTTCCAGTTATCAAAGATGCTTGCCCGCTTAAAAGGAAATCCACTTGATAAGGTGGGGGATGTTAAGCTACAAAATATTCAACATGAAGAAAATAATGTTATGAGACTCAAAATGAAAAAAAAGAGACTAAAATGCCAGTGAAAAAAAAAGAACATTCCTTTTGCAATAGATATTTGACCACTAAAACAGGAATCCACTTCCAAGAAAAGGGGAAGAAAAAGATTTGATAAAGAGAAATGGACTTTGACCTTGCTGCTAAGGGAATTAAGTGTAAATCGTGATTCATGCTTTAAACTGGCTATTTCATCATAGGACAAAGAAAGTAGGGATACCTTTCTTGAAATATGTGTTGGAAGAAAACTATTGTCATCTGTCAACTACAATCTATTGTCTGAATTTTTTAAAAAAAGTATATATCATAAGCACCATAAGTTTCAGTATTCGGTTATTTCCCTTAAGACAATTAAAAGCCGATTTAATGCTTTTTAGGTGACCTTGCCAACATAATAAGATGATATAACCAACATGATATGACCTTGCCTTGGTAGATAGAATTATGCTACTTACAGTATCACACCTGTACAATCATGCACACTGAACAATACAATTGGTTTAACATGTAACTTGCTCCTTAACCATTCTTTTATGTTTTCCTTTGCCATTTGTAGTTAACACTTTTTTAATTATGATGTTGAAAGTACCGCCTCTTTCTAAAATTTGGAACTTTTTTTTTTCTGTTCAAATTTGATGTCATTCTGATCAGTGTTTCTTTTTTATAGCATTTTGAAACTTAAATTTTAATTACAATCACTCTTTATATACATCTATATAGTAGAAAGTCTGATATTCTGAATCTTGTAGACTTCAACAAGTATGGAATATAGTTTTCTTCCTTTCTTTAAGAAAAATAAAGGTCAAAACATATGTAATTCCATAAAAAAATTCATTAATCACAATTAATGTCAATATTTCTACAGTAAAGTCTTGTTATCAGTTAAGTGCCATTTAGTTAACATGAAAATATTTAGTGTAATAAAATAAAATGTAAAAAAACATACGAACAAGTCAGCAGTTAGTTGAACTTTCCCTTTCATAAACAAAGGCAAGTTTCTCTCCTTATTTTTCTTATTTCGTGTGTAGAATTAGTAACTCAGATAAAAATAATATTAAAAAAAAACTATATTATGAAACAAGGATTAGAATTGAGTTAATTTTTAAACAAAATATTTATAATTTTAATGAAAATTAAGTCAAACATTAATATTCATACTTTATTCTTTTCGCTATTTTTTTTAACTGCTCTTGTCTTTCAAAAACTTTTAAGTTTGCTCAATAAAGCAGTTTGGATATTTAGCTATTCTGAATGCAGCAAGAGTTTAGAGATTTTCCCTTTTTGTTGAAAATAAACTAGCAAATAAATATAATTTAAAAAAGTATTCAATATTTTAAAGGAAGTAAAAATAAAAAGTGAGTAATACACATCTACAAGCAATAACAAAATTTTATTTCAGCCTTATAAATATTGCTCCTATTTTTTACTGTATTTTTGTTGTAAAATAGTAAAAAAAAAATTTAAAATTTGATATCTTATAAATAATGAGTACTAAGTAATTTCTTTTTCAGACTATTGCTTATAACTTGACTAATTCCTTTAATTTTTTATCATAAATTGAATATCCAATTTTTCTTTTACTATGCAAGAGCATAATTTTTTATTTTTTATTTATTAAAAGAATATTAATTGTCAAATGTGAAATAAAGAAAATAACATTATTATACTCTTTACAGAGTGTATCTTTAAATGTAGTATTGAAGTTATTAAGGGGGACAAGTACGATTCTAGTTTGGCAGATTCTGAGTCTATTGTTTACCAAGATAAAATCAATAGTTATAAAATAATGGTATGTATTTTTGTTCTTATTATTGTTCTTTACCCACCCAACCTTCTAAAGTCAATAAGGAAAAATAAAATACAAAAGACATTTTTTTATTTAAATCTTTAGAGCTTTATTTAAATTTGAAAAATGTTCATGTTCATGGGCATACAATAAAGCAAAGCATTCACACAACAGTGAGTTGTTGGCCAGAACGGTCATGATGTTTAAGATTCCTTCCACAATTTTGAGACCAATGGTATGGTTATAATCTGCTTGCATTTGTAAATAAATATTTTATTCCATTCCCAGTAAAAAGTTCTGTTTTTAAAAGTGAGTGAAAATGTTGGCAACTAATGTTGTTTTAAAGCATAGCACATTAAAACATATTTACATAGCAATCCATATTTTCTTTTTTCATTCCTAGGAAATTTATTTAAGAGACAAATGCTGATTTTTTTTTTAGGTCTGGAAATCATATTACTTGTATTTAATCGCTGAAATTTTGAAGAAATGTTTAATATACTATCTCCTTTGATTTTTACTGTTCATTAAACCTGAAATATTTTATTTGACATTCAGCAAAACCTTCAAACTTTTAATTGTTGAGTAAAAATTATATTTTATTCAAAGAGAGCATTATATTGTTGTGTGAAAATTAGCATCAAGTTCTGCATGTGCTCATTAGGTATAAGAATGTGCGCAGAATGATTAAAGCTAAATAATGTAAATAATGCACATAACAGATATACTACAGTTTTAGTTCTGTAAACAAAACCTTTCTCAAAATCCGTAAACAGAATGATGGAAAAATGCATCAAACGGACAAAATCCGAAAAAATTTTAACCAATAAAAAAAGTGGAAGAAGGTAATCAAATGAAGTATGATAAGAAACCGGTGTGAGAAGAACACCATATGTGAATATATATTGAAATTAAATTAAAATAAGATTTCAAAGCTTTGCTTAAAAATAAGATGCTGGAAAGGTCATTAACTGAATTATTATAATTTTTAAAAATGTGTAATTATTTCTGAAAGTCAAGGTCAGTTACTGAAAAGCTATGTTGACTGATTGACTGATATTAGTAAAAGAAAATTCAAACCTTTGTGTAGGAATTCATGCATCTCAGGCAATGGATAATCATTAAGAACTAGAAAGACTGAAAATCGCTGTGTACCAAGAAAATAAGGAGACCATGGTCTTCCTAGATTTTTTTGTAGATCTAAAATATATATCCAAAATCTAAACATAGGATAAAGAATAATTTATTAAAGACATGGGGTAGATATTTTTTTTAACAAAAATGTGTGATTAAATTGAAAATTGACTTTTTCACTTAAATTTGTGTTCGTTATTCTGATAATTGTGTTTTACTCTATATTAAAGATAATAATTGAAGATTATTGAAGAAAAAAAATATAATAAAAAATGAACTACAATATTTTTTTAAATTAATGAAACTGAAAATTTATGACACTAACTTGATTTATTTTAATTTTTTTGCAACTTCCCAGACAATTAATACACCGTACTTCCTTTGAATCCCATGTGCGTCAATACAGGTGTTTGTGCTATGTATTATTTCCTTTAAACTACGTTGCATTTCATTCTCTTTTTGGAAGTTTCATGCCTGTTCACTCATTTGCTTTGTTACTTTCATTGTTTTAGCTGCATTCTGCTTATGACAATAACAAGGTCCTGAGCTCCGGAAATGGAACAAAGATTCCTGGTTGGAAAGTAAAACAATGAAAGTTTTGATATGTGTATGCTTAAAACCATTTCATGAATGCTTATTTGGAATCAGGCATTTACCAATAACCGGTTCTAAGGGCGTGACTAAAATGTAACGTGTAGGCTATTTTGAAGTTTCGAGACAGTACTTTTGTTAGTTTAAATTATCTTAATTTTACATTTTCTAGTAATTATTGTCAAAAATTACTTTCAAATGAATACAGAAATAACTTATATGATGATGTTATTATTTAGTGTTCTACATAAGTTAGGCACGAATTCATTAAGTTATGTAGAATAACTGTTTCTGGGCCTATTAAAATGCAATTTTTGATAATTAACTAGAAATTAACATAAAATTAAGATTAACTTAGATAAATAAAAGTACAATTTCAAATGCCTATGAATAACCACGAGCATTTCCAGATGTGAATTTATATTTCAGGCATGTAATTCTCAATACTTATAATGGGCTTTGCCTTCCCTCCCAGTGTGTAACCACTATACTGAATCTCCTTTGTAAATTTAAGCTACTTGTCCTATCAAGTCTGGTTTGATCTCATTTGCTTCAGAGTAAAAAGAAATGTAGAGAACAAGACTCTACTTGTCTAGGTAGCAATGTTTAAGTTACTTCACCCTTTGATTATCTCCCCCTCAGTTATGAAATCATTTCTATATTTAACTACTTAAGAACTGGTCTCAATACAAATAATTGCTTTGAAAGAAAGCTGTTCAAATGTATATTTAAAAACTTTTAGGAATATTAAGCATCATATAGACTGACTACCCGCCTTAGTTTCCTTTGATTATTTAAATATTTTTAATAAGTAATGATTTAAAATAAATGAGATATGAATAATTAAATATTAATACATTTTTTATAGTTAGAAATATTGTTCAGACACAGTGGATTGAGAAGTATTTTCAAAAAATTAGAAATTTTGTCTTTCAATAAGTAAGTACATATCATTTTATTTATTTTGGATTCATAAGTTTACTGTAAAAATTCTGTTGAGTTAAAAGATTTTTAGCATTTTTAAAAAGAGATTATTTTATTTAACCTAAAATAACTAATAATGGTAGATAACTAGGTAATGGTAAATAACTAATATTGTGGCAATAGATCATACAATATTAGAAAACCCCAGAATATATACAGGGTTGCCGCAATCTGAAAAATATGGTCCCCATAGTTTCGTCAGCAAAGTGATCTAAAGTTTGGACTCCTTAATGCTGATTCTACTTTTTGCATACTTCGCCATATCTCGAGAACTTCTTAAGCAAATTGAAAAACTTTTGCACACAATTGTAAAATTCATTTATCCAATGATAATTCCTTGCAAAAAGAAATTTAAGTAAATATTTATTATTTTTTATTTCTTCATTTAATAACTGTCAGAATTTCACTTGCAAGTATAAAAATTTTAACATCATTTTTAAGTATGTAATTTTGCAAGGTGAAACACAAAATTTAAACAAAAATTGGTTGAATAGTTTCTGAGAAATCGAATTTTAAATATATGACTTATTTAACATTCCATTTCTTGGGAACTATTCAATGGATTTCTCTCAAAATTTGTATTGGTGTCAAAGTCATTTGAATTATTATTTAATAAATTAATAAATATTTGCTAAAAAAATTTTCATGGAATTATCTATGGATAAGTGAGTTTTATAATTGTGTGTAATTTTGCAATTCACTTAAAAAATTCAACATTAACGGGTCTAAACTTTAGATCGCTCTCCTGACCAAACTATGAGGACCGTATTTCCGAGATTGTGACTACTTCTATACTGCTGTGCAAAAAAAAAATCAAAGTTAGCAAAAAAAAATTCAAAAATTAGATTTTTATCTATTTCACATTTTAGTATGATAAGCTAATTGATCAAAAAGAAGTTTTTTCAAAATTAAATTTTGTTTTATCAATTATTTGAAATTCTATTTTAGCGTTAATAGTATTAGCAATTGAATGAAAATTGTTGTCAATCCACTTTTCTCAAAATCAACTGCCGGGCACTTATGTTGTTTTTTTTTATATTTGCAATGCAGTATTAAGAGTCAAAAATCTGAATCCGTCAAAAAAAGTATGTTTATTCAGAGAAAATATGTTTCTTTGTGTGATTCTGTAACTTAAGATATTGTCTGCGTTAATTAATTAGCATATTTAATGTCACCCCCTCGAACCATTAAGATTGAGTTCTGAAACATGAAGTGTATAACTTTTGATCATTAGATCAAAAGTTATTTTGGGTTGTCCTTTTTTTGCACAATGTACGTGTAGATTATTCATAAGTCTCATGGAAAGAAAATTTATATATGGCATTTTAAAAAATCATTTTATGGCATAATTCATGTGAATTCGGAACAAAAAAAAAGATAATATCTTAGTAATTTTGTAGTTATTTCTTCTCTTTATAAGTGTACTATTTTTCTGTTGTTCCTTGACCAGTAAGTTGTTTAATACAGTCATCAGTTGCATAACAAATTTTTTACTAACTTCCGTAAAAAAGAAATAACTATTCTTGAAATTAGTCAAAATCACTACATCAGCCGATAAAGTCATTTTTAAATTTCCATTCTTTTAAAGCTGAAAACACTAAGTGATTGATCTTAATTTTAATAGATGGATAAATTTTTTTTCTATTGTAAAGAACTTTGTTCAATTAAAATCAATGCTGTTTATTAGAAATACCTTTTTATCTATTCTTTTATAGGAAAGGGGGAAGTAATTTATATGTTTATTTTGTTATTCATTTATCACCTGGACCGAGTTCAACATTGTTTATACACAAATGTTTAAACGACATTCTTTCCAATGAATTAAGGAATCCATGGACTGGGCTTGTAAAGGATTTGAAAATTAGTAAAAAGCTAATTCAAATACAAGGTAAATTGATAGATTTTATGAACTGAGTTGCATATAACTGTGTTTTGATTTTTAATGACATTATAAGGCTTAAATTTAATTTTTTAAAGAGTCACTGCAATGTATTAAAACTTTTAATAAGAATTCATAATAAATTTTGATGTATTTTTATTACTGTTTTGCTTTATCACATTCAGAATAAATGTACGCAAACACTGTATATTGAAGTTCATGTAAAATATTTTTTAGTTTAATTGAAGATTTCTGCTTTCAAAATACACTAATTATGATTTCATAGATTTATCATTTTTCCCTTTTGAAAGAGAGTATTTATAATGAAGCATTTTTCTGCATGATTTTTTATTGTTAGTGTAAAAATTAATTATTCATGTTTGAGTTTATCTTAATGAAAATAAAGCTGTCTAACTCTTATGACTTAACATGTTATCATCTATGAATTTTATAAAGTTATTTAACTCAGTCTTTCAAGTACTGGCTCAAAAATCATTTGTATTTACAAAACACATCTCCACAAACTCTAAGACATTTTCATTTTATAAACTAAGCTAATAGTGTTTAATAATGACATTTATTCTTGAAAATGCTTTTGAAATCATCAGAAAATTCCTAAACAAATGAGCTTATTTTAAGTAAAGAAAATATATTAAACTGGGATTTTACCCATTTAAATGCTATAAAACAGGTTTTAACTCTAAAGATTTCTGCTCAAAATTCAAATAGAAGGTAGCTCAACTATGAGTCAGTTTTTTTTATGAATGATCTCATATAAATTATTTGTAGTTATGTGTCTGTAATCTATGTAGCTCAGATAACAAACTTTCAAAAATCTGAAACTTAGTTTGAACTATTTGGGCCAATGGGAAACCCCTAACCAGATGATTGAATGATACCTAAAAAGATTTCAAAACCAACAGGCAAACATTTAAGAAGAGTTACTGTGAATAAAGAATGCAGTAGAAAACACATTTTTAAGAAATTATTCTGCATATAGCTGTTCTACTTGAAGAAATATCCTACCACTACTGCTCAAAAAAGTGGCATTGCAGAAATTATCCTTAAACGAACAATCAAAGTTGAAAGTTTTCGACCAAAATCTAGTCCTGACATCTAATGATATTCACTTTATCCTAAACTACAGAGGGTTTTTCAGGGAACACGGTTTCAAAGTGATTAAACTCTGAGCAGCTGTTAACTTGATTCTTTCAGTTGTAATAGCACCAGGTGATGCCTCAATAGCACTGGTGATTGCATACAAAAGTATTATTTGACTTACAAAAGAATGGCACTGAGTGTAACATAAAACCTTAATATCAAACAACATATTTTTTTTGCAGTTTTGGATGCTGGGTTCACTTTAATGGCTCCTAAGTTATTTCTGAAAAATAATTATGTTGTATTAAAAGAAGGAAAAAAATTGCTAGGTTTTCATGAAATGTCAGATTCAAACCTGTGTCTACGGGAAGTTTATTTTCTTTTATCCCTCTTTTTGTCCAATATTTATTAATTTTTTTTTAGTTCAAAGTACTGTAATTGGTGTTTAACTAATGCGAAATTCTTTTATAATTTTGTCAATCCTATTCTAGTTGTCATGTCTAGTTTTTTCTAAAAACTGCTCCCTTCAAGCCCAAACTACTTCATTTCTGAGCTTGCCTTTAAGAAATCCTGATATGATAGATATCCAGATAATTTTCAAACTTTTCATCAAATTTTATTCTATTTTCATTCCAAACAGGAAACTGTTACTTATGTTCTCTCAAAGTATTTATAATATGTGCTTATGGATTTGATGTCTTTCATTATCTTTAACAAAATTATATTAGCTGTTTTGAATTAATAAAAACTATGAATTTAAAAAAAAGCTTTAAAAAGTGTAGCAAAAATCGGAATTTCAAAATATCTTACACAAAATATCCTTCTAACCAATAGTTTTTATCAGAAATAGATATTTTCCAATAGCATTATAGGGCTTCTATGGCTGTATTAAGTTTTTTAAAGTTTAGAAATGCATTTTAAACCATTCAAGTTGTCTCAAAATAAATGACATATTCAAGTTCATTACCTCAGAATCTATATATAAAAAAGTGTTATTTGATATCTAATTTTTATGCTACAATTTGTACTATTTTCTGGTTAATTTTGTAAAAAAAAAATTTTTCAATAATATGTTTTGCATTTAACGAAAAAATTGCTATTTGCTTCTAATTTTCTGATTATTTTTGGTGATTTTGTTTCTGGGTGATTTAAGGTTCTGGGTATTTCAATGTATTGTATATTGTTTTTAATGAAATAAATATATTCCACAATTTGCCATAGTTTATCAAAATCAATGGAAAAGGGAAAGAATAATAAATCACAGCTTAACTTGTTTTATTTTATGTCAATATACAACTTATTGCATGACTGTATATCTTTGGTAAAGCTCTCCAGTGAATTAATACTTTTTAATTGATATGTGGAAAAATTCAATTAGGAGTAGAATAATAAACAAAAGCTTAACTTGTTACAACTTAACTCGCAACATCTTAATTTGATATGATTGAACTAAGAAATAATTACGATTTATGCTAAGCCATTTCTTTATGATTTAGAAATAGAAAAACATCTGAAAAACGAAATAATTCAAACAAAGCATTGTTTTTCTGAAATTTCAGCTGTCTCTTTCTTTTCAGAAAGGAAAATTATTGTAATGAAAATGCATTTAACAATTGTTTTAGAAAGTCATTTTCCAATTTAAAAAAAGTTAAACGTGAATTTTGGAATGTCTCAGTTTGAACATTCTAATTGAACTTGCAAGGTAGCTTATGTGGCTTTTTGTATTGATCCTTGTCATGGAATTGTTACTGTATTGAAGAATTAAAATAAAGAGTTTTACCTGTATTCTGATAAATTTAGTGCAATTACATTTCTTGACATTACCAATATGCATTTCCAAGTGATTTGTCCCTATTTACAACTGGTTTAGCTGATGCTTGACTGAAAATGACCTTCAGCTGTGAAAACAATTATTATCATTCAAGTAAATACTGTATCATTTTTTAAAAATTTAATGACATTTTTTTAAAGTTAATTTTAGTTTTATAGAATTTTCACTCTTGAAATAAAAAGTTAAACTTTGAAAGTTTGATATCACATATTCTTTAACACCAGTTCTATCAAATCTTCATTAGTGATACATTTCCAGTAATTTTTCAATAAAAAAAATATGAATGAAAATACATTTATATATTGCACTGCATTACTTCATTTTATTGCACTGCATTACTTCATAATCCTTCTAAATGGGTCATTTTATGGACTACATACTCTTAAATTGTATTCATTGATTTAAATTGCTATGAATCTTTAGATTTTCTTAGTTTTCACTCCTATGTTGGGAAGTGCACATGTTTCTTTAATTTTAATTTAACTCCTATAATTTTTTATCTGTTTTGTATCCAAATCAGTGAGTTATGATATTTTGTCTGACTTTTGAGGCATGAACTGCAAAATATTCACATTTTATTTGCTTGTAATGTTTGCTTTAACATGCCTAAAATATTCAAGCCAAAAGAATTTAAATAATTTTTTAATTATCTATCTAACTGCACAAGCTTGAGTCAAGTTTATATCTTTTAATTGTGACATGAGTTATGTTACATTAAACATTAGAATTTATATAACTAAATTATAAGTCTTAAAATACAAGTCAATTTATGTATAAGCATGTTCTTAAGCAGCAAGAATCCTTTATAGTCACGTTACTTATTATCATACTGTAGACTTCTTTCAAATTAGATGCTAATTATCTACATCATTATTTTTTATTTAAGTGAAAATTATGAAAGTTCAAATTTGTTAAACTAAGCATATGGTATAGTTATGTACACATTGGAAGATTTACATAAGGCAATTCAAAAAAGTGCATTAACTTTGCAATCTCTGAAGCAAACCCACATTCATAAACGTGTCAGCTTTTGGTTCTATTAAGTGTATACCAGTATATTATTGCCATGTTTTATGGGTAAGATTCATGATATTTAAAATTACGTACGTAACGCAATACAAAGCCCAAGGTTTGCATTAGAAATATCTATCACTATACATATAAATCAAATAGGGAAATATTTATTAAGGATTAATATTTCACTTATTCATGATTGAAGGGTAAGGGAAAAGTAACTTACCTTCTCTTGTATTTACGTGCAAATGGATAAAAATTGACGTACTAGAAAACACCAGGAGAAAGAACTATATATTTATTTCACATTAGAAAAGAAAATTTAAAAGCTATAGAAGTTGCCATTCAGTGGTACAATAATAAAAAAATAAAATAATATAAAAAATTAATTATAGGTGGCTCTGTATTTTAGCACATATTGGCCTCCGCTACAATGATATTATACTTATCATGATATAAATAATATACATCATTAAAAATTAAATCTGTTTGTTTTTAGAGAGTGGTCAATGCTCAACAGTAAGAGAAGGTTGTATACCAGCTACTAAAATAAAAAAAGTTAATCGAAAAGGTAAGCAAAATGTTTTTTGTTCATAATTCAAGTAGGATGCTTATTATCTACATCAATATTTTTTATTTGTTAAACTAAGCATATGGTATTGTTTTATATACAGTAGAAGATCTGCATAAGACAATTCTAAAGACTGCATTATCTTTGCAATCTCTGAAGCAAACCCAGATTCATAAACATGTCAGCTTTTGGTTCTATTACAGGAGTCTTTCCAGGCTGAATTTACTACCGCTTAGCCGTACCTTTACAAATTCAACTTGAGGAAAAACTGTAGTTTCACAAATTCAACTTCACAAAATACTTTTTCTTAAAATTTTATTTTTTTATCCCTTAAGAAACAATAAATCCATATTTTTGTGTTGATTTTTTAATATATTTTTTAATTTTTCACAAATTATGTTTAAATTTTCGCAAAAGAGGTACCTCTCAGAAATGCTTAGACAGACCCTTGTATTATGAAGTGCATACCAGTATATTATTGCCATGATTTTTTATAAGGAAGTTTTATGAAATGTAAAATTACATACATAATGCACCACTAAGCCCCAGGTTTCAAGGTTTGCATTATAAATATCTATCACTATAAATATCTCTCACTATACATATAAATCAAATAGTGAAATGCTTATTCATGATTAGTATTTAAATTATTCATGATATTATACCATACTTATCATGATATAAATACTTTTTCATGACATCTTATACATTATTAAAAATTAAATTCGTTTATTTTTAGAGAGTGGTCAATGTACAACACCAAGAAAGGATTGTATACCAGCTACTGAAATGAAAAAAGTTAGTCAAAAAGGTAAGCAAAATGTTTTTTGTTCATAATGCAAATAGGATGCTTATTATCTTCATCATTATTTTTTATTTGTTAAATTAATCATATGATATTGTTTCATATACAGTAGAAGATCTACATAACACAATTTTAAGAACTTGTAACAAGCTCTCCTCTTTCCCCCCACTACAGCGCCTATGGCGGTGAACTAAGACAGTCTGCCAGGAACCGCCGTTAATCACAGACGTTTAATTCAAGCCCAAAACCCCCTCTTCCAAATTCTTGTATTTTTTTATTCTTGTTTTATTTTTATGTGTTTTGTCCTTTTCAATAAATATTTAGAGTTAGATAATTTCTAGTCTTTCATTATTTATGAGAATTGGTAGAAATACAAATAGACCAAGACTTCCCCTACAAAATGACGCCCAACTCGTGACCAAACTAACGGTTCCTTGCTGGCTCAAATTTTTTTTTCAGAAAGTGAATGAACATCCAGTTCAATTTGTGGAATTTAATGAGGTCATCCCCTACCTCGATTTCCTAAATTTTGATTCAGTATTTCCGTTTTCCCAGCTGACCCCAGCTAGACGAGGAAAACCGGGAAAACCCTTTCCCGCTCAACATTGATAAGTACAATTTTTATAATAGTACGGTTTACTTGAGTAAAATATTAATATTTATTATCTATTGATTTGAAACTTAGTGAAAAGTTATATAGTAGTAGTTGTATAGTAATTCTGTGTGTTAAGTTCAAATATATTATAAATATTTTGAATCATTCATTCTAAAAATAATTTTTATAAACTAAGAATATGGTAGAGAAATATATCATGAGAGTTAGCTATCTTTTTATGTTTCAAAATGAATATATAAAGTTAAAAAAGCTGCATTCTAAAATATTTAAGCATTGATTTTTTTTTCTCATTTAAGAAGTGTGTTTAAAATTATTCATCCATTTGAATATTATTTTATGAATATCACTTTCGATTAATACTTGCGCGTCTGTGAATCAGACAAGATTCTTTCTTTATTGCTTTCTGTGGCGCCAAAACCACAGACGAATTTCTTTCATGGTAAAATGAGAGTGTTTGTAAACCGAAACTGAAACTTATGCTAATGATTATAAAGAACTTATGTCTTAGTTGTTGTTTTATTGCATTTTGTTTTATTTTCATTGATCTCAATTTCAGATATAAATTAAATTTAGCTAAGGTTATAATAAAACTTGTTATTTAAAAGAAAGAAAAAATCAAAACTAAGAAAGATGAAAAGAAATTTAAGAATATGTTGCTTCTTTTTAATTCATTCATGTATCTTGTATAGTTTTATTATTACAATTTCTATTTGTTATTACTTTAAAAAAAAAGAAAGGAAGGAGAAGAATTTTTTTCTATTTGTTTTATATGTATGTTTCTATATTGAATACACTTTAGTAACAAAGGTGGATAATTTTGATAAATGAAGAGTAGTGTCTTTTGGGAAGAAATTTTTTTTTTATCTTGGTTTAATAGAATTTTATCCAGAAAAATAAAAGTAAAATGTCTGTTATACAGTATAATGTTTATTGTTCAAAATATTGATTTATTTACAATATTGGTGTTTTACATGGGAATTTTGTTGATGTATAGATAGTTATAATTCACATTACCACTACTTGCCCTATAATTAATACATTGTATATTTTCGTTTTCCATTGGTTGTTTGAATAGATTATATTAACTGGTTCAAATTATCTCAAGTAATATTGTGTGATAGGGTATCTATAATTAGAAACATTTTATATTAAATAATAAGTGACATTTCATTATCAGTGACATTTTAAGACTATTGGGGGTATTAAACAATATCTATTAAGTGGTGCTTTCACAATCTGCTACAATGACATTTTTAGGAAAGGGAAAAAAGGTCGATTTATGTGTATTAGCTGAAGAAATGGGTCTCAAGGTTCCCCCCGATGCTAAAGTCATTCAAATTAAGAAACTAATCACAGAAAATGAAGCATACGATGAAGAATTTTGCCTCAATGTGCTACAAAATATTATTGATGACAGAGTCGAAAAAGAAAGAAGCGAAAAATTAAATAGAGAAAAAGAAGAAGAACAAAATCGAATATTGAAAGAAAAGGAACAAGAACAGAATTTTGAGCTAGAAAAATTACGTTTGCAAATTGAAGCCCAAAAATCCATACAACCATCATCTGGTTTAACTAGTAGTTGTCCTGTCAACTTACAATTAAAGAAATTACTACCTGAATTCAATCCCAAAGAGGACGATATGGTTTTATATCTCAACTTATTTCAACGCCAATTGAAATTTTTAAAAGTAGACAAAGAGAATTGGGTAGCTTATTTACTTGGTGTCCTGCCAAACGATATTGCTCAACTCATCGCAAGAGAAGCAGAAGATAAAGCCCAAGATTTTGACTATGTCAAAGAAATGCTTCTGAAAAGATTTAAGCTAAGTGCAGAAAAGCTTCGACAGTTGTATGCCACTCACAGAAAAACACCTGAGAAAACTTGGAAAGATTTTCATTTTGAACTCCAAACTTTTTTCGAAAATTGGTTAATGGAATTAGACATTAAAACTTTTGATGAATTAAAAAACTGGCTGATCGTTGATCAAGTGAAGAAAAGAATTCCTCCAGAATCTAAAGAGCACTTCTTAGATGTCTGATGTGAATGGAAAACGCCTGAAGATTTAATTGAGAAAATGGATGCGTAAGAAAATCTTCGTATGAACAAAAAAGATTTGCAGAAAACAAATACAGAAAGAAGCTTAATTTGAAACAAACAGAATCACAAAGACTTTATAACCCAAACAAGTATTCGCGTAGTTCCAGGGTACAATATGACCAGAAATATAACATGCATTCTTTCAGACAAGAAAATAGGCGAGATACTGGAGTTCAAAGTCATAACAAGCAGGACTTTTCTAATTATGAAAGAATTCCGCAAAGAAATGATTTTATGTATGATGATCAACATCATAAAGTAAGCAATGACAGATTTGAAGAGAGCAGAACTGGTAGAAGGTGCTACGGATGTGGTGAACCTGGCATTATCAAATCTCGCTGTCCTTAATGCAATCCATCTAGTACGAACTCTTCTCCCAGTGTTGGAAACGTCCTCTTCCAGTCATGTGTAGACGAATCATCACAACTAGCTATATTGAGTATAGCAGTAAATGGACTCTTGGGTACTGCATGTGCTGACAGTGGAGCAAGCCATTGTATTGCTGGAGAACGGGTGTATCAAGTTCTCAAACAGGAAGGTGCAGACTTTCAAGAGACCTGACTCACTATGACACTTGCTGACGGAGAGAAACGACAAGTGAAAGCCTTCACTACTTTGGTAGATATAGGACTTGAAGGAAGAGTCTTTAAAACAAACTTAATTGCATTACCCCATGCTGAAGAAAATTGTACTCTCCTTGGTACAGATTTTCTTCAAGATGCTGGTATCGTCCTTGATCTAAAAAATTGCTGATGGTTCTTTAACGATTTTCCCCGACGAAAATTTAATTTTGCTGATGAAGCCAATTTGTGTGATATCAAGAATACGCTATGTGCTGAATCCAATACTTGTCAACTGAGAGAGGAAGAAAGTCAACAACTGTCAAGTAGGACTGGGCTTTATACCGATGTAAGACGATATATCGATTTAACTCCAACATCGTAATACCGATTTATCCATTTCATCTTCAACAAAATTCCGGAGTGAGCATTTCGACTCTACTAAATCGATTTATTCATGACAGCAAACGCTAAATCGATGTTGCTCTCTCCGATGTAGTGAAACACCGGTTTAATCATTGCGAGAATGTACAGAACAGAGTCCGATCTGCCGTAGCGTTAGGGAAAGATTCAAGGTCAACTATCAACTCATTCTCTTGGTAACACGTGCGCTCAACTTCTTTGGCTATTTGCCAAAATCACATCTGGTGCAGGGGTTGGTATAGTTAAATCGGAATGGGCCATTGAATCTCTTCATTCAAAACTAATTCACTAGGTTATATCGATATTTGGCGGTTGAAAAAAAAACTCCGATATAGCAGGGATCGGTGCANCAATAAAAATATTAATGTATAGTTATTTATATATGTACAGAGAAAGTGAAAGTTTTTAATTTTTTTTACTAATAAAATAAATGCAAAAGAAAAAGGTAAACAATATTCTCCAATACCTTTAGTGAAAAGTTACAGAGTAAAATTAGTAAATTGTAGTATTTAAATAAGCTTTTGAATATCTGCAAAAAATTATTCATAATCAGAACAACTTTGTCAAAATTTCTGTGGACTAGGAGTTGACTGTAAGTGAGTTAAAAAAACAAACAAACAATACATTTGAATAGAGGAAGGGGTACTGTGGATTTATTTCTTAGTTTTGTCGTTTAGATTGTTAAATCGATATAACCTAATATCGCGATATAAAAGGGTTGATTATATCGATTTAAAAAATTTCTATATCGTCCAGCCCTACTGTCAAGTGAAGAAAAAAACAAACTCAACACCCTGTTGAAACAGTATGAAAGAATCTTCGAACCAGGGGGAGATGCTACTTCATACGCAAAGCATTACATCAATACTGGTGATCATCCTCCTGTATCTGTTCCCCCGTACAGATTACCTCCTTCTAAGAAAGAAGAATTGAAAAGACAAATTGATGATTTGCTAGAGAAGGATATAATTGAAGAGTGCGAGTCACCTTACGCCGCACCCGTAGTTTTAGTTCCAAAACCGAACGGTTATAGACTCTGTGTGGACTATCGAAAACTAAATGAGAAAACTTTACCCAATACATATCCATTACCCAGAATGGATGATTTATGGCATGATGCAAAGACATGTAAATATATGTCAACCATTGACTTAACAGCTAGCTATCATCAGGTAGAAGTTAACCCAGCTGACAGAGATAAAACAGCATTCATCTGTTCTTCTGGCTCTTTCCGATTCAAAAGAATGCCTTTTGGTTTACAAAACGCTGTAGCAACTTTCCAACGCTTGATGGATCGTTTCCGCAATGGACTTCCTTTAGTAAAACTGCTAGTTTACCTAGATGATCTGTTTGTGTTGTCACCTACCTTTGAACAACATATCCAAGATCTGAAAGATGTCTTCGACCGTCTTGACAAATTTCGACTTAGTGCAAACAGAAAGAAATTTAAATTTGCATGTTCTAAAGTAAAGTATCTTGGACTTTGGATAACATCTGAGGGAATTGAAACAGACCCAGATAAAGTAAATGCCATCACCTCCATGCCTTCTCCAAGAAACGTGAAACAAGTTCAGTCGTTTATACAAACATGTTCATGGTATCGAAAATTTATTCCTGGTTTTTCCGAAGTTGCCAGACCACTTACCAATTTGACAAAGAAAAATGCCTCTTGGGAATGAGGTGTTGAACAGCAAAAAGCATTTGAAGAACTGAAACAAAGCTTGATTTCTCCTCCAATTCTAAAGCAAGCGGATGAAACTAAACCATTCCTCATACGGACAGACGCTAGTAACTACGCTTTGGGTGCTGTCCTTTTGCAAAAACAGGGAACTCAAGAACATCCTGTTGAATACGCAAACAGATTGCTGAGTTCTGCGGAACGGAATTACTCGACAACAGAGCGCGAGGCCCTTGCTGTCATTTGGGCACTTCAAAAATTCCGAGGATACGTGGAAGTTACCGAAGACATCATTTCGTCCGATCATCAACCCCTCAAGTGGCTCATGAGTTTAAAATCTCCATCTGGAAGACTGGCGAGATGGGCCTTGCAGCTGCAAGAGTTCAATCTTAAGATAGAATACCTCCCCGGGAAATCGAACTATGTGGCAGACATGCTTTCAAGACCCATATGTCAAAGTGATGAAGTATTCTGCGAAGCTTCCACTATTTCCGTAGACTTCCCTAAGAAAACACCTAAAGAAATAAGAGAGGAGCAAATGAAAGATGAAGAGCTTAAGAAAATAATTACATGTTTTGAAGATCCAGAAAAAGGAGTAGACTATTCCAATTGGACACAAAGAGGATATATAATGAATCAAGGCGTATTATTCCGATATTCTCCTGCTTCAGATGCTGAAGAAGCACAGTTGGTAGTACTGTTGCATGAAAGAGCTCAAATTTTAAAATTACACCATGACGCTCCAAGTGCTGGACACTACGGAGTAGAGGGAACATTAAATAGAATAAATCAACGATACTTTTGGACTGGTATGAGATCCTTCATAGCTGACTATGTTAAGAGCTGTGTTGAATGCGCCAGATACAAAGCCAGTAATCAGAAACCTTGTGGACTTCTGCAGACACCAATATACTGCCAACGATTTGAAACCTTAGCAATAGATCTCTTTGGACCTTTACCCACAACTAAAGAGGGTAAATCCTGGGTTTTTATAGTGGAAGATTGCTCAACTAAGTGGGTAGAATTATTTTCTCTCACTACAGCCACTGCTAAAGAATGCGCCACTGCTCTTGTGGAAGAGATCTTTCTTCGCTATGGGATTCCTCGAAGAATAATAAGTGATAGCAGAACTCAGTTCGTCTGTGCTGTCATGCAGCAATTGTGTTTCCTTTTGAAAATAGATCAGAACCTCACACCAGTATATCACCCACAGGCGAATCCTGTAGAGCACAAAAATCGTGACCTGAAGCCACGTCTTGCAATCCTTGTGGGACAAGATCACACTTCCTGGGCTGAAAAACTTCCTATGATTAGATTCGCCATGAACAGTACGAAATGTGAAACAACTGGCGAAACAGCATCATTTCTCATATTTGGACGAGAAATGAGAACCATAGATGACGTTACGAGTGATTTTCGTGCCATCGTCAACAACGATAATTTCGTGCCCGAGATCACTTCCTACCTAAAAAGATTAGCCAATATCTCTAACGACATCCGAGATAAAGTTTAATCCAAACAAGATCAGAGAAAGACCTACGCAGATCAAAAGCGTCAAAAATCACCACAGTACGCACCTGGTGATAAAGTATGGGTTACTTTGCATCCTAAGAGCAATGCTGCAAAATCAAAGTCGGTCAAGTTCATGCCAAAGAGAGATGGACCGTACATAATCCTCACCCAAAGGTCCCCAACATCGTATGAAGTGGCCCACGTTGATAAGCCAAATGAACCGTTAGGACAGTATCATGTATCTGCATTGAAAAAATGTTCTAATGAAAATGCAGTGCTATTGGCACCTTTACGTAAACGAGGCAGACCAAAAACTCTTGATCCTGACCCAAAAACCTTGATGACCCTCAGAAGAAGCCAAAAACGAAAAAGTGCTGGTCCCTCAACGAGACATTTAATCGGAACCAGAGGGGGAGTGTAACAAGCTCTCCTCTTTCCCCCCCTCAGAAGAAGCCAAAAACGAAAAAGTGCTGGTCCCTCAACGAGACGTTTAATCCGAACCAGAGGGGGAGTGTAACAAGCTCTCCTCTTCCCACCCCCCCACTACAGCGCCTCTGGCGGTGAACTAAGACAGTCAGCCAGGAACCACCGTTAAGCACGGACGTTTAATTTGAGCCCAAAACCCTCTCTTCCAAATTCTTGTATTTTTTTATTCTTGTTTTATTTTTATGTGTTTTGTCCTTTTCAATAAATATTTAGAGTTAGATAATTTCTAGTCTTTCATTATTTATGTGAATTGGTGGAAATACAAATAAACCAAGACTTCCCCTACAAACTGCATTAACTTTGCAATCTCTGAAGCAAACCTAGATTCATAAGCATGTCAGCTTCTGGTTCTGTTATTAAGTACAAGCAAGTATATTATTGCCTTGATTTTTTATAAGGAAGAATTATGATATTTAAAATTAGGTATATAATGCAACGCAAAGCCCCAGGTTTCAAGGTTTGCGTTATAAATATCTATCACTATTTATATAAATCAAATAGTGAAATACTTATTCATGATTATTATTTAAATTATTCATGATATTACACTATACTCATCATGATATAAATACTTTTTCATGACATCTTATACATTATTAAAAATTAAATTCGTTTATTTTTAGAGAGTGGTCAATGTGCAACACCAAGAAAGGATTGTATACCAGCTACTGAAATGAAAAAAGTTAGTCAAAAAGGTAAGCAAAATGTTTTTTGTTCATAATACAAATAGGATGCTTATTATCTTCATTATTTTTTATTTGTTAAACTAAGCATATGGTATTGTTTCATATACAGTAGAAGATCTTCATAACACAATTTTAAGAACTGCATTAACTTTGCAATCTCTGAAGCAAACCTAGATTCATAAGCATGTCAGCTTCTGGTTCTGTTATTAAGTACATACCAGTATATTATTGCCATGATTTTTTATAAGGAAGTTTTATGATATTTGATATTATGTATATAATGCTACGCAAAGCCCCAGGTTTCAAGGTTTGCATTATAAATATCTGTTACTATACATATAAATCAAATAGTGAAATACTTATTCATGATTAGTATTTCACTTCTTCATAATATTATACTATACTTATGATATAAATATTATGCTATACTTATGATATAAATATTATACTATGCAGTATTAAAAATTAAATCGGTGTTTTTTTAGAGAGTGGTCAATGTTCAACAACAAGAAAAGATTGTATACCACCTAATAAATTGAAAAAAGTTAGTCAAAAAGGTAAGCAAAATGTTTTTTGTTGATAATGCAAATAGGATGTTTATTATATACATCATTATTTTTTATTTGTTAAATTAAGCATACAGTATTGGACCCCTAATCCAGCAGGACCCGATACTGAAATATCCCCAAGAAATTTAAATAAAAATGTTTAATTTTTTTTTTTACAATATTTTAGACGTGAAATTTTAATACGGTAACAATATTGTTTGTATTGAACGTTAAACATTCTAAAATGTAATCGTTTAAACTGAGCTAAAAGTAGCAGATCATTAATTTTCTAATTGTTTCAACTTGGCTAATTTGTTTACACACAATTATTTTTATCTTTTTCATTGTTGCAGAAAAACTTTGTCACAGGCGAATTAGTTAGCAAACGTTATTTTGCAAGCATATTTTGAACTAATTACATTACTTATTATTTATAGCTAGACAATAAGTTAACAGAGAAGTCAACTACTATGTGGGAACAATAATGATCACAATTCATAATATTAACTGACTTAAGTCATTTTCTTGAAGATGAAGAGCTGTATCTGCAATTGTAAAAGAAAATTAATTTTACAATGAAAAAAACAAATTTAAAATTATTAAACAATTTTATTTATTTGAAACTTATATTATTTAAATTGAAAATGTTTTTAAAAAATTGTAATATTCTTTATCAATGAGTAAAGTCCGAAAACGATACTTGCATCAAAAAATCTCGGTAGAGCCACACAAAAAGTAACATAATGGAAAGGAGATTAACAAAAAGAGTTTTTCTCATTAACACACCTAAGCTATTTTTTTTTTTAAATTCAAACTGCAAAACTCTTTGTGGCAAGCCAACAAGAAAAATGGTGAAAAGTGTTATATAAACAATTGCTTATTTTCTTCCATTGCTTATTTTAAAATTCGATTAATGTAAAAGAACATCAATGTAAAAAGATACTATGAGAATTCAAAATCATCAATTCATGGTTGAAAAAATCATGAAGAAAGAGAATTCTCTAACAATTCACATATTTTAAAGTTGTAACATCTGCATTTCCAATGAACAGAATAAAGAAATGCAAGTTGGGAGAAACTGATCGATCAATCAACTGATCGATCAATCTTGACAGCTTTGCAAGTGCTTTACTGGTTTGTCTCCACATTTCCCTCTCCTGTTTGACCATAAATTAGCCACACCCTTTTGACATTCAAACTTCTTTCTCCCTTGGTGTACAAAATGAATTCTATCCCTTTTTCTGCCTTTTTTTAAATTCGATTTGTTTATCTTTTTATTAGTTATTAACTGTTACTTTTTTTGTTACTTGTTAACTTGTTTTTTTTTAATCGTTATTAGTTATTTGCTTCTTTTTTGTAGATATTCATTGTTAGTTTCTTATCATTAATTGTTACTTTTTTTGTAGTTCCTTGTTAGTTTTTTTTTTTTTTTAGCTAGGTGAGCGACTTTTGTTAAAACAAAATGTTATGTAAAAGAAAAAACGAGAACAATGATCTCGCCCCGAAGAAGAAACGATTATTTCTTTTTGGGAGGATTCTGATTATTTCATCTTGAATTATCTCTTTTTTGGATTATTTCTTCTTGACTATATCATATAGATTATTATTTTAGTTAATGAAATTTATTATTTTAATTAATGAAATTTTAAATGATGGGATAGTTGTAAATTCACCCCATCATAATATACAATTCAAACTTAGCTAAATTTATTGGTTTTTCTGAAATTAACAGCATAATTGAATTATTGTAATAATATAGGCGCCATATTGGAATTTCCAGAAGAGATCCGAAATTCGGCAAATTCTGAAAGACGGAATTTCGTCTGTGCCGTGAGTGCCGGATTTTGGGTCCTATACTATATGGTATTGTTTTATATACAATAAAAGATCTACATAACTTAATTCTTAGAACTTTGCAATATCTGAAGCAAACCTAGATTCATTAACATGTCAGCTTTTGGTTCTGTTATTAAGTATATACCAGTATATTACTGCCATGATTTTTTATAAAGAAGTTTTATGATATTTAAAATCCGTATATAATGCAACGCAAAGCCCCAGGTTTTAAGGTTTGCATCATAATTAAATTTATCATTATAAATATCAATTACTGTACATACAAATCAAATAGTGAAATACTTATTCATGATTAGTATTTCAGTTATTGACGGTGTTATACTATATTTATCATGATATAAATATTATACTTATTGTGATATAAATACTTATTCATGATATCTTATGCATTATTAAAATTAAATTGGTTTATTTTTAGAGAGTGGTCAATGTTCAACAACAAGCAAAGATTGTATACCACCTACTAAAATGAAAAAAGTTAGTCAAAAAGGTCAGCAAATTGTTTTTTCTTCATAATTCAAGTAGGATGCTTATTATCTACATCAATATTTTTTATTTGTTAAACTAAGCATATGGTATTGTTTTATATACAGTAGAAGAACTGCATAAGGCAATTCTAAAAACTGCATTATCTTTGCAATTTTGGAAGCAAACCCCGATTCATAAGCATGTCAGCTTTTGGTTCTATTACAGGGATCTGTGCAGGCCGAATTTACTACCGTTTAGCCGCGTACCTTCACAAATTCAACTTTAGGAAGAACTGTAGTTTCACAAATTCAACTTTAGGAAGAACTGTAGTTTCACAAATTCAACTTTAGGAAAAACTGTAGTTTAACAAATTCAACTTTAGGAAAAACAGTAGTTTCACAAAATACTTTTTCTTAATATTTTATATTTTCAACCCTTAAGAAACAATAAATCTGTATTTTTACCACATTTTTGTGTTGATTTTTTAATATAATTTTTAATTTTTCACAAATTATGTTTAAATTTTCACAAAATAGGTACCTCTCAGAAAAGCCTAGACAGACCCTTGTATTATGAAATGCATACCAGTATATTATTGCCATGATTTTTTATAAGGAAGTTTTATGAAATGTAAAATTACGTACATAATGCACCACTAAGCCCCAGGTTTTAAGGTTTGCATTATAAATATCTATCAGTATAAATATCTATCACTATACATATAAATCAAATAGTGAAATGCTTATTCATGATTTGTGTTTAAATTATTCATGATATTATACCATACTTGCCATGAAAAAGTATTTATATCATGATATCTTATGCATTATTAAAAATTAAATTCGTTTTGCTTTTAGAGAGTGGTCAATGTGCAACACCAAGAAAGGATTGTATACCAGCTACTAAAATGAAAAAAGTTATTCAAAAAGGTAAGCAAAATGTTTTTTGTTCATAATGCAAATAGGATGCTTATTATCTACATCTTTATTTTTTATTTGTGAAACTAAGCATTTGGTATTGTTTCATATACAGTAGAAGATCTACATAACACAATTTTAAGAACTGCATTAACTTTGCAATCTCTGAAGCAAACCTAGATTCATAAGCATGTCAGCTTCTGGTTCTGTTATTAAGTATATACCAGTATATTATTGCCATGATTTTTCATAAAGAAGTTATATGATATTTAAAATTATGTGCGTAACACGATGCAAAGCCCCAGGTTTCAATGTTTGCATTATAAATATCTATCACTATACATATAAATCAAATAGTGAAATACTTATTCATGATTAGTATTTCACTTATTCATAATATTATACTATGCTTATGATATAAATATTATACTATACTTATGATATAAATATTGTACTATGCAGTATTAAAAATTAAATTGGTTTTTTTTTAGAGAGTGGTCAATGTTCAACAACAAGAAAAGATTGTATACCACCTACTAAATTGAAAAAAGTTCGTCTAGAAGGTTAGCAAAATGTTTTTGTTCATAATGCAAATAGGATGCTTATTATCTACATCATTATTTTTTATTTGTTGAATTAAGCATACAGTATGGGACCTCTAATCCGTCATCAAGGAATCCGGCAGGACCCGAAATTCGGCAATTAATCTGACCTAATATTTTTTTTTTAAGAAATTTTTATTGATAAGAGAAAAAAAAATCAGACTCTTATTTTTTTTATTTGGAATTTTTTTCTCTTGAAGTAAGTAACTATATTTTATCTTTTAGAATTAAAAACATGAAGAGAAAAAATAATAAATCTCCCTAGTAGCACCATTAGGGCATATTAGCTAACATCAAAAAATCGGTAAAATCTAACGTTATCTTGCACAACTTCTAATATTAGAAAGATACAGGAGGTTGCTGTTTGCTCTGCATTATATAATATTAGATTCTATGCAAACTAATATTATCTTGCGTTCACTGTAATTGTTTTTAACGCTATATAATATTAGATTTTGTATTTTCTGATATTATCTTGCTTTGCTCTTTATTTTTCGAGTACAAGAGGAGGATTTGGATGGTAGTAGAATAATTCGGCGATTTAATTTTACTTAATTTTCTGTATTGCTGTGAGGCAGTAAAACATAGAACAATAGTTTTATAATGTCATTCCATGCATTATTTACATAGCAATACAGAAATACTAAATAAAATTATTTTAGCGAACTCTGCTACCATCCATTTTCCTCCCTCTTTCTCCAAAGTATATCTTATGTTCTGCTGATTTTTTTCAAGTTTATTTTAGAAGTAATAATATATGACAACATTAATTGATATTTTTTTCTTTTCTTCATACAATGGGTTTTCAAACAAATTTTATATCATTAATAATTTTCAAGTCTTTAATTTTAAAATGTAGTCTTAATTTTTTTTCAAAAAAATGAGCTTATTTTATCAAAATCTTAATTTAATTTGTTAGTTTGTAATATATATATATATTAAAATGTGTAATTTAAGCCATTTGTAATTTCACAATTATCATTCATTATTTATATTATGAAATTGTAAATTAAGAAAATCACACTACATAATTGCTCATTTAAATTTACGTTTGAATTGAATTGAAAATTTACCTTAACTTTTTTTTCTACTATATAACTAAGTCATTCACTTCCAAAAATATTAAAATGAAATTATATCTTGAATTTTTAAATTTTTATTTTTTGTAATAACTGAGACAGTGAAGAAAATTGAAAAATATTCAAATTACTTACTTGCATAAATTATTTCACTTCTATCACTGAAATTAAATAGATAAATACATATGTAACTTTATCCTTCTAGAATCTGAAATTTTAGTTACAAAACACTAGAAACAAAGTCTAAAGGCACCTGTAGAAATATTTTCAGGGAGTGGAAACAAAAAAAGCCTTTATGAATTTTTTACTATGTACTATGTAAAGTTTAGACTATGTACTATATAAAGTTTAGATAACATTTAAATGTCAAAACCAAAAAATAATCAGTAAATATTGTATTTTATCAGAATTAAATTTTCACAAACATTTAATTGCATACAAGAATGAGACGAAAAAACATAGCATACTTTTTTACTATAAGTTATTTTGTGGACTTGAAAAAAATATTTAGTTTATTATAACTCACTTAGTTATTTGGAGTTTTAACAGCTTGTATACTTTTTTATTATTATTTATTACGGAAATTTGAGTTTATTATTAAACTTATTTATTATTACTGAAATATGCTGCATTTATATATTCACATGTATGAGAAATGTATTTACTAATGAAAAGAATTTCGATTTTTCTCTATCCATGAAAATGCTTTAATATCATTAAACTAAAGTGCAAATAAAACTAGTGTTTTGAGTGATGAGATTTTTAGAAAAATGACGAGAAAGTCTAACATTACAGAATGAGGAGGGAGTGTTTAACGAGTTAACTTCATTTGCCAGATAAAAAATTTTTAATTTTTTTTGTAAGCAACATAATACTTAAAAAAATTAACTAATTTAAATAAATTTGTTAAATACTATGGACAACTAGTAATATTGAAAATTCATTAATTAGTTCATGAAATATTGCATTTGTATTTAGACAAAAATAATTTCCTGCAATTTACTCTGAAATGAAAAATGCTTTTTCGAAAATTAATTGAAATTTAAAAGTACGAAACGATTTTATTTATTCAAAGATTTAGTATAATAAATTAAGCAATAAATATTTTTTTTAAAAAAAATTCAATCTTTCAAAAGTGTTGGAGAAAATAAAAATGTAATCTGTTTTTTAAAGGTAAATTTTTGGTTGATTGGGGTTCAAACATGAAAAAGAGCGCAAACTATTCACATCTATTCAAACAGAAATATTCTAGCACAACAGTGAGTGATTTACGATGACAGCTTATACGCCTCTCAATTTGTGAGCAGTAGGAGGTTGAGGGGGAAGGAAATATTCTAGTTCAGAAAAAGACGTGATCGCCTCTCCAGAGCTAGAACGTGAACCCGTGCATACATGGGCAAGCCGCTTTTCATATAGAAATCATGCCCGTGATGTAAAAGGCTTGACGCCAGGAGCGTTAAGTGTATACCAAAATATTATTGCCATGTTTAATGGGTAAGATTTATGATTTGTAAAATTATGTGCGTAACACGATGCAAAGCCCCAGGTTTTAAGGTTTCCCTTATAAATAACTATCACTATACACATAAATCAAATAGTGAAATACTTATTCATGATTAGTATTTCACTCATTCATGGTATTATACTATACTTATGATCTAAATATTATACTCTACTTATGATCTAAATATTATACTATGCTTATGATATAAATATTATACTTTTCATGATATAAATACCTATTCATGATATATTATGCATTGTTAAAAATTAAATTGGTTTATTTTTAGAGAGTGGTCAATTGTCAACAACAAGAAAAGATTGCATACCAGCTGCTAAAATAAAAAAAGTTACTCTAAGAGGTTAGCGAAATGTTCTTTCTTCATAATTCGGATAAGATGCTTATTATCTACAGAATTATTTTTTATTTAAATGAAAATTGATATTTGTTAAACTATGCATGTGGTATAGTTATATACACAATAGAAGATCTACATAAGGCAATTTGAAAAACGACTTTAACTTTGCAATCTATGAAGCAAACCCAGATTCATAAACAGGTCAGCTTTCTGTTCTATTATTAAGTGTATACCAGTATATTATTGCCATGTTTTTTTAAAAGGAAGTTTTATGATATGTAAAATTATGTATATAACTCACCGTAAAGCCCCAGTTTTAAAGGTTTGCATTATAATTGCATTTATCATTATAAATATCTATCATTATACATGTAAATCAAATAGTGAAATACTTATTCTTGATTAGTATTTCAATTATTCATGATATTATACTATACTTATGATGTAAATATTATTGTTATCATGATATAAACACTTTTTCATGATATCTTATACATTGTTAAAAATTAAATTGGGTTTAGTTTTAGAGAGTAGTTCAACAGCAAGAAAGGATTGTATACCAGCTACTAAAATGAAAAAAGTTAGTCAAAAAGGTATGCAAAATGTTTTTTTTTCATAACGCAAATAGGATGCTTATTATCTACATCATTATTTTTTATTTGTTAATCTAAGCATATGGTATTGTTTTATATACAGTAGAAGATCTACATAACACAATTCTCAAAACTGCATTAACTTTGCAATCTCTGAAGCAAACCGAGATTAATAAACATGTCAGCTTTTGGTTCTATTAAGTGTTCAGCAAAATATTATTGCCATGTTTTAATGGGTAAGATTTATAATATGCAAAATTATGTACATAACACAATGCAAAGCCACAGGTTTTATGGTTTGCATTATAAATATCTATCACTATACATATAAATCAAATAGTGAAAGACTTATTCATGATTAGTATTTCACTTATTCATGATATTATACTATACTTATGATATAAATATTATACTATAGTTATGATATAAATATTATACTTTTCATGATATAAATACCTGTTCATGATATCTTATGCATTATTAAAAATTAAATTGGTTTATTTTTAGAGAGTGGTCAATGTTCAACAACAAGAAAAGATTGTATACCACCTACTAAAAAGAAAAAAGTTAGTCAAAAAGGTAAGCAAAATGTGTTTTGTTCATAATTCAAGTGGGATGCATCAATATTTTTTTTTGTTAAACTAATCACATGGTATTGTTTTATATACAGTAAAAATCTGCATAAGGCAATTCTAAAAACTGCATTATCTTTGCAATCTCTGAAGCAAACCCGGATTCATAAATATGTCAGCTTTTGGTTCTGTAACAGGGGTCTGTCCACGCCGAATTTACTACCGTTTAGTGGTACCTTCACAAATTCAACTTGAGGAAAAACTGTAGTTTCACAAATTCAACTTTAGGAAAAACAGTAGTTTCACAAAATACTTTTCTTAAAATTTTATTTTTTTATCCCTTACAGAACAATAAATCCATATTTTTACCATATTTTTGTGCTGATTTTTTAATATAATTTCTAATTTTTTGATATGTAAAATAATGTACATAATGCACCACTTAGCCCCAGGTTTCAAGGTTTGCATTATAAATATCTAACATTATAAATATCACTATACATATAAATCAAATAATGAAATACTTATTCATGATTAGTATTTATATTATTCATGATATTATGCCATACTTATCATGATATAAATACTTTTTCATGACATCTTATACATTATTAAAAAATTAAATTCGCTTATTTTTAGAGAGTGGTCAATGTGAGACACCAAGAAAGGATTGTATTCCAGCTACTAAAATGAAAAAAGTTAGTCGAGAAGGTAAGCAAAAAGTTATTTGTTCATTATGCAAATAAGATGCTTTTATCTACATCATTAATTTTTATTTGTTAAACTAAGCAGATGGTATTGTTTTATATACAGTAGAAGATCTACATAACACAATTCTAAGAACTGCATTAACTTTGCAATCTCTGAAGTAAACCTAGATTCATAAACATGTCAGCTTTTGGTTCTGTTATTAAATATATACCAGTATATTATTGCCATGATATTTTATAAGGGAGTTTTATGATATTTAAAATTATGTATATATAGCACCACAAAGCCTTAGGTTTTAAGGTGTGCATCATAATTATATTTATCATTATAAATATCTATTACTGTACATATAAATCAAATAGTGAAATACTTTTTCATGATTAGTATTTCACTTATTGACGATGTTATACTATATTTATCATGATATAAATATTATACTTATTGTGATATAAATACTTATTCATGATATCTTATAAATTATTAAAAATTAATTTGGTTTATTTTTAGAGAGTGATCAATGTTCAACACAAACAAAGGATTGTATACCAGCTACTAAAATGAAAAAAGTCTGTCAAAAAGGTTAGCAAAATGTTTTTTGTTCATAATTCAAATAAGATGCTTATTGCCTACATCATTATTTTTTATTTAAATGAAAATTCATATTTGTTAAACGAAGCATATGGTATAGTTATATACACAATAGAAGATCTACATAAAGCAATTCTAAGAACTGCATTAACTTTGCAATCTCTGAAGCAAACCCAGATTAATAAACATGTCAGCTTTTGGTTCTATTAACCGTCTTGGCGTTTCCCCTCTCTCTTAGTTTCTTACTTCAAGTGGCAGACTCATTTTAGAAAGATGCTAGCTAAAGTGTGGAGGGTCGGACAAAAGGTATGCTTTCCCCCTTCTGCTTCAATTTGTGGTTAAAGGGGGTGATTATCGGTCTAGGTGGTCTAGGAGGTTCAAGACAGTTTGATGGATGAATTGTGTTTCCTGCTTCACTTTTCTGAAAGTCGTTGTTGAACTTCATGCAATCTTACACTTTTCTCTGAAATATCAAGCAATTCTTTCGTTCTGATAAGATAATTACTGTCAGGTTATGTTTCATTCTTTTTTGTCCTTAACTTTTTCACAATGATATAGTTGAAATATAACATCAAAGGAATGTTCAATGAAATGGAGCTGAATAGATTCTCGTGATTGATAATTTTTCCTTCCTGTTTCCTGTGATTTCTTTTATTTCCCTGATACGTTTGCAGCTACCGTCTAAGTTTTTTATTTTAAAAAATGCATGTGCATTTTAAATTGCCTCATTTCTGAATTCAAAGTACAATTTCCTTGATATACATGCTAGTAAAAAGTCATATTTATCTTTTAAGTATATTAATGATATTTTTAAATTTAAAAAAATAATTGAGTATTTTTTCAATAATGTTCGATTAGAAAAATAACTGCTGTTTAATAGATATTATTTATATAATTCCCGTTTTATTTCTCTATTTCTTTGAAATTAAGTAAAAAAAAAGTTTTTGCTAAACACTGCTGTTCTATCAATGGAATATTGTTAAAAACGTACTTAAAACTTTTTAATGTACGTTAAAACTCTTTAAATAGTGCTCATATTGAATTTCAAGTTATTTAGTTAATTTATTCTTAATTCGTTTTTTAAATATTTAAGTAAAAGCTGTTCATATAACACTTTATAAAATTGACTAAAAATATAAATTTCTATATACACTAGTTAAGCAAANTTTTGTCAATTTATGTGCAAATTTTGAAACTATGTTTCAAGGTGGCCCGGTATGTTGAAGCCGGTATGTTGCTACGCCCGTTGGCTTCTTGGCGTCATTGTTATCAGCCAAGAGCCAGTTGATGTGAAACAACAAAAGAGCATACACGCTCTGCAGCGCTACCAGCGCACCCGCAAAATAAATAGTTTACAGTCCACGTTTGATTTTTTATACACCCGCAAGCTATCGGCCAAACAGAGTAATGATTTTAAAGTGATGATTGATATTCATAGTAATGATTTTATATTCAAAGTAATGATTTTAACAATATCGATCATGCAATGATATATATTTGGAAAAAAAAATCATGTGGAAGTAACAGAATTTAAATATGCAAAAATAAACGTGGTTATACAAAATTTTCGGTAGTATTGGTTTAAAATATTTAATATCGAATTTTTTTTTATTTTTAAATTCATCTCTTTGCACCATGTTGCTCCACGGAATCAGTTCTTCCACACTAGTAAAAAATGGCAACTAATAAACGCAATGGTAAATAACAAACAACAATAATTTTTTTTCGACTTATATAATATAGCTCGTGAAAAATTTGTTAAAAGGACTTCATCTCTTTTTCTCTCTATTTGTTAGTAAAAAAACGTTGTTCTGCGTTTCTTCTTCATCGAAACAAACTGACAAGAATTAAAACTAATGATTATGACATAAAAATGCTTTGACATAAGAAAAGGTATTATGATTATGCTCACCTTTTGCATAGCAATAAAATAACATAAAAAATGCTTTTTAAAAAAAATTAAAAAAAAAAATTTTTTTAAATTGGAAATAGCATATATTGGGAATAGCAGTTTAGCAGTAAAAAATCAAAGAACGTATGTAACATAAGCAGAAAAAATTTTTGAAATAAGGAAAGTAAAATTTTCTGCATTACTTCGGTCAAATATCAATAAGTTAAAGGTCATAACAACTTTTTATTTTCTAAAAAAATTAAATTTAAAAATTTTTTTAAAAGAAAATTATTCTTAAGAAAACTAACATTAAGTTATGTTATCTGTGATTTTAATTTATATGTGGTAAAATATATTTAGAATAATAAAACTTGTATCCCTTAATAGTCATATTTACTATTCATAAGAGTAATATTTTAAAAATATTGTATTTATCATAAATAGCAATATATTTATGAATGTTGTGGATTATGAATGAAATTGAGATTGTGGCTGGGCACAAAAACTTGCTATCGCTTTTTTTTAAACATATGATTTGCTGAATTATGTTTTATAAATTCGTTTATAACGTCATTTATAAATTCAAAAATATACAATTCCAAAGAATCAAAATAACGTAATGCCTTCCATTTTAGTTGCCAAATATTTTTAGAACTTTTTATTCAAGTCGCGAGTTAATTTTTATTCCAAAAGTAAATTCTGCATACAAAATGCTTCGAAAGATTACTGATGAAGTAAAATGGATATTCTGTTGCAGAGTGTTATTGAATTGTATTTTCCGTGACCTTTAATTATAAATTTTATCCATTACTACGATTATTTTACTTGTTAAGTTCGCAGAATTGTCGTGTACTTTATTTAAGTTCATTTATGTTTTATTTTTAATTCTAGCTTACTTTTATTCTTATTTTTCATTTTAAGTTTATTTAAGCTCTTATTTTAAGTTTTTTAACTGCAGAAAATATAGTGACAAATCTTCTCTACATTTCGCATTTCTCTAACTTCTGCAATACACTTCTAGTACTATACGCCCATTTTTTTAGATCACCTTTTACAGTATTTTTGACCATGAACAGAAAAGAAAACGTGCCCTTTAGATAAAACTGTATGATAACTCGTATGGACGCTACTATGATAACTAGTATGATAAGTATTGTCTAGATTATATTTACATCACAATAAGGGTTTGTTTATCGCTTTGCGTACCCCCATTTCAAATTAAACTTCTGAAAACTATTTTAATAACTTAACAAAAACATCATGTAATCATCTACTTTAGATTTCAGGCAATCAATCGATGCATATTTTAGTACGAATGTCAGTACTGTAATACTTACGTTGGTTGTTTCCGCCCATCTGGATTGAACAACTTTTAAATTCATGAAATATTAGGGAGATCTGAAAGTAATGTCATTTCGATGCACTTGATATTTGTTACCAAGATTTTATTTTTAATCAAAAATGTATTCACCCTCCTTATCAACAACCCTTCAATTCTGGATCGTAAAAAAAGGGATTTTTAAGACTATCGAATATTCAATGCGCTGAAGCGTCATTACTTTCCAGGTTTCCTGAATATTTACAAACATAATAATTACAACACAACTCGAGCTTACACCCTTGAGTTTACACACACTTTTATTTGGATTTCGAATGATATTGTTGAAAAATTGTACTTTGAATCAAATTAATGATGAATTTAATTAAAAACAAAACATATTTTTGAAAGAAAAAAAATCTTGTTTGCAAGTGTTCCAACAATTAAAATATATAAAATGTGCAATAATTTTAATATTTTATTTTAGTTACTGGAATTTTCACAACGATTACTTAAATATTTTAAATATAATCAGTTATACTTTTAAAAAAAATCATTTTCTTTAAAATGTATATCTAAATGTATGTATATTTAAAATGTATTTGAGTGGAATTAAATATTTACATTTATTTTGTGGACTTGAAAAAAATACTTAGTTTATTATAACTCACTTAGTTATTAGGAGTTTTAACAGCTTGTACATTTTTTTATTATTATTTATTAAGGAAATTTGAGTTTATTATTAAACTTATTTATCAATACTGAAATATGCTGCATTTATATATTCACATGTATGAGAAATGTATTTACTAATGAAAAGAATTTCGATTTTTTCTCTATCCATGAAAATTCATTAAACTAAAGTACAAATAAAACTAGTGTTTTGAGTGATGGGATTTTTAGAAAAATGCCGAGAAAGTTTTCAACATTACAGAAAGAGGAGAGAGTGTTTTAAGAGTTAACTTCATTTGCCAGATAAAAATTTTTTTAATTTTTTTGTAAGCAACATCATACTTAAAAAAATTATCTAATTTGAATAAATTAGTTAAATACTATGGAAAATTAGTAATATTAAAAATTCATTTAAATATTGCACCTGTATTTAGACAAGAAATAATGTCCTGCAATTTACTCTAAAATGAAAAATGCTTTTTCGAAAATTAATTGAAATTTAAAAGTACGAAACGATTTTATTTATTCAAAGATTTAGTATAATAAATTAAGCAATAAATATTTTTTTTAAAAAATTCAGTCTTTCAAAAGTGTTGGAGAAAATAAAAATGTAATCTGTTTTTTAAAGGTAAGTTTTTGGTTGATTGGGGTTCAAACATGAAAAAGAGCACAAACTATTCACATCTATTCAAACAGAAATATTCTATCCCAACAGTGAGTGATTTACGATGACAGCTTATACGCCTCTCAATTTGTGAGCAGTAGGAGGTTGAGGGGGAAGGAAATATTCTAGTTCGGAAAAAGACGTGATCGCCTCTCCAGAGCTAGAACGTGAACCCGTGCATGCACGGGCAAGCCGCTTTTCATATAGAAATCATGCCCGTGATATAAAAGGCTTGACACCAGGAGGGTTAAGTGTATACCAAAAAATTATTGCCATGTTTGATGGGTAAGATTTACGATTTGTGAAAATTTGTGCGTAACACGATGCAAAGCCCTGGGTTTTAAGGTTTCCATTATAAATATCTATCACTATACATATAAATCAAATAGTGAAATACTTATTCATGATTAGTATTTCACTCATTCATGTTATTATACTATACTTATGATCTAAATATTATACTCTACTTATGATCTAAATATTATACTATGCTTATGATATAAATATTATACTTTTCATGATATAAATACCTATTCATGATATATTATGCATTGTTAAAAATTAAATTGGTTTATTTTTAGAGAGTGGTCAATGGTCAACAACAAGAAAAGATTGCATACCAGCTGCTAAAATAAAAAAAGTTACTCTAAAAGGTAAGCGAAATGTTCTTTCTTTATAATTCAGATAAGATGCTTATTATCTACAGAATTATTTTTTATTTAAATGAAAATTGATATTTGTTAAACTAAGCATATGGTATAGTTATATACACAATAGAAGATCTACATAAGGCAATTTTAAAAACGACTTTAGCTTTGCTATCTATGAAGCAAACCCAGATTCATAAACATGTCAGCTTTTTGTTCTATTATTAAGTGTATACCAGTATATTATTGCCATGTTTTTTTAAAAGGAAGTTTTATGATATGTAAAATTATGTATATAACTCACCGCAAAGCCCCAGTTTTAAAGGTTTGCATTATAATTACATTTATCATTATAAATATCTATCATTATTACATGTAAATCAAATAGTGAAATACTTATTCATGATTAGTATTTCAATTATTCTTGATATTACACTATACTTATGATATAAATATTGTAGTTATCATGATATAAACGCTTTTTCACGATATCTTATACATTGTTAAAAATTAAATTGGTTTATTTTTAGAGAGTGGTTCAACAACAAGAAAGGATTGTATACCAGCTACTAAAATGAAAAAAGTTAGTCAAAAAGGTAAGCAAAATGTTTTTTGTTCATAATGCAAATCGGATGCTTATTATCTACATCATTATTTTTTATTTGTTAAACTAAGCATATGGTATTGTTTTATATACAGTAGAAAATCTACATAACACAATTCTAAAAACTGCATTAACTTTGCAATCTCTGAAGCAAACCCAGATTAATAAACATGTCAGCTTTTGGTTCCATTAAGTGTTTAGCAAAATATTATTGCCATGTTTTAATGGGTAAGATTTATAATATATGTAAAATTATGTACATAACACAACGCAAAGCCACAGGTTTTATGGTTTGCATTATAAATATCTATCACTATGCATATAAATCAAATAATGAAAGACTTATTCATGATTAGTATTTCACTTATTCATGATATTGCACTATACTTATGATATAAATATTATACTATAGTTATGATATAAATATTATACTTTTCATGATATAAATACCTCTTCACGATATCTTATGCATTATTAAAATTAAATTGGTTTATTTTTAGAGAGTGGTCAATGTTCAACAACAAGCAAAGATTGTATACCACCTACTAAAGTGAAAAAAGTTAGTCAAAAAGGTAAGCAAAATGTTTTTTGTTCATAATTCAAGTGGGATGCGTATTATCTACATCAATATTTTTTTTTTTTGTTAAACTAAGCATATGGTATTGTCTTATATACAGTAAAAATCTGCATAAGGCAATTCTAAAAACTGCATTATCTTTGCAATCTCTGAAGCAAACCCAGATTCATAAACATGTCAGCTTTTGGTTATATTACAGGGATCTGTCCAGGCCGAATTTACTAATGTTTAGCGGTACCTTCAGAAATTCATTTTTAGGATGAATGGTAGTTTCACATTATACTTTTTCTTAAAGTTTTATTTTTTTATCCCTTAAGAAACAATAAATCCATGTTTTTACTATATTTTTACTATATATTTTGATTTTAATATATTTTTTAATTTTTCACCATATATGTTTAAATTTTCACAAAACAGGTACTTCTCAATAAAGCCTTGACAGACCCTTGTATTATGAAGTGCATACCAGTATATTATTGCCATGATTTTTTATAAGGAAGTTTTATGATATGTAAAATAATGTACATAATACACCACTAAGCCCCAGGTTTCAAGGTTTGCATTATAAATATCTAGCATTAGAAATATCACTATACATATAAATCAAATAATGAAATACTTATTCATGATTAGTATTTAAATTATTCATGATATTATACCATACTTATCGTGATATAAATACTTTTTCATGACATCTTATATATTATTAAAAATTAAATTTGTTTATTTTTAGAGAGTGGTCAATGTGCAACACCTAGAAAGGATTGTATACCAGCTACTAAAATGAAAAAAGCCTGTCAAAAAGGTTAGCAAAATGTTTTTTGTTCATAATTCAAATAAGATGCTTATTGCCTACATCATTATTTTTTATTTAAATGAAAATTCATATTTGTTAAACTAAGCATATGGTATAGTTATATACGCAATAGAAGAGCTACATAAAGCAATTCTAAGAACTGCATTAACTTTGCAATCTCTGAAGCAAACGCAGATAATTAAACATGTCAGCTTTTGGTTCTATTAAGTGTATACCAAAATATTATTGCCATGTTTAATGGGTAAGATTTATGATTTGTAAAATTATGTATGTAACACAATGGAAAGCCCCAGGTTTTAAGGTTTCCATTATAAATATCTATCACTATACATATAAATCAAATAGTGAAATACTTATTCATGATTAGTATTTCACTCATTCATGTTATCATACTATACTTATGATCTAAATATTATACTCTACTTATGATCTAAGTATTTTTCTGTACTTATGATATAAATATTATACTTCCATGATATAAATACCTATTCATGATATATTATGCATTGTTAAAAATTAAATTGGTTTATTTTTAGAGAATGGTCAATGGTCAACAACAAGAAAAGATTGCATACCAGCTGCTAAAATTAAAAAAGTTACTCTGAAAGGTTAGCGAAATATTCTTTCTTCATAATTCGGATAAGATGCTTATTATCTACAGAATTATTTTTTATTTAAATGAAAATTGATATTTTATAAACTAAGCATATGGTATAGTTATATACACAATAGAAGATCTACATAAGGCAATTCGACTTTAACTTTGCAATCTATGAAGCAAACCCAGATTCATAAACATGTCAGCTTTTTATTCTATTATGAAGTGTATTCCAGTATATTATTGTCATGTTTTTTTAAAAGGAAGTTTTATGATATGTAAAATTATGTATATAACTCACCGCAAAGCCCCAATTTTCAAGGTTTGCATTATAATTATATTTATCATTATAAATATCTATCATTATGCATGTAAATCAAATAGTGAAATACTTATTCATGATTAGTATTTCAATTATTCATGATATTATACTATACTTATGATATAAATATTATAGTTATCTTGATATAAACACTTTTTCATGATATCTTATACATTGTTAAAAATTAAATTGGTTTATTTTTAGAGAGTGGTTCAACAACAAGAAAGGATTGTATACCAGCTACTAAAATGAAAAAAGTTAGTCAAAAAGGTAAGGAACAAAGCATATGGTATTGTTTTATATACAGTAGAAGATCTACATAACACTATTCTAAGAACTGCATTAACTTTGCAATCTCTGAAGCAAACCCAGATTCATAAACATGTCAGCTTTTGGTTCTGTTATTAAGTGTGTACCAGTATATTTTTGCCATGATTTTTTTAGGAAGTTTTATGATATTTGAAATTATGTACAATGGAACCCAGATATTATGTTGTCCATTTTGCCCCATTTCTATTAAGTTTATACCGAAATTTTATTGCCATGTTTAATGGGTAAATTTATGATATGTAAAATTATGTATGTAACACAATGCCTAGACCCAGGTTTTAAGGTTTGCATTTTAAATATCTATAACTATACATATAAATGAAATAGTTAAATACTTATTCATGATTAATATTCACTTATTCATGATATTATACTATACTTATGATATAAATATTATACTTTTCATGATATAAATTCCTATTCATGATATCTTATGCATTGTTAAAAATTAAATTGGTTTATTTTTAGAGAGTGGTCAATGCTCAACAACAAGAAAAGATTGTATACCAGCTGCTAAAATAAAAAAAGTTCGTCTAAAAGGTTAGCAAAATGTTCTTCCTTCATAATTCGGATAAGATGCTTATTATCTGCAGAATTATTTTTTTTTTAAATGAAAATTGTTATTTGTTTAACTAAGCGTATGGTATAGTTAGATACACAATCGAAGATCTGCATAAGGCAATTTTAAAAACGACTTTAATTTTGCAATCTATGAAGCAAACCCAGATTCATGAACATGTCAGCTTTTGTTTCCATTATTAAGTGTATGCAGTATATTATTGCCATGTTTTTTTAAAAGGAAGTTTTATGATGTGCAAAATTATGTATATAACGCACCGCAGAGCCCCAGGTTTCAAGGTTTGCATTATAATTATATTTATCATTATAAATATCTATCATTATACATGTAAATCAAATAGTGAAATACTTATTCATGATTAGTATTTCAATTATTCATGATATTATGCTATACTTATCATATAAATATATTGTAGTTATCATGATATAAACACTTTTTCATGACATCTTATACAGTGCTAAAAATTAAATTGGTTTATTTTTAGAGAGTGGTCAATGTTCAGCAGCAAGAAAGGATTGTATACCAGCAACTAAAATGAAAAAAACTAGTCAAAAAGGTAAGCAAAATATTTTTTTTCATAATGCAAATAGGATGCTTATTATCTACATCATTATTTTTATTTGTTAAACTAAGCATATGGTATTGTTTTATATACAGTAGAAGATCTACCTAACACAATTCTAAGAACTGCATTAACTTTGCAGTCTCTGAAGCAAACCCCGATTCATAAACTTGTCAGCTTTTGGTTCTGTTATTAAGTGTATACCAGTATATTATTGTGATGATTTTTTATAAGGAAGTTTTATGATATTTGAAATTATGTACAGTGGAAACCCGATATTATGTTGTCCATATCGTATGCTATCCCGCTTGTTATGTCATTTTCTGCTGATCCATGAAAATTGCCTATACCGATAATGTTAAAAAATCCCGGATTTTGCGTTGCACCTTTTATGAAAATCCCACTTGATGCGTTTTGCTACAAACAGATCAAAATGATTTTTTCATTCTACAATACTCACACAAACTTTTTTCTAGTTTTTTGAACAAGAGAAACTTGTTTTTCAGCTGTAAGGAGCAATTCTTGCATTCTTTCTGTTCCGTTTTGTCCATTTGTCAATAGGCGGGTGGTGAAGTTTCCTCTCTGTCAGTATCGGTGGGGGAAGACGCAATTCACTGGAACCCCAAAACCACAAGTGATGGAAGTATGACATCTACGCCTTCTATTCTCTGCTACCTATCAGCAAAAGAGAAAGAGGGGGGATTAGAGCGACAACTGTCAATAATGATCGAGTTTCGTGTGTACCCCAAACATCTTACTGACACTGTTTATTTGCGATACGAAAATAAGTCACTTTGATTAGAGAGGTGTGGTCGTTTCTTCAGTTCTCCCTCAGGAGAAATGATATTACTCATTTTTCCGTGCTAGCATACCAAATGAGATTTTCAGTCGGATTTGCTTCAGTTTGAAAGCTATTGCATTTTTTCTCATTTTAAAAACCTCAATCATTGTGTTCTTTTCTCGAAAGATGACGTTGAAACGAAAATGCTTATCTCTGGCCAAAAAGGCTGAGATCCTTGAAAAAGCTAAAAAATTTCATGGCAGTAAAGTTGATCTTGCTAAATCTTTAGGCATTGCTTATTCAACTATGCAAACGATTTTAAAGCAAGAAGCTTCAGTAGAACTAAACGCTGAAAAACTTGGAAAATATGCCAAGAAGAGAAAAAAACCTGAAACATATCCGTATGATGAGTTAGAAAAAATTTTAATGAACTGGTTCAAGGAAGCCAAAGCAGCAGATAAATGGATCCACCTGAGAGAAATGGCGTTGAAATTGCTGAAAGGCTTAAACTCCAGAGCTGCAGTCAAGGGCGCCGGCAGCGGGGTGCACTTGCACCTCCCTGGCTTTTATTTTAAACAATTAAAGAGATACAGAAAAACAATTGTGCTATAAAAATTTTTATTAAACATATTTTTATTGAAAAACAAATAATTAAGTTATTATTGATGCATAACAATTAAAAAATTGCTTATTCAAACAAGAACTGTAATCATCTTGTTTGCTGTCCAGATCTGTTTATAACTTTTTTCAATGAATTCTGAGTCATCTTTGATTCTTTTCTTATGCACACTGAGCATGCACTAACTTGGCAGATATCTAAGCTATATTTTTAAATTTCATTCAATAAAATATAAGTATTTTCTATTAGTTATTTAGTTTAACAAAGGTGTATTACACAAACTGACTTCTCAAAACTGTAAAATTTCATCAACTCAATAAATACCAATGTTAAGCATGCGCAAACACGTTACTTTACAAAACTACTGTTTGTAGTTATTTGTCTTTCAAAGTCAGTAGCTATGCCAGCGCCATCAATACAGTTTCCTGTGGAAAATTTGCAAGTACAAGAAATTCGTACTTTTTTAAATTAACAGATCAAAGTATATGTAATAACAAAACAGAATGTAACAACAAAATATTTAAAAAAAATTATAAATTTTTTTTGGGGGGGGGGGTAGTTGTTAGAGGGTTGCACCTCCTTTTATATTATTCTGCCGGCGCCCTTGGCTGCAGTGCATCAAATAGCTGGATCGATCAATTAAAAAATAGGAACAATTTATGCTTCAAATCTATCTGTGACGAATCCGATAGTGTGGATATGACAACTGTACAACAGAGGAAAGAAGAAACTCTGCCAAATTTATTAAAGGGCTATAATCTAAGTGACATATTTAATGCCGACGAGACGGGATTGTTTTTCCACCTATTGCCGAACAAGGCTTTGACAATTAAAGGTGAAAATTGCCATGGAGGAAAGCTTTCAAAAATGCGCTTGACTGTTTTGCTCTGAGCAAATGCCAATGGAAGCCAAAAGTTAATGCTTCTTGTGATCTGTAGAGCAGATAAACCACGGTGCATCAAAAATATCAAGAGTTTTCCTACCGATTACGCTTCAAACAAAAAAGCATAGATGACGCAAGCATTATTTTAAAATTTTCTTCGAAAACTGGATAAGAAAATGCATTTTCAAAAGCACAACATAATTTTATTCCTAGACCAATGCCCAGCACATTTAAACCTTAAATTAAAAAACGTGCAAATAAGAGTTTTTTCCAGCCAATTGTATGAGCAAACATTAACCACTGGATTTTTGAATTATCCGATCATTGAAAGAGAGTTACCAGAAGCAACTGGTTAGAAAATCTCTAATGTTTCTTGATTCTGGTAACTTTCAGGATGCTTCTAAGGCAAAAATTAATGTTCTTGAGGCTCTTAATTTGATATCTTCAGCTTGGGACAGTGTCGACCAAAGGTGCATTATCAATGGATTCAATAAAGCAGGATTTTCAATATTGGAGAAGGAGGGCGCTGTTGTTTTGAAAGAAGAAGAAGGTAGCCTGTCTGAAGTTGAGGATCTTTCGGAAGTCAATGATGCATACATCAACTGTGACACAGATCTCATTGCTTCAGAAATCCCTTCCATAAGTGATTTAATGCCCGATTCCGACGATAGTGCTGAGGACGATGAAGATGAAATAACAGAAGACGGGCCAACAGCTGATCAAGCGATACAAAGCATGAAAACTCTAAAACAATTTTTACTTGCAAATGTGCATGAAGCAAATTTGCAAAAAATTTTTAGTATTGAACGAGCTGTAGATGAAATTGTAGCTAAAAACAAAAAGGAAGTAAAGATTACTCATTTTTTCCATTAATTTAACTGCTAGATGTCAATTTTTAAAAATATGCATAGATTTTTCCTAATCCTGATTTTACGTTATTCCGCTTCGAGCATTTTTTATCGCTAGTTCAACCGAAAACGTAAAATCGGGGTTTCACTGTATATTATACATCGCAAAGCCCCAGGTTTCAAGGTTTGCATTATAAATATCTATCACTTTACATATAAATCAAATAGTGAAATACTTATTCATGATTAGTATTTCACTTATTGATGATATTATACTATACTTATCATGATATAAATACTATACTTATCATGAAATAATTACTTATCCATGATATCTTATACATTACTGAAACTTAAATTGGTTTATTTTTAGTGAGTGGTCAATGTTCAACAACAAGAAAAGATTGTATACCAGCTACTAAAATAAAAAAAGTTCGTCTAAAAGGTAAGCAGAATGTTTTTTGTTCATTATTCAAATTAGATGCTTATTATTTACATCAATATTTTTTATTTAAATGAAAATTCATATTTGTTAAACTAAGCATTTAGTATAGTTATATACACAATAGAAGGTCTACATAAAGCAATTCTAAAAACTGCATTAACTTTGCAATCTCTGAAACAAACCCAGATTAATAAACGGGTCAGCTTTTGGTTCTATTTTTAAGTGTATACCAGTATATTATATCTATCTCTATACATGTAAATCAAATAGTGAAATATGTATTCATGATTAGTATTTCACTTATTCATGATATTATACTATACTTACGATATAAATATTCTACTTATCATGATATAAATACTTATTCATGTTATCTTTGCATTATTAAAAATTAATTTGGTTTATTTTTAGAGAGTGGTCAATATTCAACAACAAAAAAAGATTGTATACCAGCTACTAAAAAAAAAAAAGTTAGTCGAAAAAGTAAGCAAAATGTTTCTTGTTCATAATTCAAATAAGATGCTCATTATCCACATCATTATTTTATATTTAAATGAAAATTCATATTTGTTAAACTAAGCATATGTCATAGTTAGGGCCCTATAAATTATGCGGAAACCCGCATAATTTACAATTTTCCGCGTAATCGCAGCATATCTGTATAATTTTTTTTTCCAGCAAAATGTATTCGTTTACCAGATAAATTTCTCCTTAAGAGTTTTTTTTCAATTGCAATATATCTTCTTTCAATTCCAAGAATCTTTTTGGTCAGGAACCCTACTATGAGCTGCATGGAATGAAATTCCATCTGGGAATGACGTCACGTTCCAACGGGAATTATTTTTCCCCACCACAAACACCTTGGAAAGAGTTTCTTGACTGTATTTGGAATCGGTTTCATTCCAACCAGTCTCCGGCACCTAGAATCGTCGTTCCAAGAGGGAATCAAGGGATTTGTTTATAATTTTAAACATGGCGCTCAGCAATTTATTAGCTTTCGCTCTTGTTCAAGAGGAAATTAATCGAGTTCCTAAGCGAGAAATAATACCTGAAAGATTTCCTTCTCTTTATATGAGAGATAAACGTTTTATTTCTCTTTATCACGTAAATAAACAAATTTTTTAGAGCTTTGTGAAAAACTTAGACCAATGCTAGCTCCAAGAAGTTGCTGAAGAAACGCTTTTTCTGTTGATCTGCGGTCTAAACTTCGATGTAATTCTCAGGCATCATACTCACGAAAAGATTCACGCAACGTAATTCTTCAAGAAGTGTTTAACAAAACAATTGCAAAGTTGAATACTTACTACTCTCCAGAACTAGACGTATTCAAAAAACGCGGGCCCAAGTTTAGTCAACCTGCATTCAACTTCATGAAAGCTGCTCGAGTTTTTGTTCCAGAACAAATAGTCAACCTCAATATTGAAGAGGAGGATGCATTCAGGAATACTCCAGGAAAGAGTGGTCATGATATAAAACTAGAGTATGCTGCTTGCAAAGAATATGTAAAAGAATGTTCAAACCAGGACTTAATTAGATTCTGGAATTCAGAGGTAGTCTCAGAGAGATTTCCAGAACTTACAAAAAAAGCAACACAAGTGCTCTGAGTGCTTCCTAATTCAGTAGATTGTGAAAGAGTTGTATCCTGCTACGGCCAAATTTTTACAAAACAAAGACAGAGTTTGAAAGAAAACGCAGCTTCTGGACTAACTTCTCTCCATTTTAATAAACTTTAATAACTTTTCTGATGTAGAAAATGGATGTACAATACATAAGAAGGTAATTTAGTTTAAATCTTGACTGTATTCATTGAAAAAAATTTTTATTAAAACAGGAAAGAAAGTTGAACTATTTTAAGAGATTTTTTTTTTCAGTTTTAATTGTTTTCTAGGTCATTCGCAACCTGCATGCATAATTTTTAAAAGACACCGCATCCTTGCCGCATAATCTTTAAAAATCGCGGCATCCTACCCGCGTAATTTTTAAAAAAAATTCTGCATAATTTATAGGGCCCTAGTTATAGTTATATACACAATAGAAGATCTACATAACACAATTCTAAAAAGTGCATTAACTTTGTTATCTCTGAAGCAAACACAGATTCATAAACGTGTCAGCTTTTGGTTCTATTATTAAGTGTATACCAGTATATTATTGCCATGTTTTTTTATAAGGAAGCATTATGATATGTAAAATTATGTATATAATGCACCGCAAAGCCCTAGGTTTCAAGGTTTGCATTATAAATACCTATCCCTATACATGTAAATCAAATAGTGAAATACTTATTCATGATATTATACTATACTTATCATGATATAAATACTTATTCATGATATGTTATAAATTATTAAAAATTAAATTGGTTTATTTTTAGAGAGTGGTCAATGTTCAACAGCAGGAAAAGATTGTATACCAGCTACTAAAATAAAAAAAGTTAGTCGAAAAAGTAAGCAAAATGTTTTTTGTTCATAATTCAAATAAGATGCTTATTATCTGCATCATTATTTTATATATAAATGAAAATTTATCTTTGTTAAACTAAGCATATGGTATAGTTATATACCTAATAAAAGATCTACATATGGCAATCCTAAAAACTGCATTAAGTTTGCAATCTCTGAACCAAACCCAGATAAATAAACATGTCAGGTTTTGGTTCTATTAAGTGTATACCAATGTATTATTGCTATATTTAATTGGTAAGTATTATGATATGTTAAATTATGTACATAATGCAACGCAAAGCCCCAGGTTTCAAGATTTGCATTATAAATATGTATCACTATACATATAAATCAAATAGTGAAATATTTATGATATAAATAGTTATCCATGATATCTTATACATTAGTAAAAATTAAATTAGTTTCTTTTTAGAGAGTGGTCAGTGTTCAACAACGGAAAAAGATTGTAAACCATCTACAAAGACGAAAAGAGTTCGTCGAAAAGGTAAGCAATTTGTTTTTTGTTCATAATTCAAATAAGATGCCTTCTCATTTTTTCTTCTAATAATAACCGTAAAACGATCTAGACATATCTATAACTATCCATAGATATGTGTGTTTTATTTCAGATATTGATTATTCATGTGCTAACTATGTACCAACAAAACTATTAATAAATGAAATTTTTAAAATGGAATTGATTTTGCAGTAGGTTACTAAAGATCCTAAAATAGTTCAATGTGTATCAACTAACTACTGCTTTACACAAGCACAAAACAAAAGTTTAAAGATTTCTGATCAAATTTATTAAAATTGCACAACTCAGGGTAAAAGTTGTGATTTTAAATAAGCTTCCTTGAAAATATTGTAAATTTAAATGTTTATCTATAATAACATATTAAGGCAGGCAGAATTATTTGCTATTGGAATGCATAGATATATGATTGTACATCTATCAGTTTTGTATGCAACCTGTTTTGGTGAGATAGGTTGCGTGAATTTTATCCAGCATTTTATAAGATAGGTTGTGTGAATTTTTTCCAGCATGAGAGTTTAGACTTCAAAGATTTCTGATCAAATTTATTAAAATTGTGCAACTCACAGTAAAAGTCCTGATTTTAAATAAAGTTCCTGGGAAATATTGTTCATTTAAATTTTATCTATAATAACATGTTAAGGCATCCTGAATTATTCGCTATTGTAATGCATAGATGTTGTGATAGTAACATTTATCAGATTTGTATGCAACCAGTTTTGGGGAGATAGGTTGCGTGAATTTTATCCAGCATTTTAAATAGATCAATCGTCAAAGATAAAAAAAGGAGAAGTGCCAAATTTAAACTTTAATAACAAAATCAAAAGCATCCAGGATTATAATCAAAGATATAGAACATAAAAAAAAGTGCAAAGCAAAACAAAGGAAAAAGAACAAACTTTTGCTATGGTATATATACATTTCACCAACTTTGAATTCAGTTCATTTTGTTGTACTTCTTTCCTGGCATAGAAGTTTTCAGGTCAATAACTAATTTACTTGAACATAGTATGTTGGTAACACCACAGAAACTCCCCCTCCAAATACCGGAGGTATGGAACTAAGAAATTCTAAATTCAACACGTCTGCCACTTCTGGTAAACAAATGAAGTTGAGATTCAGCTATTGAAGAATTCAAAGGAATGGATGTTTCCAAAAAGGCAAGCTTGAGATTATTTATACTAATTGTCGCTATAAGGAATCAAATTTTTAAAATGAAATTTTTTCCTTGATGTGAGAGTACCTGGAAAGTTCCGTCGTATGGAGCGGTTAATGGGGGTTTAAACTAATCTTTTGGAATGAAAACATGAATGGATGCACAAAACAAGCTTGGCGGGAGTGATCCGAAGCAAGAACGAGTGTAAGCTTTTCCATTGTCTCTTGCAAGTGTTTAATAAAAGTAGGCTCTTCTATGGGTTTTGTGGAAGGACTGAAAAAGTGCCCCGGTTAGCATGAACCCGTGCCATTAACCATTTCAGAACAGGAACCTTTCAAGTCTTCTTTGAATACTGATCTGAATCCATATCAGAAGGTTGCGTGTTCAAATCATATATCTGGATCACCATTTATCTTTGGTAAGATAGGTTGTGTTTTTTTCAGCATTTTAAATAGATCAATCATCAAAGATGAAAGTAGAGAAGTGCGAAATTTGAATTTCAATAACATTTTAACAGCAAAATCAAAAGCATCCAAAATCATAAGCAAAGTCGTAGAACATAAGAAAAAGTGCAAATCAAAGCGTAAGAGAGGGGGAACAAACTTTTACAATGGTATATATACATTTCATCGACTTTGAATTCAGTTCAGTTCATTATACTTCAGGCCTGTCATAGAAGTTTACCGGTTTTCCAGCTCTCTAATTTTGGTACTTGAACCTAGTATGTTGATTACACCACAAGCTTATTATAATAGCTCTCTTGTTTCCTGTTTTTAAATTTCAACCGCCACTTGAATATTCTTTAATTGCAATAGATTGAATTATAAACAAACTGGCTATTGAATTTTTAATATTTCTGTTTATAATATTATAAATTTCTTGTATGGGAGTATTAAACAACTTTTTTTAGAAGAATGTTAAGAAATTTTACCTTGAAAGCAGGCAATATTGTCTTAAGCTATTACTATTTAAGTTAACAAATTAATTCTATAATATTTCTGACACTTTACTTCTAACTCATGTTCTAAGTACCCTAGTTATTAAAGAATTTAGCCTTAGGATCTTACCAGTTTGAATCACACATATTTAAGAAAAAAAACATGTTTTTCAATTTTCAAACCAAGAGATTTATTTTGTTACATTTCTCGGTTATTCCTAAGTGTTAATTTAATTTATTTTTCTTTTGAGAATAGGGGTAACAGATAGCAAACCTTATCTCTTTCTGAATTTGCCAAATCTACAATTCTGCCTGGAGAAACATCTGCGTTGTTTACTGTATACAAAATCCTTCCTAGAACTGTACAAAGTAGCAAGGATCAGGGCGGTAAGTTATATTTTTCATGTTTCTTTTTAGTTAATTATATGTAAATTAAATGTGTCCGTTGAAAAATTTTATGACAAATTTTAATTGGAGATGTTAATACGAAATGCAAAAACTAATTGGAAGAAAGCAATTAGTATTAACAATTGAACTGTTTCCTTTAACTCTAATACTGCTGACAACAAGAAAAGCTTACAAGTTAGACAGCTTTAACTTTTACATAATACAATAATGAAAGCTTTGAATGACTAGAATCAAACAAAACTTTTTTCTGAAAGATAGTATGTTATATATAACTTATATACAGAGTTCTATATATGTATATAGATCTCTGCATCATTTTTAACCTAAGCTAAAGAATAGTTAAATAGTTCATGAAGGAGTTTAAATTTCTTTACTGGTTTAATACAATAAAATTCTTAGAAATTAATGTAATGCATATATATGTTTTGTTATAAATGTTTTATAACTTTTTATTCCATCTATATTATTTTTAATCCATCCAAGTATTAAAATGAGAGTGGAAATTAAAATTATGATATATATTTGTCGAACAATATTTTGCTTGAATTTTATTCAACTATTTCAAATAAGTTATAAACTCTTCTTTTATTGTGTAGAAAAATAAACGTAAATTATATCCCAGAAAACATTCACGAAAACAATAAGATATATTACCTCATTGCATCAGCACCCTTCGAAAAAGGTGAATATTAACAACCAACAACCTAAATATCATCATTTCAACTGACTGGGATAAGATAAAACACAAATGTGCCAGTTGAACCGAGTTGTAGGCATTACATCATCCGCATCAATGATGTGACGTCTTCCACCATAGTTATAAGAATGACATCTCGGGAGAACGAAAAACCTCTGAGGGTAAAAAATAAAAGTGTAAAAAGGATACTCCATTTCCACAACATGATTATAAAAAGAAATATTAAAAACTGCTGATAAAAATTGTGTGTCCATTAAATTTATGGGATCTTCTTCTTTGTTAGCACAACAGCCCCTTGCAGGTCTTGGCTGCCTCAACAGTTGACAAACACCAGCGCTTTCTATCCATGGCAACTCCCTTCCAATTTCTATTCTTTAAAGTTTTTAGGTCATTTTTGATGTCGTTGAGCCCTCTAGTAGGGGGTCCTCCTCTGGGACATGATCCCTCAGGGTTCTTAAAGGTAACGATTTCCATGGGACTATTTTTAGGGCTTCTCCTTAGATGGCCCAGCCATCTCAGCCTATTACTGCAGATTATTTGTGCAATTTGAGGCTGCTTATAGAGTCGGCAAAGCTTGAAGTTATATCTTGTTCGCCAGCTACCTCTTTCTTGAATTGCGCCAAAGATGGCTCTGAGAATCTTTCTTTCAAAGGTGTCCAGTGACTGCTGTATATCTGAAATTGGGGTCCAAGTTTTGTTTTCATAAAGCAGTACAGGAAGTATGAGTGACTTATAGACTTTTAGCTTTGTTTTTCCACTGAGAAGGCTCGATCTCAATTGCCTCCTCTGTCCAGAGAAACACTTCTTAGCCATTTTATCTCTATCATTGACTATATCATTGATTTCTGCTCTAAGTATGTTTTGATCATTAACAACAGTGTCAAGGTATTTGAATTCGCTAACCCTCACAGAGGTAGAATCATTAATACGTAAAGGCACACTGTAGTTTACAGTTGAGGACGAAAATTCCATAAATTTCATCTTATCTTAATTAATAGAAAGGCCCATATTTGTGGCAGCAGCTTCAAAAGCTCGAAAAGCCTCTTTGATGTCCCTTTCTGACCTTACAATCAATGTCATCAGCGTAGGCCAAAACTTGAGGAGACCTATTCCAGAGAGTGGCACTTCAGTCCAATCCACTATCGGGATGCCCTAACAAAATCCCTTCAATGCTATGAGGAAGAAAAAGGTGAAAATTAATTCAAACTTCGAATTATCAATAGTAATTTCAAAATAATCATTTTTTTTCATCTATTTATATGCTGGTTTTATTTTATTTATTGAATGAATATAGTAAATAACTGGAAAAATTAGGTGTTAAGTCATGTTTATTATATCCATATCTAATTTATTATTGTTCACTTTTGAAATTGAACAAAAAATTATATTTTAAATAAGTTCAGCAAATTTTTTTACGCTTAATAAGTTTTTTAATTTTTTACTACTAAAACTATGTTTTCATTTTAAACCAAAATGTGTTAAGTTTTAAACAAAATGTGTTAAGTTTCATTAAGAACTTGTAGTGTTCTCATTTGCCATCTTAGTAATTTACAACTTCTTGTCAATATTGGTAGATAGGGTATTCTTTGCTATAATTGCTTTAAATCAGGCCCAAGTCATTATGTTATTATCACTAGTGAGTAGACTTGTTGCATTCAAGCATCACCATAACCTTCTAAACACCATATTCTTTTTATTCCTTTGTTAGTCCTAATTCTTTATATGATTTCCCATTCTAAATTGCCCACTTTGTTTTCTACCTAAGATGCATTTGTCTTTATTTCATGAATTAATCATAAAAAATTAACATGGATTAAATAGTTTAATTATTGTTAACTAATAAAATACTTTTTATCTATGTATTATGCTTTTATAACCCTTTTTCCTTAGGAAATAATGTAAATTTCTTTTGTAATGTTAATTCATGCAGTTCTGTATCTTGTTAGGCAAGAAAACAGAAGCTATTAGACGAAAAAAGAAAATCATTGAAGAAAGCTGTCAGGTCCAAAGCAAGACTTAAGAAAACTTCTAAAAACTTGCTTGGTGGAAATAAATCACTCAAAGTAAATTTTAGCATGTTGATTTTTATTTCTAAACTGCTGACCGTACGAAGGAATAAACTTTACATAAAATTAATTTGTTAAAAATTTTTCTAATTGTTAGAATCGAGACTAACTAAAGGCCTGGTTACTTAGGACAGGTCGGCATTAAAAAACTTCGGCTTAAAGCGAGCGCTAACCACTGATTGGTCAATTCGTGAATTCGACAGCATACATCATCGAATGCTCAGCTTGACTGATGACTGACGTCCGAATCAACTGCAGTTGGATTACAACGTAGCGTTAACGACAGAAACAATGGCAGACAACATCCAACAGAGGATTGGAATCATCCAAGATTTTGATTTTAACATTAAACATAGCTTCCTCTTCTTCATTTAGCTGAGCTATAATGTGTTTTTTTTTTTTTTTGCTCAAAGTCTTTTTTTTTCTCTAAACCACTGGTCGACAATTACTTAATCAACACAATTTCAAAATAAATATTTGTTTGCGTTATTAACGCATGCGCAATGCGAGATAATGTCTGCGTTGAACCGACTGCTCACGCTGAGCTAACAAAACAGTATTTTGTTGGCGTCATCAGTACGTCAACTTCCCGCTGACGCCCAGAGAAGAGTTAAGAAACCAGGCCTTAAGGCTTTAAATGCTATTATTATTTTAAATTGTTATTAATAAATATTATTTTGTTAGAAAAGATTTATTTGATAATATGATAATAGTTCAAAACCTTTATTTAACATATGTATGAAAAGGGGATTGACAAAAACCACCTGGATTTATGACATTATTCTAAAGTAAGCATGTCAAAAAAATTATTACTGCAATGTGTCAGTTGTAATTTTAAAATAATTTTTAAGGATTTATGGAAATTTTTTAAAAAATATCAATCATAATAATTAAAATCGAAAATTAATTGATAGGTTCACATAAACTTAGAGTAAATCAATTGGATTGAAGCGGATTGCTGTCTTTGAAAGTAATTCTTCGAATGTCTGATTCAAAAAGTGTGTATTGTAATATTGTTTTATATATTATCAGAAACTGTAAAGTTATGTGGAAATTTTTTCCAAAAACAGCTGCAAGCACAAATGTCGAACAGCATGAATATGTGATATATAATCATTCAACACATCATAAACAAATTACTAGCAATGCGTTGTATGAAATTCACATGTTCTAATAATATTCTATTAAATATTGACTTTTGACTTTTAAAATTGACTTTTTAAAAACACTGTAAAGATGTATTGTGATAACTGTCAAAACAACACAATGAAAGATGCATCACAGATTTTCAAAGTTATACTATAGTTTAATTTCCTGGCTTTTCTAAATCTATTTGTTGTTAAATTTATGAAACTTAGAAATTTTCCTTTTTTTTAAATGTTGCTAATATATATCCAAATTTACAAGCAAATATATTTTATTCTCTAATAGTTATAATCTTCCAGAGCTTAAAATCCATGTTATAAGATTAAATATAGTTTTTATTAGGTTTAGCTTTATCTAGAATAAAACGAGAAAAAATATTCATTTTATTTTAAATTGTTAAATTAATTTTGTCTTAAATGTCCAGAAAACATCGTACTAACTAAATGTTTCAGTCCAAACAATAATCAGTTCTGACCAACTTTACTATATATTTCATAAATATACTGTTGGTTTAGCATTAACACTCAATGCTCTAAAGTAAAACCACTAACAGAAAACTTTTCGTGAGACCTGTAAAGTAACTTTCACCAGCACATTAAATCATTAAAGATTGTATTTATTAATTGAATAAATTTGTCGTGAAAATATCTGCCACCATATGTGTCTTGTTCTATAATAACTACCTTACTATTTATAAAATCCTATTAAGAGAGAAAACAAAAAAGGTCACTTTGGGGATACCAAATTTGTAACTAAGGGTGGAAAAAAAAATTTCAAAATCGGTCATCAGTAGGTCAACAATAGTAAAGACAATAAAAATCATTGAAACCAACTTGATAGTCATGTAAAAGTTTTCTTTAATTATCCTACACTGAAGCTTGATTTTTCTACCATAAGTCAAAGTTTATATAGTAGGCATGTAGGAGAATCAAACAAACCAAAATGATGTAGATGTTTGTGTAAAACTCATATCTGATTTTAAGATAAAAAATTAGTCACTGTTCACAGACAAGGCTTCATTAACAAGTAAGCCCAAATTTTATGTTTCATTAATTCCTAGTAAAACATTTTAGAGAGAAAGTTTGCTAATCATAAACTTAATGAATTCTAACAGTTAAATAAACACATTCATGTATAAAGTTATTTTTGTTGTATTTAACATAACAGATAATGACTTCATTCTTTCTCTTAAGAAAAAAAGCTTGCTAAGCATGGGTGGCAAGAAAGGAATGAAGCAGCACAACACTTCATCAGGAGTTCCTCATGGCAGTCCTCCCTTGGTAAGACTTTTTCCTCAGGGATAGTTTTTCATTCCAAATTTTTAATCAACCTAAAAATTTTCCTAAAGCTGAATGTTCGTGAGATTGGACATATTCTACTTCTCTAGATAAAGATATCTACGCGACATTCTCTTCCTTTTCTAATTTTATAACGAACCAAAAATACAACAACTAATTCTTCACTGTAGATGTCACTGAATTCTTTTATAGCTTGATTTAATTTGAAACATTTTTAATGTGCACCTGCTCTTGCATTTTTAATGATTTCTACAACAGAAACATCAATGTTTACATAGATCCTATTTGATAAAATGTTAGGCTCCGCAATAGCAGGAAAGACAAACATTTTTCGTTCAGTATCCATGAAAAATGGTTAGTTACAAGAAAAATTTGGTCAAGATGACAATCATCTTTTAAGAAACGTCTTTAAAAAATGGAAAGATGCAAAAAATGTTCTCTACCAATAACTGAAATATGAAATCTCTGCAGCAATTCTCTGGTTAGACTCAAAACAATTTGAGTCTAACCAGTGAATTGGTCAAAATTTTAAACATTCTATAATGAGTTAAATATTTAATTTTAAGGCACATAATTTTTAATCGACACAGTGTATTTAAGAATTTATTGTAAAAAAAAGATATTAAAAAAAAATAGTTTTGTCAGATCTTAATTTAATTATTAAATATATGACGGTAAACTTGGTTGTTCGTATTCCAAGAACATTTTTTACTTTTTCTCATCCCTAGACTGTCGAAATAGTGATACCCAAAATATTTCTTAACATGTTTTGTTTTTACTCACTCATTATTTAAATTGATATGATTTTTTTAACCACAAGACAAGTTTATATAGTAGGCATATAGGAGAATCAAACAAACCAAAACAATGTAGATGTTTGTTTTTAACTCATATCTGATGTTAAGATTAAAATTAGTCACTGTACACAGAAAAAGCTGCATTAACAAGTAAGCCCACATTTTATGTTTTATTAATTCCTTGTAAAACATTTTAGAAAAAAAAGTTTGCTACTCATAAACTTGATGAATTCTAAAAAATAACTAAGCAAATTTATGTATAAAATTACTTTTATTGTATTTAACATAGCATATAATGACTTCATTCTTTCTCTTAAGAAAAAAAGCTTGCTAAACATGAGTGGCAAGAAAGGAATGAAGCAGCACAACATTTCATCAAGAATTCATCAAGGCAGTCCTCCCTTGGTAAGATTTTTTCCTGCAGGGATAGTTTTTCCTTCCAAATTTTTAATCAACCCAAAAATTTTCCCAAAGCTGAATGTTCGTGAGAGCGGACATATTCTGCCTCGCTGGATAAAGATTACTATGCTACATTCTCCTCCTTTTCTAATTTTATCACAAACTCAAAATACAACATCTAATTCTCCATTGTAGATGTTACAGAATTCTTTTATAGCTGGACTTAATTTGAAGCATTTTTAATGTACACCTGCTCTTGCAATTTTAATGATCTTTACTACAGAAGCATCAATGTTTACGTGGATCCTATTTGATAAAGTGATAGGCTCCACAATAGTAGCAAAGACAAAATTTTTTTGCTTCAGTATCCATGAAAAAATAGTTAGTTGCAAGAAAAATTTGGTCAAGATGACAATTAGCTTTAAAGAAGCGTCTTGGAAAAAATGGAAAGATGTAAAAAAGGTTCTTTGAAAGAATAAAATGTCCTTTTGGAAATGCTTATAAAGTGTTACTAATTTTGCTTATTAACTTGCTTTGCCAAATTTATAAGAAATTTTAAACATTCTCTAATGAGCTAAATATTTAATTTTAAAACACCTAATTTTTAGTCGACATAGTTTATTTAAGAATTTATTGTAAAAAAAATAGTTTTATTAGATCTTAATTTTATTATTAAGTATATGACAGGAAACTTGTTTGTTCTGTTTCCAAAAATATTTTTGTATTTTTTCCCAACCCTTGACTGTCGAAATAGGTTAAAGCGTCATTTTAACTAGTGTTACTCAAAAAATTTCTTAGCATGTTTTGTTTTGACTCATTCATTATGTAAATTTGTTACATGATTTTTCTACCATAGGTCAAGTTAATATAATAGGCATGTAGGAGAATCAAACCAAAAGAATGTAGATGTTAGTGTATAACTCATCTGATTTTAACCCGGGAGAACTCGCACTACTTACCGTCACACGAGAGCGCGCGATGAACTTCGCAGGCCCGGAGCGGATTTTCGCTTAAGAAAACGGTAAAATCAATTTGCTGAGCATAAAAGATTTGTGTTTTCAACTTAGAATTATATATGGGAAAAGAAGAAATAAAATATTTTTTATAACAGCAAGTTTAAAAAAGTTTAATGATATATTTATATATTTACAATAAAAGTTTGAAAAACTTTTTTTAAGCTATACATGCAATTAATATTAAATTTTGAACAATTAAAAAATTATAAAGTATTTTTCCAATTAAATAATGTTTATTACATTTACTATAATTGAAACAAAACTTACATTTCACTGGCATATTCTGCAAATAACACTGCTATGCTCTCCGCATACATTTTTTGAACATTTGGCACAGGAAATTTGAGATTTTCTGTTAATTTTGCTGGGGCAGATATGACACCTTTTTCTTGAACATTTTTATTTTTTTGCCGGTGGTGTTTCATAATTTTCATTGCGGCCGCTATCTATTTTTTCACGTAATTTTCGCAGAAGCGTCGGCTGCAAACTTCTTTTTTCTACATGCTCCTTCAGAAGCTCTAATGCCAGATCTTTCAAAAATAAACTCCTTTTTTTTGTATTGGAGTAGTGGTGATTTCGCAGATAATAGTAAAATTCGCGCATTTGTGGCTGCAGAATACTGAAAAATACTGTCATCGGTCATCTGTTACTAATTCTTGCAGTGGAATAAGTAGCTGACATTTCATCAACTACATCTACAGCTCCCTTTGTCAGATTGTAAAAAGTTATTATTTCTGGCTTCTGCAGTTGAAACATCAATTGCACCATCATTGTGCATGGTAGACAAAAGTACCACACATTTATTTTTTTTCGGTACGTAGGATACCAAAGCCGCATTCTTCTGGAATCCAAATAAAGAGGAATACACTTCTCGTTTCTTCCCAGAAATGAATTCTTCTGGTAGTTCTCTTTTTTTTCTGACAGTTCCTACAAATGTAATTTTCTTTTGAAGGAGATCTTTCTTAATGCATAACTAGTATACCAATTGTCAACTGTGAGATTACTTCCAGAGTTGTAAATCTGTTCCACTAACCTCTTGACAATTTTATCGGGCATATTTTCTACTTTATATAGACCTTCTGGTTGAGCTCCTGCATAAATTTCAAGATTCCAAGTATAAAATGTCCTAGAATCAACTAAAGCAAATATTTTAATTCCATACTTGGCAGGTTTACATGGAATATACTGACGAAAGGAACATTTACCTCTAGAGGGTTCTAACTTTTCATCTATAGTGACAAATTCCCCAAGACTGTATTGGCAGTTTGCGACAAATTTTTCAAAAATAGATCGTATGGGAGCCAATTTATCCAGTTCTCTTCTAGAAGGACGATCAGTAATATCATCGAATCTTATGCATCTCATTAGGAATAAAATGTGATTATATGACATAGTCTGACAAAAAATTTCAAGCCCTGTGCCATCGGTATTCCAAATATCACGGACATTTACATGTGAGGATTTGTTAATTCCCGCTAAATAAAGAAGGCCAATAAACGCTCTTATTTCCTTCATATTTGTCTCACAAGCATCTCTTTTTTTTTGGAAATTGCCTGCAATTGATTTTATATAAATGTTTGTGCATTCCACAATACTCTTTGTTATTGTTTCGTCGATAAGCAACTTCCATGATTCGATAGAGCAGGATACATTTCTTGCATCACCAACGTTTCCGGGCAATTTTGTTATGATATTGTGAGCTGGAGTTCTCACGTTTTGTCTTAGTTCATTTTTATTCCATTTAGTTACTTTATCTTTGCCAATATAGTACCCAACGGATTCTATAATATCAAAATCACTAGATGAATTTAAATCTTCTTCTGAACTTGACTGATGATCACTATATTGTTGTGTGTCAACACTTTCTTCATCATCCTCATTAATAGATTCCTCATCAGTTGAAACTTCAGCTAATAAGGTTTCCAAATGCTTCATTTCTTCTTTATAGGTTAAAGAGCGATGCATTTTACAGCCTCTTCCTTCACATTCACAATCTAAAATGAGAATCGTGAGCGCTCGCACCGGGCCTCAGAAGCCCGAATCGGAATTTTCTCAGAAAAGGGGGGTCGTACATTCCTGAAATTCCTGTGGTCAGTATGTAGGTGACCTTCAACGCAGCTACCGTGAATCTGGTCCATTTTCATTGAAGGGGTATTTTTCTGCAGCATAGTTTTGTAATGACCGAGAGACCCGGCGCGACTCTTCCCAGGTTTAGAATAAAATAAGTCACTGTGCAGAGAAAAGGCTTCATTAACAAGTAAGCCCAAATTTTATGTTATATTAATTCCTTGTAAAACATTTTAGAAAGGAGGTTTGCTACTCATAAACTTAATCAATTCTAACGAATAAATAAACCATTTGATGTATTATGTTATTTTTGTTGTGTTTAACATAACAGATAATGACTTTATTCTTTCTCTTAAGAAAAAACGCTTGCTAAGCATGGGTGGCAAGAAAGGAATGAAGCAGCACAACGCTTCATCAGGAGTTCATCAAGACAGTGCTCCCTTGGTAAGATTTTTTTTCTGCAGGGATAGTTTTTCCTTCCAAATTTTTAATCAACCCAAACATTTTCCTAAAGCTGAATGTTTGTGCGATCGGACATATTCTGCTTCTTTGGATAAAGATTACTATGCCACATTCTGCTCCTTTTCTAATTTTATCAAAAATACAACATCTAATTCTCCACTGTAGATGTTACAGAATTCTTTTATAGCTTGACTTAATTTGAAACATTTTTAATGTACACCTGCTCTTGCATTTTTAATGATTTCTATAACAGAAGCATCAATGTTTACATGGATCCTATTTGATAAATTGTTAGGCTCCACAATAGTAGCAAAGACAAAGCATTTTTAGTTCAGTATCCATTAAAAAATAGTCAGTTGCAAGAAATATTTGGTCAACATGACGTTTAACTTTAAAGAAACATCTTTATAAAATGGAAAGATGTAAAATATTTTCTCTACTAATAGCTGGTATATGAAATCTCTGGTTCACTGGTTAGACTCAAAATGATTTGAGTTTTTAAGAATGTGTATTTTTTTTCTTAAACTCATCCATTCCACTAATCCAAAAGCTTTTCAGAGAATTTTAAGGCATTTTTTTTTCTCTAATTATTTTTCAAACCCAGCTTACTTTTGAGGGTATTTTAAGGGTATGAAAAGTCCCACCTGTAATAAATCTAAGAGTTTTGTTTTGAACAATTTCTAATTTTTCTTTATTGTATTGAATGCTGCAAGTGGAAGCTCGGCTTTTGATCATACATTCTATAATGAGCTATATACTGCGACCTCTCACTTATGCACCACCTCTTTTATGCATCTTTTTCATTGATACAATGAATTTTTTAGGTCCCAGTACATTAGATAGGAAAATAATGATAAACATCCTTTGTTTGTGAGTCGCTCTAAAAATAAATTTTTCAATTATGCGCCAAAATTTTAGGCTAACATTTTAATTTTTTAATCCTTTAAATATTTTTTCATTTAAAAAGAAAAAAAAATTTAATTAAAAATGAAGCAAATAAACAATCCTTGTTGCAGATAAAAGAAATATATGTTGTTAGTTCCTATTGAATTTGCTTCCCCCTGTGACCTTTTCATTTTTGCTGTTTCTGGAAAGACATTCTTTCTAGAATTTTGAATAGGGTGTCTTATCTGTTACACCAACAACAATGAAAGCCCATTCATCTTTTAGAAAAAGACCATTTCTCTTGTCCAGAGTTTTAGTCCGGTTAGTTTTACTCCCATGCTGTTTTCTAGAAAAAGACACCTAGAATACGAAAGATGAAAGAGACTGTGATCACTTACTTGAAGTCAGATGGACATTATGAGTAAATAAAAGGAGGTGATCTGTTTAGTGACAGAAGTACTTGAACACAACTTATTGTGCAACATATTATGATGTCAAGTAATTTTCTTAGAAATTTATCATGTGATGTTTCACCCCCTCCCATAAAACTCAAATTTTTTTGTGAAGAACTGTTCATTTATATCTAACTAAAACTTGAGAACGTGGTGGATGATACTGATGAGATGATAAAGTTGCTCCAAATCACACAACAGTATTGAAAGCTTTAGACGCTATTCCTGACTATTTACAATTTAATTTTGCTTCTGAAACTCCCCCTTATCACATTTATATGAACTGAAAAAAACTGTTTTTGAATAACATCGGCAAAAACAAATACAAACATGTATTAAGATTATTTTGTAAGAAAATAAATTGTCTTAAGGTATGTTAAATTTTTTCTTTGTATAATTATAGTAAATACCAAAACAGTATAAATATTAACATTTAATCTTAAGAAACATATTTATTCATATTGTCACTGCAATTTACATTGCGTTTTAGAATTTTGAAGTTTTTCACTTATGCGCCTCTTTCACTTATGCGTTTTTTTCTCTTGGCCCCTTACACTGGTGCATAAGTGAGAGTTCACTGTATTTAATTTTTAAGCACCTAATTTTTAGTCAACACAGTTTATTTAAGAATTTCTTGTAAGAAAAATAATTTTAAAAAAAATAGTTGTGTTAGATCTTAATTCAATTATTAAATTTATGACAGGAAGCTAGCCCTAGACTGTCAAAATAGTTTTAAGCTAGTGTAACCCAAAATATTTCTTAACACCTTTTGTTTTTACTCATTCATTATTTAACTTTTCTGAATTGATACGTGAAAACAATTTTTTGTTAAAAAAGAAAAAAAAACATAGACAATAAAACCAACAATCTTTAAAATCAGTAAAAAATGTTGAAATGCATACATTTTTAGAAGTGTTATGAGATATTATAGGGTTTCCATGGTTCATAAAAACTGCTTAATCTTTATTTTGGAAAATAAGGAACCTTAAAAGTACTTAATTTTTGTCATCATATCTATACATGAAACCTATGTTTATTGGGTTTTTGATGAAAACGCTATGTTTTTTCAAAAATGCTTTAAATTTTTATTCCCCAGTACTAAATAAGAATGCATGATTTACTTCTAACAAGAAAGTTATAAATTGTTTTATTGCAAAACAAGTTTTAGATTGTTACATAAAAATTTAAACTTACCCAATTTAAAGAGCCCAGACTTTTTGTTATTAATGTCTATTAGAAAAAAAAATTCAAACTTAGATGACTTTCTTTTTTAAGAAAGGTAAATAACTGGCTCCGTCTCTAGTGGTACATGAATATTCGATGATAAACAAACTTACTATTTTTAAGGTCCTTAATTTTTTCAAAAAAATGTTCTTAAAAGTCCTTTAGTTTTCTTAAAAGAGTAGAAACCTTGAAAAATCAGTTGATTTAACTCAATTTTTTTCATTATTTCTAGATGCTGCGGCAATATATGAAACACTTTTCTAAAGTTTTAAATGAAAACAGCTTTAAAACTGTTTTCAAATCAAATACAATTTTTAGCTGCACAGGAAGCATAATCATTGCCAATATGTAATAAACAATGGAAAAAGAAGATAAATATATGAAACCAAAAAAATATTGCGACCCCAACATATTCTATACAAATTGTCTTCAAAATAAATGTTCCCTCTGGGCACTATGTGTGAAAAAATTCCATAATAGTTGTAAAACATTGCGCCTTTTCCATTCAAGTTGGACCTAAACGTTTTTAAAATTTGATCTGATCAGTTAAGCAATTTTCTAGTGGGTCCTGATTTCCAAGAAACACAGTTACAACTCAATTTCCCTTTCTCTTTAAAAAGGCGTTAATTATCTTGACATTGACCGAAATGAACAAGTCAAGGAAAGATTTGAATAAGAAGGAAAGATGGAAGAACTACAAAGCAATTTATTGTTTTGATTTTTACCAATTTTGGCTAAACTTGATTAAAGATTATAAAATCTGTTAGCTTTAACAATACATTTAGGGAGGGGTACCATCTGACCTGTACTGTTTGCACACTAAAGAATTACACAAAATTGGCTCTGAATGAAGTAATTTTTTTCAAAAAGTTTAAGCTTATCATTTTTCTTAAATTAGTGCTGATAAAGCTGTATTAATTTTATAATATATTCATTTACTCCAGTTGAATATTAAAATGTAAGATAGAAATTAATAATAATTGCCATCAAAATGTTACACAGAAATAAATATTGTCGCAATATTAAGTATGCTTATGTTTCAGAATTTATCATTGCAAAGTTGAAATATCATTTTGCATAAAAATATTTTTCCCTCTTTTGTTCTTCTGGTCTTAGGGTGGGGTGTTGACTTTCAAGATCCTCTTGGTTTCAATCATTCTGCTGGAAGGACCCCAGTTTGTACAACCAAAAACTTGTTAACTCCAAATTTAATGCACATTATCATGCCACATTATTCAGCATGTTTTTGTTTCCCAATTCATTATTGCAAGAGTGAAGTATCATTTCGGATAGAAGTGCTTTTCCTTCTTCCATTTTTAAGCTAAGGGGAGCAAATTAAAGCCCCTTGGTTCTAATCATTTTGAACATGGGGCCTGGTTTTTACAATCAAAAGATTAACTCAGAATTTAATGCAAATTATGCCGCAATATTAAGTTTGTTTATGATTCATAATTCATCATTGTGAAGTTTAAATATCATTTTGTGTAGAAGTATTTTTCCTTCCATTTGAGGGGAGGAGTCTCAAGAGCCCCTTGGTTGACAATAGTTGGCAGGTGGGGCCTGGGTTAGTACAATCAAAAATTTGTTTACTCTTAATTTTATTCTGCAATTGTATGTTTGTTTGTTTTATGTTTTTTTGTGTGCATGTCTTCTGTTGTTTCATAATTCATCATTGTGAAGATGAAGTAGCATTTTGTATAGAATATTTTTGCCATTTTTAGAGGGGGCTGATTAGTAAGAGACCCCTTGGTCTCACAATTTGGTAGTTCAGTCTCCAGTTTGTACACTCAAAAGTTTGTAAACTCAAAATTTCATTCTCATGCATTAGGCTGAAGATACAGTTCCTATAATTATTTCAATTGTGACACACTTGGTAGCTTCAGATTTAATCATTAAATAAAATTCTAGATTAATATTTTATTTATAATTCCTATAATAAAATAAATTACAACAAAGTATTTTATAAAACTATATAAGCTTTTTTTTTCTTTGTTCAAAAGGAAATGGATTTATAGCGACATGGTTTTTTACCTGCAAGGAAAGCGCATCCCTTTGGCTTAGTCCTAGAGGCAATCCCTTTTTCAGGTCTATGGCCTGTCCAACCCTTACTTGTGGTGTAAAGTAAGTCTTGTAAGCCACCCCAATTTACTCCTGCAGGCTTTTTTTTAAAAGTTGTAGTTGCCACCACACTAACTCTGCATATTATACCAATATTACTCCTCTATTATATCCATGTATTCCATGTGACTATATTTAGTCATATGAAATTAAAAGCATTTCTAATAAATGTCTTACATTATCATTTAGTTGCATTCAACGATCATTTTGACTTTAAAAATTCTTATCCTCTTCAATGTACTTTGATTGAATAATGCTTTGACGGATTTTGATCACACTTTAGTTTTATACTAATTTCTGAAATCAAACATATTTTTTAATTCATTTTGATAAATATCAAAATTCTATTCCTCAAGATCCATTCTACCAATTTTGTTCCAGTTTTATACGACATAATTTAAAATGACATAGTTGACATATAAATGTTGACATAATGACATATAAAATTACATACTTTAAAATGACTTAAAAAAATTTTATACCTTGAAATCATAAATATTTTGACCCCTATTAAATATAATTATAAAAAAAAATTTAACATAGAATAATTATCCTATATTTTTAATTGTTTGCAAAAAAATTTTGATTTGCTTAAAAATTCTCCAGATACAGCAAAGTAAGCAAAAAGTAAAATTAACATTAAAGAACTCAAACTTTATAGACCACTATCCTGACTAATCAATTTGAATTATATTTTCTAGATAGCAGCTACCTCTCATATTTTGATATTCAAAAATTCAAATCCATCAGAAAAAAAGTTATGTTCGAGTCTAATTCTGTTACTTAATTAATAGTTAGAACTTACTATTTATCATGTTTAAGGTTTCCCTTTTGAACCATTATAGTTTATACTTTGTTCATATAAATCCAATCATTAGAACATAAGTTATTCAGGGTGATATTTTTTATTTTGCGTGATGTAACAATCATATATACCATAGTTATGTATATACCTCATATATACTCTTTTTGAAGGTATATTCTTGATGTAACCACAGTTTGGTTTGCCAATAGCAATACTCAACATTAATATTAACCTTGAAATAAATATTGTAAGATATCAACTTACAAAATTTGAATTACGAAAGTTGCAGATGATAAGGAAAGGAATTAAAAAATAATGGCCATTATATTCAAAGACCCTAGCAATTTCAGAAATTAAAAAAATTAAGTTAAATCTTTTTTTTTTTTGTTCAATTGCATAGGTCACTATTACATATATCTCAAGATTTTACTCATAAATCTGGTGAAGAGTTTTATTTAAATTTTTTGTTATTATGTGCACTATTTCTTTTATTTTTATCTAATCTTGGCTATTGCTGTAAAACATAACAATTAAAGTTTTTAACCCACATAAGCTGTGGCATATCTTCTGAAATTATGTAGTAATTTATTTTTTTATCAACATTTTAGTTCAAATATATCAAATCAAATAGAATTGAACTTAAAGCTTTATTTTTTTTTCATAAAAATTTAATTTTATTTTGTGTTTGGCTATAATATATTATTCTTTTTAAATTTACCAAAACAGTTATTACAAAAAAAGTTTATAGTTTTTCTTAATTTTTCAAAGCTTTGACATGTCTATAAGTAATAAATAATCAAATAATTGAAAATATATTATTTATCTGTCTATATCTTTTTATCAATGTTTTCTACTAAAAAATTTGTGTTTTGAATCTGTTGTTGATCTATGCATACCTGTATCTCTTTAGGTGAAAAAATATTTTAAATCAAACAGAAGGAGAAAAATTCTAGAGGCATCTGGTTATCCAATATGTGGTTTTCTGAGGACTTCTGTTAACTTGAATGAAGCACACAGAAACATTCCTCAACATAAGGCACTCCTAGTATGTTTGAAAATGTTTTTAAGTTTTGTTTTTAATTTTTAAGTTTTTTTACCTTATATGTACCTTTATGCATGATGATATTATCAGGGTTGCCACAGGCTACTTAAATGCGACTATTAGCTACTATTTTTGGCCTGAGGCAACTATGGCAACCTTTTTTGCCTGAAAAAGCTAAAAAAGAGCAACTATTTTGATAAAAAGGAGACTATTGCAAGACTTTTCTGTACTCATAGCAATGTTTTTTAAGCATAAACTGGATGCGCAATCTGCGGCCTGCAAGAGCTTCTGAACACAATGAATTTTTTTCTTAAAGAAATACAAATTTGAGTCATCACTTTTTAATGTGCTCAATCTCCACAAATTCCATTGTAAGTCTAAGTGATATTTTGTTTCTCAATCGTCTTTTCAACGTTTATTGCTACGAAATTTTGCATGATTTTTAAAAAAAATTTAATTCGATATTGCAATGCAACAATTTCGAATTTGAGTAATCTCTTTACACGCATTTATATGCATATATGCATATTTGCTGAATCAATTATTAATAAAATGAAAAATTTTTTTGAAAAACTATGTTTTTTTTTAATAAAAAATTATTTTTCTGAAATAATTCTTGTAGTTACAAGTTAAATAATTTAATTTTCTCAAATTTAAAATTTTTTTTATATAAAAATTTAGTGCTAGAACACTAACGTTTATATAAAAATTATCATAGTGCCTACCAATTGACTAAATAGATAATGTTATATGATAATTAAGTCGTTCAATAAAGTTTTAGTCATATTATTGAAATTTTTTTTCTTATTTAGGCAACTATATTCATAGTTTTCGGCAACTATTTTCATGCTTTAGGCTACTAAAAGCAACTATTTTGTTAATTTTTTCCTATGTGTCTTCCAACCCTGTGTTATGAGCTTCAGCGGAAGCATAATTATAAATATGCCTGAGCCAAATCTATCTTAGCATAATAGCCTCCTCCTTTAAGATTCTAAAGAAGATAATTTACCATGGTAATTGGATAAGGTTGTTCACTCATTGCTTTGTTTAATGTGATTTTATAATCTCCGCACTCACCTGATGATTTAATCACTGGTACAATCTGTGTTGACCATTTTGGATTAGAGATTTCTTCAATTACTCATTCACTTTGAAGTTTTGCTAGGGTAGCTTCAATTTTGGGCCTCATTGCCAAAGGCATGCTTCTTGCTTTACATCTAACAGGCGCAATATCCAAATTTATGGGAAGCGATACTGGATTACCCGTATAGGAACCCAATTTATTATCAAAAATATCATCGAATTAAAATAACTCCCATTCTAATTTCATTTATGTTATTGAAGTTTCAAAAGGTTTAAGCCAAGAATCCCCCAAAATATTCTTACACTGATCATTTGAAATTAACAATTCTAACTTTGATTTGAAAAAGTTATACACAACTTCAACTTTACAAACACCAGCTTGTAAAATCCCATTTTTAGAAAAATTTTGCAGTTTTATGGAAATTGCTTTGATCAAAGGTTTTGTTAGACAAATAGAAGTTAAAAGGTATGAGGTTTGATTTTCGGTCGTTGATCTCATGCATTCAACTTGCGTCGGTGACGTCATGGTCTGCGGGTATCGGCCAGTTTATTCGCATTTGCTGTTGGTCGTTCTTGCGTGGATCATGACGTCACCCCTTATGTGTATTTAATCTTCTGTTGAAGCAGATCATTTTGTATTCTTTCTTTTCGTCACTCTGTGACATTCTTTATTACTAATGTTTTTAAATAAACTCATTTCTTCTTTTTTTTGAGTTGTACAGGTATGATATTCTGAGAGAATCTCGCTGTCAGGTTTCTCAGAAAGGAAAACTTTATTCAAAGAAATAATCAAATAATAAAAACCCGAATCAATTTCCATTTCTAATTTTTCCTTATCAACCTCAATGATTACATTTTTCTTAAACGGAGATTGAGAACTTAAGACATTCAAATACTCGGGTTAAATTTCTATTTCATTAGCACACTGTTTTTCAAATAAATTTTTTACCAACAAACTCTTACAATGTGACCCTTAGGACCACATGAATAGTATATTGTATTTTTGAATTTACGTGTTGAATGTTTAAGTTTACCCCCGCAGCCAAAACACATTATAGAATTTGCAATTTGCTACTACCTGAAGCATTAGAATTTTGTTTACTAGATTGTGCAGTATTTCTTTTGTTACAACAACCAGTGTTTTCATCACAGAAAAAAAAAGGGTGAGAATTTCTCACTCTTTCTCAAGAACAGGGTGAGATTTCAAAAAGTTAAGTGAGATTTCTAAAAATTAAAAAAAAAAGAAAAACACAAAGAGACTTGGAAAAAAAATCATTTCTTTAATTATAATACATTTTTAACATCTTCTAATTTTTAAAGCGTTGAATATTTTTGCTGCATATCATATGGAAAATGTTCTACATCTACTTTTTCATCAGCTATTCTTATTAGGTTGCTCAAATGCATATTTGTTTCGTTTTGATCGTTTCTGCCCACATTTGTTTCATTTTCATTTGTCCGTTTCGGAGTAGAAGATATTGCCTTTACAAGGTATTTGTCTATCTTACATTAATGCGCAAAAAATTTGAACGTCTGACATGAAGAAACCTTACCTACGGTAAACACGTGGTTGCAGAGAAATGCGTTCTGAAAGAGGTTCCGTGATTCCGAGAGATGGTGTTCTGTTGTTCTTAAAAGTTCTGAACAATACTGGTAAATAGGGAAACTAGATAATGGGGCAGATGTTGAAAATATGTAATGAAAGATTCAGGGAAAAAGTGAAACGGATTTTATTCTAAATGGCGCGATGAGAAATTTTTTTCAAAATGCGAGAAATTCGCGAATTTTGAAATTGGTTTATAGAATGCGCGAATTTCTCGCGGTAATCATTTTTTAATGCGAGAAAAGAAAAAAATATGCGAGATTCTCGCTCTGTAGTGAAAACACTGCAACAACATACAAAATGAATTAAATCCAAATTTTCGGAATTAGAAGAATTTTGGGTATGAATATGCTTTGATTGTGAAGCCGCAACCTCAGATGCTACGACGACAGACATTGCATTTTCAAGTGTTAAGTTCAATTCAGCCAACAATCTTCTTTCAGGGCTGATTGTGCTCCGGAAAAATTCCGGATTTTTCTCTAACATTGATCCGGAATTTTCCGGAGATCGAAGGTCCAAAAGTTTCAAAAAATCATTGATCACAGAAGTTTCCGGAAATCAAATTTTCGAAGGTGGAACTTAAAAACACAGTTTATTTTATTTGTTTGTAAGGGAGAGTCAGAGAGATACTTTATAAGCTTATATTCATGATTAATATTCATTTTTTATCAGTAAATAGTTGTTATAATCATAAACTCAAAAAAGAGAGACATATTTGTAAATTTTAATTACTTCTCTAGGTCATCATAGGTATGTGTAAAATTTTAAATATATTTTAAGTAACCTAGGAAATATTGAGAAAAAGAAGAAAAAAAACTTGTTTAAATTTTTTTTCAATTCAAATTTTTTTTTTTTTTTTAACTCAAGAAATTTTCCGGAATTTTGACTTGGGCTCACAATCACCCCTGTTCTTTGAAAATCACGAAGTTCGCAGACTGATTGATCTCATAATCATTCTGACAAGGTATCTCTGAAATTACAATCTTCGGCAAGCTTGCTTCAGCAAGCTTTTATGAAACTTAAAACGCCGAAATATTTCCAAAGAATTAGTACAAAAATGTTCTTTCAAAAGCCTAATCAAATCCTGAAATTTAAATGTTGTAACCTCTTTTGTGTAATTCGAACTAAAGTTCAAATTATAGACAATGTTTTAATTGTACAAACAGCTAAAAGATTCGCACGCTTTTTATTTTCATCTATAATAGAATTAGCTTCTAAAAAATAAGTAATATGATCAGCATATAATGTGAATGAATTTGAAGTATCAAATTCCTGAATAGAGCTTACCATTGCCATCTGAGTGCGAAATTTAACTTAAGCAAGAAGAAAATATTGCAAATTGTAAAAGCTCATTTAAACATTTAAAAACACCTATCAAAAGCATTAAATAATACCGGTGTTAGGATCATGTAAGAAATATACATGGCCAGCACTCTTTAAGAAATTGCATCTTCACGGAAATTCAATTAAAGTTGAACTTCTGCATGCCGTGTGGAGTAGGATCCCATTTTTCGTTGCCACATATTAGACTATGTGAAGTATTAGACGGCGAAGTATTCCAATTACGAATCATGATAACTTAAAATATATTTTATTAACCAACAGAACATAACAAATAGCATGCTAGCATTAAGTAATTAGTGATGAACAACTATTAGTGACATTTTCATATACTCTCTGGATTGGTGAGACTGCGTCGCTGTTCCACAACTGCAGATTGTCGTCATTGATTTGTTAATAATGATGGAAAGTGACGTCAGCTGACTTCACAACAAAATGTAAAAGTAATGTTCAAAATCAATAAAATCTTTAGTTATTATAATGTATCAATTTATTATCACTATGTTATCTCGTATATTTATTCTAATTGTGTCACATTTATACCATTAAAAGTGCACAAACTGGCAAACTGCTAACAAGTATGAAGTTTTTTTCTATTTGCAATTTCTGGGAGAGGTGCTAAGCGTAAAAAAGTTTAAGTACTACTCTGATTTGTTATATTAATATTTTTATTCTTTTCACTAATATTTGAAATTAATGAGTATTGTTATCTTTATTTGATAATATAGCATTTTGGAGGCTTAGTACCAGACATCAGTACTAAAGATATAACCGTGCCAGATGAAAACAATATTTGGTCACCTGTTTGTGAAAATTTCATGGTGTATCAAGAGGAAGCGATGTATAAATTTTCTGATAATTTGATTCATGTAAGTGGATTTGAAAAACAAAATGGCTTATGTATCTTTGAAAAAAAAATTTTTTTTGTTTAAAATATAATTTTTTTTCTTTTGTTAAAAAAATTTCTTAAAAAAAATGATCAAATGGGAAAAAATCATTTATGCTTAACAATAATTTTTACAGTCTGTCAAAAGCCCTTAACTATTTTTGATCTAATCTATACTGTATCAGAAAATAAGGCAAAATAAAATAAAAATTTAAGTTAATATTTGTATCTATCCACTTTTAGAATTTTGTAAACAACCTTAAACTAAAGCTATTAAATTATAATCTATTTTAACTTTGTAATTTCAAATTAAATAATTTAAAATTTTTACATTGTTGTGGCGTTTTTGAATAATTTTAAATAAAGGATAAATAGAAGTATTACTTTTAACTAGTAACATTTTATTATTTAAACAATTTAAGAACTAACATAGGTATATTGAACAAAAATTTAACAATTAACAGGACTATTTTAGAATTAGAATATACAATTAATTCAACTTATTTATACATTAATTCTTACGGGCTTTTTAGAATAGATGGAGAGAGACTCACCAAGTTTAGTCATGGTTCGGCCTTTTGTCACTTAGGCTGATTGCTTTTGAACCCTTTCCTTCGGCTGCTTTTATATCGTATTTTTTGGGTGATAAAAAGTTACAAATCCGAGGAAAGGTCAAGTTCTAAAGTCATTGTTGTTTTCGAGTTTGTCCCGTGATGGGTCAATCACATGATGGGGGTGACATTGTAAGATTTAAACCTAATCGTTTATTTGAATTACTTTATCCGTATTTAACTTACTATTTGCCGATGGAGATTTCCCACGGTAGTTTTATTTAATCGAAGACTCTGAAATGTTCTAGAAATCTAATCTTAGCCCTTTCTCTTGATTTTAATTTTGAGTGACGATAAGCGTCACA